AGAGAGAGAGAGAGAGAGAGAGAGAGAGAGAGAGAGAGAGAGAGAGAGAGAGAGAGAGAGAGAGAGAGAGAGAGAGAGAGAGAGAGAGAGAGGAAGGAAGGAAGGAAGGATATAAGAACCGACGAGTGTGTGTGTAATGTAAGAGGGGAGTAAGGGAGAGGGATGGATGGATAGACGTTTTAGGTAGATAAGTATGATGAGAGAAGAGAAAGAAAGCTGGGGTATGTTATGTTGGTTGGTTAGTTAATAGGTATACACAAAATCCTTCCCTACTCAGAAAGATAGAAAGATAGAAGAGAAAGAGGAAGAGAGATCACTTAATACCTACTTTCCCAATCAAAAACACATACCAAACTAAACCGACACGCCCCCTAAAAAAACATACTTACCTACCTATCTATACATAAGGTATCTATCCTCATACAAGAATCCACCACTTTACTTTAACACACTTACACAACATCCTCTCTACCCACCCACCTAGCTACATCTATATTTAACATCGTACTAGTAAGGAGGCCGAACTTTATTCCTTTTTTTTCAAAAACGGAAAATATAAAAATATCCATGATCCTGCGATAGAGTGATAGAAGAAGGATTGTCAAGCATCGGAGAGTGATGATGAAGATATTTCAGGTGATAGAATGATAAGAATATATACATTCAGGTTTAAGAGAAATCGAAAGCTTCCATAACTGACTTTATGGCTAGCTAGGTTGTGGATTGGTGGGGAAGGGGGAAGGGAAGGGGAAGGGGAAGAAGTAGAAGGATGGCTTGGTGGAGGTTGGAGGGGGGTTGGTGGAGGGGGGTTGGTGGAGGGAGGGAGGGAGGGAGGTTGTTGGGGAGAAGAAGGAGCGAGATGAGATAGGGATGGGTGGTGGGGTAGAATTGAGGGTGTGGGATTTCTGGGCTTAGGAGGAATAGCGAAGAGTTTTGGGATATCAATAGAACAGCAGAACTCAAATCCAGAGGTACAGTAGTCATACAGTATATACATGACAATAAATTACTTTTACAACAGAACTATACACAAGAAAAGACATTACCTCCCTACGTCTCATTCGTGGCTACCGATCGCTCAACGACCTTCACCTCCCACGTCGACGCAACCCGTATCTCCGAGAGTTTCGCCTTAGCCGGCTCCTCCACGCCCTGGATCGGTAACTCGTCCATCCCGATCACGACGACCTTGCCCTCGGCATCGCCGCGCATCAGGTCTTCGTCGCTGCCCCACGTATCGCGCAGCGTGTGGCCCGGGGCGCTGGGCCGCCGCGCGAAGCCATCGAGCTCCGTGACGCCGTGCTTGTACTTCGCTTTCTTGTAGCCGCGATCTTGTAGCAGGGAGCCGAGCACGACGGCGTTGGCGGCGGCGGTCGAGATGAGGATGTCGAAGGAGGCGACGAGGGTGCGGAACGGTTGCGCACCGTGGTGGGAGATCACTTTGGGGATTTGGTAGAGGGTGACGATGATGCCGAATAGGGGGAGGGCCATGCGGAGGATGATGCCGAATTTCCTGGAATTTGTTAATAGGATGACTGATTGACAGAATGAGTGCGTACCTCTTTTGCGAAAGCCGGGATCTCATAATCATAGGTATGGGGAAGGCGACGAGTGTGAGGTTGGTGATGATGTTCATGATGCCCATGGTCAAGAGTTGGGCGTAGCCTTGCCGGCATTTAGGGCCAGGGTCCGGAATTACTTGCCAGTAGTGGGAGAAGGGTTGGCAAGCGGCGAGGTCGCTGATCACTGTGGCGACGAACGTCACGGCCAGAAATATGTGCAGGTACCGAAGCAGTTTCTGGTGAGAACGTTGCCAGACCGATTCTGTCAACGTGCGGAGAAACATGCTGACACTGTATTTGATTGCCCAGAGACTATCTTGTCAGTATTCGGCCGATTATGGGAAACGGACGACTCACCATACAGCGTACATTATCCTCGAAGCCAACACCAGGCGACTTCCAAGTTCTCTATGATGAATATCCTCCGCGGTCAACCCAGTAACCACGGTATTGTTGGTACCGTACAGTAAGATGACGTGTACCAGAGCCATACGGATGAAGAGGGGTATAATAGCCAGCAGCATGATCCCATCTTCAGCGTAGACCCTCTCCGTCCTGATATATCTCCCGCAGATGCGGAAGAGGATGATGGTGACGGCATATACAGTACACCACCAGCTCACAAGAATCGAAGGCTTGTTCTCTCTCGAGTCTGTTGGATCGGGAGCCGGACTGATGAGGTGGAGCAGGTCCATCTTGTGCTACTCCGCTTGACTACACTTGGCTTGAAGTGATAGCGCAGAGGGTGGGCATGCTGTTGATATGGAGGATTGAGACCCGCGTACAGATGTTCGCCGGCTGTTGAAGATCTGTGGAATCTTCATAGATAGTGATAAGACACCGTCATGCTCGAGTTGATGAATTGTGATGAGAGAGCCTATCAATTATCCAGGAAGGCTTACCAGGACTGGACACATGCGAGAAGAAACATCACTCGTTGCAGGTACGAAATTGATCTGGACGATGCAACCTGTCACTATGCAGAATCCAGGGGGAACAATGCGGCCGACATCGTACGACGGAGAGATTTCTAATCTTTAAAGAAATGGCGGCATACGAGCGGTAGAAGCAGAATGGAACGCAGAAAGCGGGAGCAACTACCTGTATGAGAGGGACAAGATCCGAGGTATCAACGCCACGGGACGCCACTGTCCCCCCGTGTAAACACGGGAGAAGGCCGATTGAATGCCGCGTACGCGAGAGCTGTTGGTACCTGGCATGGCATATCTGGTTGGAGAGATACTCGGGGGATTTAAAAGAGGCTCCAGACTTCTGGAACGAGGGGAGGTCGAGTGAGGTTGAGAGAAGGGCGCGGGACGACTTGATTGGCGTGCCTTGACGCCACCTGCACAGTACTCTTGCCAGGAGACCTCTAGACGAGCGGCGCAGACTGCCAAATGGAGGGAAGAAGAAGAAGCTCGAGGTAGGATAGGCCAGAAAGTCGGATATGGCTGGATAGGAGGAAAAGGTTGGATTGGCTGGAGTGGCCAGGGCGGGGGACTCTTCGCATGATCGGCTGGGTTATTCTGTACAGGAGACTTCCACTGTAGACCCGGTAGAGCCTGGAGACCCTGCAGAACATGCTATAGGGCCGTGTGAACCCTGTAGGGTGCTCTGCGCACTGTTCTCCCTAAGGACTCGGACGTTCGAACGACCTTCTCGATGCATCGTGAAACGGGGACAGGGCCTGACACTTATCTGCGCTGCCTGCGATACCCGTATAAAACCGTGGCGTAGACTGGTGGCTGAGAGACTGATACTGTGCCGTGGTGGTGTTGCGAAGGCCCTGGAATGACGGTCGCGATGGCCCGGATGATCGCGCTGGTTCACACACGGCCGGCACCGGATGATTTGCGAAATGGTTTGAATAATTTGATTGACTTGACACTCGAGAAGTAGAGACTGCTGAGGTCTTCCAGGGTTGTGGGCGAATAATGTCGTGGGCTCTCCAGGCACGCGCGAGACAGCGCCGAGGATCGACGGGAGGTTGGCGCTTGTTATTCGCGGGGAGACGCGATGGGGTCCGCTGGGACGGGGGAGAGGAGGATGTAACGAGCCAGTCAGTTCGATATTCCCGGCTGCCCGCTATCACATCAATAGTTCGAGTGGAGAGCGTTCTGGCTTCTGATCAGGGCGTGGACAAGTTACAACAGAAGGACGCCCATCGAGAAGTAACAAAAGCCATGTTGTCTCGATCCCCTCGCTCCCCCTGTCAGCCCAGGCCAGCTAGTCTGTCGCTGGAAAAAGCATCTTCACCGCATCTGCCCACACACACCGTACGCCCAGCGCCCTGATGCTACGACTACTGCACTGTCTACACCCTATCCTGTGCCCCGAGTCCATCACAATCTTATCTCCCCGTATTGTTACGTCTTGATACCGGCCCGAGTCCTGCCTCCCCCCCGGCCCCCCTCCCTTGCTTCCTCGCGTGTCCAGTGTCCAGTGTCCACCGATTCCAAGACTTCAACATTCGAACCTTCAAAGCTCGAGAGCCCAGACACACAGCTCTCCCCTTCGATCTCCCTCTCCCCTGAGATATCCAACCGACACTGCACACCGGAGTACCGCTGTACTGTACAGAGGTACCTCCCGTCTGGTGTATACATATGGCGCGTTATGCCCTAGTCCTATCCCCCAGATTTGACTCCCCCCGCCAGAGAAGATGGACGATTCTTACAACATGGAAACAGCGACAACCTACCCGGCCTCGACCTCCACCGTCACGCCGCTCGTCGAGAGACCCGAGAGAGTGAGGAGGCTCCCCAAGGCTTTCGATGGCTTCCGGAGTAGCGCGACCAACAACTTCATCCCGCCCGTCATCCCTGGCCAGTATGGAATCGGAGGCACGTTTGACGCAAAGCAGGCCGCCTTCAACACGGCAAACACTCCGCTGGTCAAGAAACTGAAGGGCCGTCATCTCCAAATGATAGCCATCGGGGGGTCAATAGGTAAGCACCTTATCTCGCTGTCCTGCCAACACAAAAATACGGTGCTGACAGACCTAGGTACTGGCTTGTTCATTGGCTCAGGACAGGCTCTGGCAACTGGAGGCCCAGCGTCGCTCTTGATTGCCTTCATCATCATAGGAGCGGTCCTGTACTGCACAGTTCAAGCTCTGGGCGAGATGGCCGTGACGTTTCCGGTTGCTGGCTCCTTTTCCGCCTTTGCTACTCGCTTCCTCGACCCTGCCTGGGGGTTCGCCAGCGGGTGGAATTATGCTTTACAGTGGTTGGTTGTGATGCCGTTGGAAATCATGGCCGCGACCATCACCCTGGACTACTGGAACTCGCCCATTCCGGGCTGGGCCAGTATTACCATCTTCTTGACCATCATCATCGCAATCAATCTCTGCGGTGTCAAGACATATGGTGAAGCCGAGTATGCGTTTTCTATCTTGAAAGTCACGGCAGTCATTGGCTTTATGTAAGTATGAACGACCTCTTCCACCCCGACCCTATTGACCAACTCGCAAAGTATCCTGGGCGTCGTGATCAACTGTGGAGGAGATCCGGACACTGGTTATATCGGGGGTCGAAACTGGGTAAAGCCCGGTGCCTTCAACAATGGCTTCCGGGGGTTCTGCAACATTCTCGTCACCGCCGCATTTGCCTTTTCCGGAACAGAACTGGTAGGGCTCGCCGCCGCCGAGACGCATAACCCGAGCAAAGCTCTCCCCACTGCCATCAAGCAGGTCTTTTGGCGCATTGCTATTGTAGGTTTCTATCATAATCGCACGCGCTGGCAACATACTGACAGCAAGATATAGTTCTATATCATCTCGATGTTGATCATCGGCCTCATCGTCCCTTATGATAATCCTGACCTGCTCAGCGTCAACGACGTCGCTTCTAAAACCTCCCCATTCATCATCGCGATCAAGGATGCCGGCATCCAGGGTCTGGATTCAGTCATGAACGCCGTGATCATGGTCGCCGTCCTCTCCGTCGCCAACTCGTCCATGTTCGGCGCGACGCGCACCCTCGCCGCGCTGGCCGAGCAAGGCCAAGCCCCCAAGATCCTAGGCTACGTAGACCGCAAGGGCCGACCCCTAGTCAGCATCGGCGTCGCGTCCGCCATGGGCCTGCTCTCCTACCTCTACCTCTCTCCCGTCCAAGGGCCCGCCTTCACCTGGCTCCTGGCCCTCTCCGCGCTCTCCAGCATCTTCACCTGGTGCTCCATCTGCTACGCGCACATCCGATTCCGCAAAGCCTGGCTCCAGCAAGGCAACCGCCTCAGCGACCTCGTCTACCAGTCCCCCGTCGGCGCCATCGGGTCCTGGATCGGCCTCATCAGCCTGCTCCTCATCCTCGCCGCTCAATTCTGGGTCGCCATCGACCCCGTCGGCGGCAGCAACTCCTCCCCCTCCCAGATCGCCTCCAACTTCTTCGAAGCCTACCTCGCGCTCCCGGTCGTTCTAGCCTTCTACGCTTTCTATAAGATCTTCTACCGCACCCCCTTCGTGCGGATCCAGGATATCGATTTGATCACCGGCAGGCACGAGTTCGAATCTATGCTCTGGAGGGATCGCATGCGCCAGGATCGCTCGACGTGGCCGCGCTGGAAACGGATTTATAAAACTTTGTGTTAGTTAGATTAGTCGTTAATTGTTAATTGATATATATATATATATATATATATATAGGTACACTATGTAGATAACATAGTTGTATACTAAGAATTCGATATCCCTTTGTGAGAGCGATAGTGGTGTGGAAAAAGGGGGGGGTGCTACTTAAATAGACCGGACCGGACCGGACTGGTTGTCCGTTTATATCTACCTAGTCAGGCACATAAGGTAAGAAAGGTACATCAAATAGCCAGGTACGCAGGCATACAAAATAGATACCTGAACGAGTATTTCTTCAGACGACAACCTTTTTTTTTTCTTCATCTCCATACACCAAGCTACCTACATACATATATCTCTTCAAATCGCAGAGAAGTAAGTAGATCTTGGACGAACAACTAACATCCTAAAGGGTATCTATCTCTCCAACTACCACCACATTATATTATCATCCCAAATCCGATTCTTGCTTGAGTCCATGAAAATTCGTATCGTTTTCTTCTTCTTCTTCCGCGCGCTACCTAACCAAGATGAGGTAGATAGATCGTTCTAGATAGAAATTACATGACGACGCAACAACCGCTCAGTTTCTTTAAAATCTTCGGTATCACCTTTATAGCCAGCTCTTCCAGCTCGTCGTTTTCGTTATTAGTTTGTGGAGGAGGAGGGGCTTGGTAAGTAGATTGTTGATGTGATTGTGCTGGCGCGTAGCCAGGTTGTTGTTGTTGTTGATAGCCGCCATGAGACTGCTGCTGCTGCTGCTGGCCTCCTCCTCCTCCATGGTGGTTGTGGCTATTATTATGCTCAGGCGGCATGACAGCAGGGCCGCCTTGCAGATTGATGTAGATGCGGCCGGCATTCTCTTCGGTCGCGTATTGCAGACCGAGTTCTTGACATACTTGCTCGACTCGAGGTTTGATCTTCTGGATGTGGTTTACGGAGTGGTTGCCTTTCCCTACGATCCTGATTGTTTTTTCGGAATCTCAGCAAGGAATGACCTCAATGTATCCCTCCTAAGGTAGGGATGGGAGGGGCTTACACGTGTAAATGCGTCTGGCCATTCTGCTGCGCGTATCGAATCCTCTGCTCCAGGATACGTTCCGCCTCCTCGACAAACTGTCCGTGGAGATCAATCGTATCATCAGCCACTCTTCCCGGGGCGTTATTCTCGCGGAATATGTAATCCGACGCTTGCTTATTATACATATCCATCTTGGCGGCATGTTGTTTTCCCTCCTCCGAGAGCTCGTGCGCTGCTGCTCCATCGCCGCGTTCGTAGGCTTGGTGTGCCTATCTCGCTGGTTAGCTAGCTACCTTACAATGCGTTTGTCAAGAGAGGGGGAGGGGGGAGCTGACTCTGTCAAAACAACTAGATCGCTTCGCAGCTTCTTGTCGTGCGAGATCGCGCAGTCGGTCATATTCAGCTTCCGCTTCTCCGCTCTGATCATGATTGAAATCTGCGCCAGCTCAGTCAGTATACATTACATATCCGAATGTGCGAGATTGCAAGGGCCTTGGCGGGCTGGATGAGATGAACTTACTTCGAGCCCCGATTGTGGCCATGGCATATGAATTCGACGACATCGTGAATTGATCGTGATGATGATGCGACCGAGCGGATATCGAGGGGAGATAGGTATATAATTGAGATTTGTTAAAGGAAGGGCCAATTTGAAGAGTAGCTTTTGGGCATCGCCCTGGTAGCCTTGGTGTTGTTGCTAGCCTCGATTTTAGTCAGGGCCAAGGCCAAGGATCTGCAGCAGGGGTTCCGCGCCGGCGATCTCGTCACGGTTCAATTGCGACACGGTAAAAGTCGCGACAATACTGTACAAGTGAAGGCTTCTCGCAGCAAGTTGCTGTTCCACGGGAGATGCTCTAAAGTATGGGCAGTTGAACCTTTTGGAAAGCAAGATATTCTCTGGGGTATTCCCCCCTCATTTTAGCTGTCTTGAGACGATCAAGATGTCAACCAGCCTGCCCTTCAGCAATTAATCAATTCTATCTGCTGTGCCACTCGATTGCAATTCATGGATATTGAAAGTTAGCATATTCGGATGGGCTCGCAGTAACTAGGCCGCTACTCACCCAGAATGAGCATGTATGCAATTTATCTTCTGATACTGATTCGAATATTCTATCTAGAATAGACCCAGGCGCCTCGTGCCTTGCCATACAAGATCTCCACAGTCTTCTCTACCTTCTTGCGCTTCACAATTGCGATATCAAACCCATTCACAGCAACATGGTTATTTACCCTCTCAGACCGCGTATCTTTATGGGTCTTAGTGAAATAATAATGGTCATCATTAATGCGACCCTAGGTCCACGAAGGGAAATGCACTTGCAAGAAATGCTGTGCATCTGAGCTGGAGGAAACCTGAATAGGTCCAAGATTATGTGAACTTTTCCTGAAGGATGAAATAAAACCATGATATCCACGAGGTATGAGACGAGAAGCAAGGACTGTAAAGAACCACACTTCAAAAAATGAAGAAGGCCAACAGCCAAGGGTCATCAAATTGAAAACTTTTGTAAACCACCCTATTATCATATTCTTCTCTTTGTGATCAAGCACAGAGTTCTGCATTAAGTCTTCCGAACCTCATCATTAACAACCCAACCCCGTGAAGAACATAGCAATACCTACCCACTTTCCCTTTAATCCAAGCTCCCTTCTTTCATACATCAAAAATCACCCAAACAGATCAATCAAATCATTGATATACTCCACGATCTCCACGTCCCTTCTAAGCACCTCATTACTAGTCCCAAAACAACCCGTCTCAGCATACATCTTCATCTGCTGCTCAATAAAACTTCGATCCTGTGTATTCTACCTCCCGAATTAGCTCTCCTGCCTAATGTCAAGAATTGCCCCACTTTCTTCTCTTTCCCAACTCTACAACAGCAATCAAGAAGGGATAGTAAGTAAAAGAATGAGAATAAAGCAAACCTACCGACGACCGACTCGCCCACAGGCTCTGCAGCCAACTTAACTCGTCACGGACCCCGCTCTGCGCATCCCACCGCCATTTCATCTGACGCTCCTGAATCTCATGCAGGAACTGGACAGTTGCGCCTAGGAACGCATGGTATTCTTCAATCACCATCTGGCACTCCACCGCCTAGTTTTCTTGTCAGAATCCAGGATATGAAGAGAGAGGGAGGGGAGGAGATTACTTGGGAAGAAGAGGCGGAGGAGATTGGGGGAGAGAGCGGGGTCTCAAGCGCAATGAAGAGCTCCGAACAGAGGATTCGGAGCGCATATGTGATATTCTGGGAAGTAGAAATGGTGTTATTAGATGGTTCATCCATTGTACCTTTCGGCGCATTCATATCTAGAAAGCTGGAAAGGACGAAGGGATTCGACATGCGACTTACATCCTCAATCTCCCCTCCATCTTCCTGCCCACTTCCCAAATGTACTTGCGGCGTTCCTGGTAACTGTATCACATCACCTTCATCGGTAATGCGATCCCGGCATTCATCTGTTAGGCTGGTGAGATCGCGGATGGTATCGAGGGTCACGAGGGCAAGGACCAGGTGACTGGATAAGAGCAGGAGAAAGATTTTGGGGAGATACATCAAGGGCGAAGTCCCGTAATTCTAGTCGTTATTCTCTCGTTTTATGGTTTCACTTAAACGCTGCAGGAGATCATGGTTCTCTGAATACGTGACACTTAGACATAGGTAGAGGTGAGGTGGTTGGTTGCCTTGACCTTCGCATCCTTCAATATCACGTGACAGACCTCGTAGCTTTCAGTGCGGCCACCAGTGAATCTGAGCAGGATTGGCATGTCAGTCTGAAGAAAAAATGATTTAAAATAATAGATGCTTGATATATTAGGCAGTAAAGCTGCCTGTGGAACTAGAAAATGGATCATGTGATCGTCTGAGCCTCCCGATCCCTTGATCTCCATCTCTCTTACCAGGAAAAAAACCCACAGAATAATAGATCACTCTGCGAGTCCGTTCACCTGTCTCTTTATCAAACCAGACCTCTCACTTCCTCATCTCTTCTCCTGTTCCTCACTCATTCCGTCTTGCAGTCTTGTCTCTCCTCTCTCCCCATGCTCTCTGCACACTTCTCTGAACCGCTCACTTCATCTACTATTTTCTTCCAGAGAGTAGCTGTTTTTACTCCTATTCTCCTCTTCTAGGGTTCCAATCTTACACTTATGCAACTTCATCTTGTCTAGTCCCGGAGAATTGTCGTTACGCCCTTATACGCGACTGTCCATTCACTTCATCATGAGGAAAACTTTGGAGCTGCTGTGTCAAAACGTACCTTCTTCAAGCACTAAAACATGTTCCCAATTGCTACACTACTCTAAGTATAAAAAGAGTTATAAAACGAGCCCGCCACAATATACCCATGCCTGCCTCTTCTACCCGTCAGAGACTGAAGCTGAAAATATCCCGTCCGACTTAAGAGAAAGAAGGAACGTCTTCACGTTGAAATTATACAAGGAGAGTCCGAGAGAGCCTTCCACAAGAGCGGGAAGAAAGGACTTTGATAATAGGACCCTCGATTATGAAAGAGAGGATGAGGGACTGAGGCATGTGAAACCTTCACTTCGAAAGTATAACTAAGGGTAGCCAATCAAGGGTTTGTACTTGAACAGAACTGAGAACCATCGTTTCAAACAAATCACCGTGAGCAGGAGGCACAGAATGACATCAATCGTTTTATTCAACTACCGTCAACTACTGTGGACCAAGCAGCAGCAGTTGCCCGGCCGTCGCACCATCACCACCATCTATCAATCTCTTCTCTCGGATCGTCCCCTCTCCACAACTCATAACCCATGGGCGATATCATCAAACGCTAGCAAGTCAAAAGCAACAGGCAGCCAGCAAATCGGCCCTAAAATGGGACGTCGTCGTCGCTATTATATGACACTAGCAAATTCAAAAAACACAAAGAAACAAGAGGCGGGTCTCAACAGTTATTAACTCCCGAATGGCCATCCATGAAGGAGAATCTGTGCTCAAGGAAAAAACAAAGGAATTCAGAAAACAGTGTCAGGGCGCAAAATGGACGCAGCGAAGCATATAGAAACGCAAACCGCTGCTATCATAAGCAAATGTCTATCCTTCCTTCGCTATCCATGCTTAGGCCCGTGGGAGGTGAGCGTCGCCGTCAGAGAGCCAGGATCAGATCTGAAGAGGTGTGACTGCAGCTATTATTGGTATAATAAAGGACCACCATATTTTTCAAGATGAACGCCGTGTATCCGATTCAAGGAAATGCTGACTATGCTTTCTATCACACACAGCTCGATCATGCTGAAAGTGATTAGATTAGGCCACAAAGACGGAGGTTCTCCTGGATGATGATATCTACAAATGTTAGCAGAGCGTCGGGAAGTACATAGGGTACTGATTGAAGCGCTTACCATTGACGGCGGCCATAACAAAGCGAATTTGGGTGGTGTCAGTAGCGCAGGTAAAATGAGTGTATATTTGCTTGGTCTCGTGCTGGTTCAAGCTGACGAAGCGGTTCAGGATGTAGTCACAAGCCAGAGAATAATCGTCACCTCCTTCGTAGTCTGGGAAGTAGTTCTTCATCGGGCTGACGGGGAGCTTCTCCTTGAACCGATCAATCTTGTTCAAGAACAAGATAATCGAAGTCTTGATGAACCATCTCGAGTTGCAGATCGAGTCGAAGAGTGTGAGGGCTTCCTGCATACGGTTGACGGTCTCATCTTCGAAGAGAAGCTGGTCGTATTCGGAAATAGCGACAAGAAAGAGGATGGTTGTGACGTTCTCAAAGCAGTGGATCCACTTCTTTCTCTCTGAACGCTGTCCTCCAACATCAAACATACGGTATGTGAGGTCTCCAATAATGAAAGTAGTTTCGGTAATACCAGTGGTCTTGACACGCGATCGTAGAACGTCTTGGTCGTTTGGCATGTAGTCGGGCATAGCGATTCGTTCGATGTTGTCAAAGTAGCTAGACACATCAGCAACGTGGCTCAACAGGCTGTAGAGGAAGTTACAACTTACTATCGGGCAGAGTCGTTCAATTGATACTCTCTTGATCGCTTGAAACAATCCTGGACACCGGCGTCCTTCCACAACTGCGAAATGGCATTTCCGACCTCAGGAGGAAGGCTGTCGCCCTCGATCTGTTGGGGTTGCATGAAGATGGTCTGAACGTGGTACTCTGCACGCTGATCATCCAGAGGAAGCTCAAGCGACTCCATTGCCTCGAGGATGACACGCATCGACTGGACAGTGTTGCTAAAGATGATCTCCTTGAACGACTCTCTCTCATCGCGCGAGTAGCCGCCCTCATGGATGAGCTTCATCTGCTTCAAGATCGTCGACTTCCCAGACTCACCAGCACCTATTTAAGAGTCAGCGATATACGACGTAAGTATTGTGCTCCCCATGGACGCACCCAGGAGAAGCATCTTGATCTCGTTGCGCTGCAACATCTTGTCTCTCTTCAACTGGTTCTCGATCTCCTCATTGCGGAGCTTCCCCTCCTTCTCCTCGGTGCTCATGCCACAACCCATCTTGGCAGAGTGTTATGCGAGTACTGGCGATGGATTGAGGTTGCTGTATGGGATGATTAGGAGTTGAGGTTGATGGTCGCAGATGGGCCGCTGGGAAATGCGGTCTGTAGCGAAATTGTTAGCGCGCGAACTTGACACTTTCAGGAACGGCTGGACAGTGAATGGAAGAGACAGCGACCGGGCAACAATAACGATGTCGACACGGTGCCCAAGGATAGGATATGAATAGGATGGAAGGAGTCTCTGGAAAGACGGTCGCCCGAGAGCCCAATGTCTTCCAGCACTGCTGTTGGGTTGGGCAAGGCTCCCGACAGATCGTTCGGCGGCTAGCTGGCGGGTGCTTGGGGATAAGAGGGCGGTTCCTAGATCTTGCTTACCAGTATGCGATAGACCCGTCACTCGTCTGCAGAACAGATGCAATGTTCCTCGGCCTCAAAAGTTCGCAGAGCGTATTGAATGAGGGTGTTTGCAATGTGAGATACGACTGAACGGCTGAACGACAAAGGGACTTGGGGGAGATCGGAGATGTCGGTAGCGCGGCGCTGAGATTGAGGCTGGAGCGATAATAGGCGAGTGAGGCGTGTCAGCTCGTCGATACTAATGAAGTGAGAAAATAAGAATAAGAATGAACACAACTTGACATGACAAGATGTCCAAAAGATGCTCCCAGTTGTCCTGAGAAGAGATGTCACGGCCCTGCTGATCTGGTCAGCGCTGGTGTCCCGTGCAGTACTCCGTAAGGTACAGAGCGTCGTTCTTGTCCTCTTTCTGGTGCTTACATACAGCACATCTAATATGCTTTACAGGTACTTCTACGGTTTGGCTATAAGTAATGCTCCGTAGGCTCTACCGATGCTACGATAGGGGTATGGACAAGGGGTCCACGAATAGGAGCGCGGCGCCTGGGCCAAAGGCGTATCAGATATCCGATGCGGCCCAGCGAACGGGATATTACTATGGGTCCTGGCCCTGGGTCCTGGCAGCAGCAGCGAAGCTCTTGTCTCAGGAGTCAAACGGCTTCCTTACCACATCGATGGCATCGACAGCCTCTCCCGCCTCGATGAGAGCCAGTCTTTCACTGTCAGCAGAAGGATGTATTGGCCGCAGGACCTCTCCCAGAAGCTATGAATCTGAACCAGAGCGGAAACGACGTTATGGCGGCTAGATCTTTGATGGGGGGGACCTGGGGTTGTACTCCGTACAGTACGGAGTAAGCCTCTCCCACGAAAATAGGGGTACATACCTTGGAGTAAGGTACTTTGCAGTTTGTACCATGGGGGTTTGCTACAATAACGCGGTACATGTACCTGCTACTACTGTACCTAGGCCTTAGGTACACAGTATGGTCGGAGTGTACGCCCAGTTTAAGAGCCTTCATCACCTTATGGTTTGTCTTTGACGCTCCTCCTCCTAGGGAATACATACGGCTTACTGTACCGAGGGATGTCGCACTGTCGGTAGGAATTATGTGACTTATGGGGTGTTACGCTTCCCATTCTAACACGACGAAGGGATATTATTATACTACATAGGTGTGTATATGGCATACTGCACACACTCGATAACTTATCGCCGTAAAGGGGTTCGCTCGAACGAGTCTATCCCATCATCTGATCCCCTCGATCTTTCTTTGACGCTTGCTGCGCCTCGTTACCTTCGACTCTTCGAGCCTCATCCTTGCCGCTGCATAAGATTAGTGAGACGAAATGCGGCGGACCCGTCCAATGAGATCTGCCATATGCTATGCTCACTCGCAGAAAGGAGACTCAGGCGAGGTTGACTGCACCAACGACGGAGACTTACTCCTACGGGCCTACGGCAGTCTGAACCGTATATGTGTCCATCGGCTTTGAGAACCCCGAAAAAAAAGAAAACCGTTGGAGATTTGCCCCACGGCAATAATGGCATCATCCCGCTTGGCTGCAACAAGGTTCAAGATTCTTTGATCCATAGCAAGACGAGATTGAAGGCTCCATTATCCATGCTGCCATGTGCTGGAGAAGGGCTAACGATCAAGGAAAGGGGCCTTACCCGCGATTCGCGACTGGCGAGTCAGCCTCAAATTAGAGCTCATTTTACAACGTTGTATTCTAGAATAAAGTGTGGATATCGCTTCGATACAAATACGGAGTAGATAGTCTTCACATCGCATGGAGAAACGAAGCCACGGTCGACACATCACAGGAAACGCGTTACCTCACGGTATTAGCCGGCGGTACTACTTGTACAGGAGAGTAGGATGCCGCTGCATCTCGAGGATAAAGCTGCGGCTGCGTGCTCTTCATGCATATATATAACTAACACACCAACTGCATGTATGTGGTCCTTGGATTTGATACCTGTGGCCATCTGCCCCTGAATTGAATTTCCTAAGGTGCAGCCAGACAACCAAGGAGAAGCCGATCAAATGTAATGTTTCTATTTGAGAACAAGGTTTCTCCCAAGTCTCAGAAGCTCTCATTCTTTGTTCCTGTCTTCAATGCGGGAGCCCAACCCCCCAACCTCAAGGATTCAAGTGAGCCCATGAACTTCTGCGACAGTGTGCAACACAAAGTGCACATGCTTACCTAGCTGGCACGGAGGAGAGAGATTTCCAATGCAAAAGTTTGCGAGGGCAATATTTCTTTCCTGAAATATAAATCTCAAACGGCCGAAACGAAAACGTTTTTTTCTCAATCTCCTGCGGTATCCTTTTTCCATTGTAGTCGATGACAGTTTGGATGGAATACCTATTGAGGCCGGATAGGGAAGGGGCGTTTCTGTGCTGAGCGATCTCCAGAGCAAGCGCATCATGAACCGCCATTCCTTCTGTTATACTCTTAGATTTGTATTGTTTCATTCAAAATAGTTGCCCTGTTTACCTCAAGATGTCCTCTACAAGCTCATCTTGAGCACGCATTATCATTAAGCCCGAATCTCCCTATTACGAATCCGACATTCCACCTCCTCGATTCCTCGATATCATAACACTGCCTTCATCCTCAACACTCACCTAGCATCGCTATATAATCCTCCACTTAGAAATTTCGCTGCCCCCAGCATTTTTCGAAATGTCCGCCGGCTTGCCACCTCGCCACCACCTCGACACAACCGTCTATACATCCATCCCTCGCCCAAGCACTCTTCCTACGTCTGCAGACCCCGAAACGATTTGCAAGATGCCCTTCGCTCAGTTCAACCGCCCTCGCAACACCGAAATTCAGGTGCAAGCCTCGCACTTCGAAATACTCGCGCTGCTCATTTCTATGATGCTTCTAATCATTCCTCTAGGGTGGCTTGTCTCGATCTATGTTGCTGATAGCATAGTTAAGGGAAATACAAAGCAGAGGGTGAGAAAGATTAGGAAAGGCCTGAAATTCGTTGGTGTACAGACGACGAGACATGTGATGGGACCTAAGCAAGAAGGACTGCAGAGCGCCCAAACAACCGACGGACATGGCCAGCAAGCTATAAAGGAGATTGGAGGGTTGTTTGGAGGACACAAGGCGGTGCGGTTTGTAGAGGAAGCTGGGGGAGCGGTAATGCCGCCTTCTAGCTTTCTCGGAGTAGACGGCGCGAATGATTCGAAGATTGCCAAGCCATCAGCAGGACGACAAGAAGAGCGTCGTCGAAAATCGTCCCGGCAGTTCGGTGGGAAGGTTACCGGTAGGAGCAAGAAAACTGTGGATGGGAGTGAGGGGTTAGTGATGTCAGGGCCGGAGATGGAGGGATCTATGGAAGGGTTCGGGGATAAAACTAGATTGTTAAGGGGAGCAGAAGAAGAGCCCTTGCCTTCGGCAGAGGGAACGCACTCCACAGATGAGCCTCCACCATATGAGGATGGGAGGGGTTCTGTGGGGGTATGTAACAGAGGTGTTAAAGGCATGAAAAGCTGTTACTGCTGCTACGCAAATAAGGGAGGATATATTGCCCTAGAGAGTTGAAGGATATTGGGAACCTACGAAGAGAAGGCCCTACAATCAGAAAATCGAACTGGTTAGAGAAAGGTAGAAACTTCTCCAAAGTTACCGTACGCAGTATGACCTAAATGCTGAGACCAACAATGGCACGATTATGATTCTTTCCTGGTTTTCCATTCCTCTGCTGCAATATAATTCTGTAACTCCCTAGCCATAGTTCAATAACTGTTCGCCAGTGTAAATTACTGGTCATTGTCTTAGTAACCAGCTTTCTGAGGAGCACGTGAGCAATAGAATCAAGCCATGTCGACAGATACGACAAAGGCAATGGACGAGAGAACATGCCCTCGATAGAGCAATACTATGGGAGGAAGAAGTTCGGGTTGAAAGGAGGCAACAGGCCCTTATGCTGGATACCCATCCCTTCCAGGAGGCTAGGAAACCGGTATCGACGGACGTGATGTAAATCGCGGGCTGGCTTCTCACTCTTGCACTCTCCTAGCAACAGATGTGGACGTACGATTACTCCTCCTCAAAACCATGTATTCTTTTGTACAGTCATACACCATCCACCCATCACTCTATCTCTATCATGCATCTATCCCTCGTTATCCCCTCCAATTCACGGTCTCTGGACCCTAACACCCTCCTTTCCGCTTCTCAAAAACGACGAATTGCATTCCTCATACGCACGTCCAGCACCGAATCCCAAGCCAACAAAAGCAGGCCACGCTCTTCGTTTGAATAGGAGAACCGAGAAGACGACACCGAAGGACAGACCCAATGAGGAGCGGATTAGGAGCGAGGAGAGGCAGTGATCCCACTATTCATCGACCACCGTTAGCCACACACTGTATCACTGCAATTCCGAGCTTCGGAGGGTAAATTGACGAGTAGCAGGGCTGGCTCAGAGCTTACCTTCTCGTTCAGCAGAGCTTCGGAAACAGGCTTGCTGGGTCGCGACACGGCGGGAGGAGCAACCGACGTCTCTGGCATGTTTGCTATTACCTGAACTGTATTATTAGAGCTCCGCTATGACTCTACGAGAGCGATTGACATACCGCGAAGGGTGGCAGATAAATGATTGGTTTAAGGAGGAGCTTGGTTTGTATGTCGACTTCGAGGTGTGACGTTCCGGTTCTGGCCTTGAGTTTTGGTGCTTCACCGAGAATTCCCTTCTACCGAATGGGGAATAGTGGATATCTTTCTGCCGTGTTATTTTTTGTATGCCTTGAAATTGTCGAGAAAAAGTGTCGGTTTCTTGGAAATTTACGACGTAACTACGATTTAATGGTAAGATTTTCTTGAGAATTATTGGGGTTGTGGGAAATACTGAAGCTAATGGATTTTCGCAGGCGTCTACATCTCGAGCTGCGCAAGAGAAGCTTGCGGAGCTGGAGAAAGGCTCTGCTCCATTCGAGGATCAGCTTGTCGAGGCCGTGAAATTTATTGGTGGTGGCATAAATTTCGATGGCAAACACGGTTTCAAAATAGATGATCCTGGGAAACAGCCCAACTCTGCTGCCTTCCATGGGCGAGAAGAGTGGTTGTTAAGATGGCTCTTGAAGAAATTGCAGGCTCCGAAGGATGATATCCCCAGGAAAACACCTGCCTCATGGCGATTGCTTGCCCATCTTTTACAGACTATACCCATTCCGAATGCAGCACGAATACTCCAGGAGCGGAAGTTTATGGCGATTTTGCGGCAGACGTTGGAGGAGGCGCAAAAAGCAGCAAGCGACACGAGTAGGAGTATATCAGGAGACAGAACATCTTCGGACTCGACCTTGGTGGAAGAGACGTCTTCGAAAGTATCAAGGAAGCGGAAACGGTCTGGAGAGCTGGTCACAAATCCCACCGGCACGGGTGATCTTGGCTTAGGAGAATTGCTGGAGGCCATTTATGAAGCCATTGCTGGCATGCAACGTTCTACGAATGTCAACCTTGTGATTGTTGAAAAGGGACGAAGTGCTGCGTTCACAACAGAGTACATGAAAACAGTCATGAGAACCACTGCTGAAGAGGCCGCCAAAATTCTAGGATTGTGGCTCTCTCTATCCCGCATACTGCACAGCCAACGTGGAGTACGTGAACCTGTGGGTGAAACATGGCTTTCTCAATTTCTACAAATATGGGATTACCACGCTCCAGGGACAGATGATTTGATGCAATATTCCCTTCACTGCTCGCATGGCCTGATATCCCTACTTAAAGCCGTCAAATCAGGAGAAATTCAGAATCAAGACTGGCTACCAATACTGGAAGAACAGGTTGCGAGGAATATTATACTTCCAGCAAAGGCTGCAAATCTCGACGATCCAGAATCAGATCTTCTGAACACTCTGACGAGAGTTTCTATCATACAAGACTCTGCAAATGCGCCACTGCAGTTTGAGGTCGCAATTCGGTCAATCCAGCCACGTGGATCTCGTAGGCGGATGCCACATGATGATGCTTGGCTTCAGACAGTTTTCGATACTTTGGTGAAAGCCATGCCAAATACGAGATTTGAGCAGAACAGCAAGGCTATCCGTTGCATGCTCCATTGTGCGATAGATCACAAAGTAAGCCTTGAACTGCCAGCCCTACGTTCCATCACCTCAACATATGCTCTCTCTGAAGGAACGACCAATTGGGATCTACTTCATACGATCATTATTCTTGATGCAAATGTCTTCCTTATACCGGACGAAGAGAAGAACCTACTGCAAGAAGTCTTGACTCGTATCACAACTGCTTCAGTAGATCCATCGTGGTCAGAAATATCGGGTCAGGTTGTCACAGGAGTTGTGGTACCTCTTATGAAAGAATTCGCAAATGCACGCGATCTCTCTGGTTTCATTCACCACTGGTTTGCTCAACTTGTTGAATTTGAGAGACTTCGAAAGGCAAAACGAAAACAACCATCAACGGCGATCTTCAGTGCTTGGGAAGATGAGGCCCTCCAGGTGGAGCTCTCCAAGCTCCTGGAACCATCACTGACGCTCCGCCAAATTACTGATATCCTGGAATTCTTGAATGAACAGGTCGCTAAAAGCCCTGATGCTGTGTGCGTGATCCTAGAAGCCATAGCTAGCTCAATTAGCCATGCAGAAGTCGTTGATGCCGTTCAATTACGTCTTTATCATATCATGTTCGACAATATGAGTTCAGAAAAGTTGGATTCGCGATACAAATGGCGATCTTGGAGAATCCTCTCGAGATCATTATCCTGGATGACGAGTTCTGGGCTCAATGAAATAGTGAAACTCTGGGAAGAACAGGCGAAGCCATTTGATTTGCTCTCTGGCAGGCTTGCTACTGGTCGACTTCTCGAGGCTGGTGACGGGAATACCATCGACCTCGAAACCTTAGAATCTCTCCGATGCATATGTGCAGCTTGGGAAACGGTTGAAGAATGGAGTCCATTGAAAAGCCTCGCAAAGCCGTCGATGCTCAATTTCCTCCAATGCTTGGCTCGCGACATCAAATCATTCCTGCGAGATCTTCGGAAATCGCGACAGCTAGGCGAGGAAGTATGCGGCCCTAACTTAAATACACAGTATAGGGGCATGGGTTGGATGTTGTGGTCCTGTGTACGATGTATATTCGTTGAGTATCCAAAAGTGTTTGGGTAAAGACACCTGACTACCTAGTTATCATGATCTGTTAGCTGACTTTAATAGGCTCGGCTTAGAGTTACCAGACAATACCTTTAGGGAGATGTTGCAGAACGTGTTCTGGATAGCATCTGCTTCTCTTCCTGGTGTTATTCCTGGTGATTCCAACACCTGGCTTCGCACAAATCCAGACGCTTTTCCTGGCCTGTGGGTGTCCTCATTGCTTAGCCCAGCCGTTCAAAATAACGAAGCCCTTTCCGGTACGTCGAAACAAAGCGCCCTCTGATGTTTACATAAGGAGCTAATTTAGTCCAGGCCAAATGATCGATATCATGCTACTCTCCGAGACTAACATAGAAAACCCTTTGGTCAAATCCCCAAACACCAATGCCTTCTCCGTCCGCTCTTTGTTACAAATACCCTTGGATGTCTTTTCGAGGAAAGACAGAATACGTATTAGGCAATCCTGGCTTTATGCTCCCAAGGGTCCCGGCGAAAAGGAAGATGCATCTCAAAGCCCTTCATATGAATTAACAGCACTGAACTCAGAGGTGCTTAGCCTGAAATCCAGGATTATGCAACTCCCTCCTTCCTACGAGGTTAGCAATGGTTCATAGTGTACACACTTTTGTTATATGCTAACAGGCTTTAGGGAATGAAATATGAAGATCTCATCCACCTCGCTGAGGCCCTAGCCAACCCAAAGGTTCCAATTTCAAACCCGCAGGTAAACCTTGCCGAGTTCAAAAGACTCGCCGAGTTGACTCTGTTGTAAGCATCCTTCTGACCATCGCATTTCTGGATACTAAGAGATTTCTTAGTCATATGACAGCAAACCTCGATCAGCCTCGAAGCCAAGAATACGTCTCGGACGTTATAAGTCATATTCGGGAAAAGAGCAAAACGGGTTCCGGAGAGAAAGTTAAACACAAGGACCGTTGGAACTTTGCCTTGGTCACCCTATTACAAGTCGTTCTCACAGCCCTCTCAGCCAAAGCCACAGCCCTCGACAGTCACGGTATCATCAGTGACAGCGAATTGGAGAGCATTGCGGATCTTATCAAGAAATCTCTCCTCGCTCAGTTGAAACGTCTTCTCGAGAAAGGCAAGAAGTCTTCTAAATCGAGCGACGAGAATGGGAAAGATCTTCAACTTCTCTGTATAATCGATGCTCTATCAGCACTGAGCGTCGATGGGACTAAGTTGGCCAAGCTTGCTGATGAAGTCGAGTCGTTTATTGCATCGCTTAAGGAGACGGAGCATGAGGTGGCAACACGGCTAGCAACATTCATGTCTATTCATGCTCGTGATGCTGATGGGGAGCTTCTTAATAAAGAGCTCGCGGGTGACACGTCAACTATTTACGGCAGGCAAGGCATTTCTGAGAAGGTTACGGCTCTTGCCAAAGGCAAGAATCAACAACAGAAATTGGACCTGCTGAAATTGACTTTCGGAGATGAAATGGTTGGTTTGTCACAGTTGGACAAGCTGCTGGCCGCCAGGCAGGTTATTATGACATGTGAAGGTTTGTTGCTCCTGGCTCTTCTGCGATCCTAAACTAACCACTTTCAGACTCTCGACGATCCTCGAAGGATGATGAAGATGATGAAGAAGCTTTTGATTTATCAAAAGCATATTATATACTTTGCGATAAACTATGGAAAGCAACTAGTGTTCGTCAGTTTCTTCTGCTCAGTGAGACGATGGAAATGATGCTTCGAACAAAGGTATTATAACCCCTAGTGCTGCGTGCAATTCTCCTCTAACCGTTACCAGGTCCGCTCAATATCCCAATGGAATATCGACAGCACGCTCGGCAGTATCACCATCATCTGCTCCCGAAGCGGTCCTTCCCTACGTCCTATCCGAGCCGGCACTATATACCTCCATCTCTGCCACCTCCTCCAAGCAGTCCTCACCGAGCATCGCCTAAAGCTGCAAGGCCATTTCCACCTCGTCGTGCAGTGCATGCAGGCGCTCCTCCGCTGTCTCTTCATCCCTTTACCACACACCAGCACCAAATTTGCCAAGCTCTTCCCCACACCCCCTTGGCTCGCTTCCCCCCGCCACCAACTCAAGGCTTTGCACGCCGCCGCTTTCACCCGGCTCGTGACGCTGATCTGCGATCCCAGTGTGTCATCTGTCGCCCGAGCCCAGCACAATAACCTCACATCCGCGACTGACAAGGCAAAGCGGATGGCGGGCCAGCACATGCAATTCGTGCTCACGACCTACATCAAGTTCCAGCTGGAGATGCGCATGTTGCCGGAGGTGAGGGAGAAGATGGTCCCCGGCTTGTACGCGATCTTCGATACCACAACCCCCGAGATGAGGAGGATGATTGGTGATGGCTTGGATTCGAGTGGACGCGCTGTGTTCGGCACTCTGTACAGGGATTATTTGAAATTCGGAAAGTGGAAAGGCTCGTAGTCATATAGAAAGATCTAGGCTTTCTGTATTTCACAAACAATTGTCTCAGACTGTCTATTTTAACAACAAGTGTATTCCGTAACTGACCATCGTGACTTGTTCGATATCCGAGACCCGCGCATCTCAACTAACTTCATCCCTCCCCACTCTACTCCCTTTCACAAAGACCCTACTTGATGCACAACGACCGGTGGAGAATAGGTGAAGTGACTACCTACTCATCCCTCCACCCCTCCCCGCCTCTCAAGCCTTGGGTATTTCCCATGCTTCGCCTTTTATCGCCAAGCAGATAGGTAGATACGGGCTATGATAGGACCCACCGATTTCCTTCCCATCCGCGAGCCGCTCGACGTTCTCAAAGCGAGGCCGCGGATATGATAACGTACCTATACACTAGAGAACTACGAGGGTTACGTACAATATGAGAGAAGGATTAACTTTTTGTCCGAAGTGATGGAGAGAACATGTCTGGTATTTGAGATGTATTCAGTACAAGCCAATCATTAGATTTACTCCATAGTAGAAGCAAAGTGTTGATGGCCATCGGTAGACTATCTACTAGAAGCACAACATGAGTGATGACAAATTAACAGCAGAAAAAAAAAGGGGGGTTAGCTCCCATCCATCCCGTCATTAGCGTCGTAGCATACAATATGAAAGTGGTGAGCTTGATAGCTGACGAATCCAGACAAAAGTAAGGTGTATGCAAATCCTTCAAATCACGTCCAACATCCAAACTTGAGCCGGCATCTAAGGAATTTGAGGAAGATGAATTGCCCCGCCATATGACAGATGCTTTAAGCAAAGTCCTCTGTACAGAATCTCAGGGACTTGCCACTCTTCGACAGCCTTTTCTTCTGCCTCGTCCTCTAAAAAAGCCTGGAAATATAACATTTCCCTTTGGCACTGATCGAGCACGTGATGAGTGCGGAGACTGTATGGTGTGGCTAGGTCGAAGAAGTCCGTATCTCTGCACCAACATGGACCGTCAATATTATGATTTTCCACCACGAATGACAGCTCCTTGAGATTCTGAAACTCTAGGATGAGCGCCTTGCCATGTGAACCAGAGGATCTTTGGAAAAAAGTCGAGCAACTAACTCCATCTATTGCTAGCTTTTGTACTTTCTTAATGCTGTCCGGGCTCTTGGACTTGGCAACAAACTGATATTTCTGGCTGCATGAGCTGTAAAGCATGTGGAGGGTGTCGAGTTCGAAATTGAAGTAACACTGGTTCAAAGCTTTCGGATGCTTGAAGATAACCTCATACTTCTTTAACACTTCCTGTCTAGATTCCTGGCACACGTGTAGGAGAACAGGCATCTCTGCAGTGAATTCATGATCGCCTCTGCGACCGTCGCTAAGGAATCGGACATCGACCCTACGTGGTCCGGGCATGCTCAGCTTCCATATCTTGAGACGTAGCTCAATCGGGAGCTTAGGGAAGAGCTCGAACTTCGAGAGCGGGAACACAGGCGGATAGGGAGCGGTCAACTGCGCGGTCAATGCCCTCCACGGAAAAGGAGCCGGATCAGGCGCGTTCTCCATAGTTGGAGCGCGTAAGGGCATCTTGGATCGCAAGGGGGAGGTACAATTGTCCGAGTACTCTGAATCTATATGAGTGTGAATGGAGAAGGCAGAGTCAAGCCAAGTCTTAAGCTTACCAGAAGACGGAGATATGGGATGGCTGTATCAACTACCTCTCTTGAAGAGTCCTCGGGGTCAATGGATGGTCGGCAGTTGGTGATTGCTAGTAGAGGTTGACAAAAGTGTGAGATGTCGAAGATAAACGCGTCTAATCTCACAGGCGCGCGTGAAGTAAGTGAATTGGTCTTCCAAGGAGGGCAGGCGCGACCTCGCTAAGCAAAAGGGGCAACTACTCAAAAACAACAACATCGTCAGAAATCTGGGATAACAAAAAGCAGCCAAATGAACTTATAGCGATCAAAAACAAGAAGATAGTTCTGACAATAATGATGTATATCTCGGCGTCTAAACAGAAGAACATCCTATCTCAAGTCAAGATTCGAAGTCGAGGCTTGTTCGTTCTCCTCGCTTCTATCGTCAACTTGGACTTGCTCCAAATCAGATCAAAAGGTTCAATTTGGCTTAACCTATCTTCACCATCCCCTGGCACGCGACAAGAGCCATTAAAAAAATGCGAAATAGAACAAAATGGCAAAAGCCTAGGGCCGCCCTTTCGGGTGACTGTAGAAGATCCTATGGTTGGGACTTTTAAAGCCGCGAACATGTGTCGTCCTCAACCTTGGGACAGCTCGCTGTCATCGTCAACCTTAATCACCACCCAGTGTGACTCTGGGGTTTCTATGCTTGGCGTGCCAAACTAGCCTGTTTGCCATATTTGGTGACAAGATTCCCTAAATTCAATGTATGAACCTACTTCCAAGGTAGCTCAAACCCCTGCGATATGTGTCTTGAACACCACTTGAACAGCTTTCCCAATGTGTTTTCTTGTTGCACAGACTTAAGAAGTTTGATTGGCATATACTTATATGAGAGTTATATAAGAGTAAAGTTCAACTCTGCTTCCAATCCTTTCACTTACTCTCGTCTTATATTGCTGTATCACTAACTTGAGAACAACGGCTAGTAGTACTCCATGCCAGCGGCTACTGGGATCTCTCAACCCCTCCCGCCATCTGCAAGTACATGTCTCCACATAAACATTCTCTACCTAGGAACTTCGAAACCCCATTTCGTTCCCGCGGGCATAAACACCTCGTTGCTATCAGCAACTACCTTCAACACAGCCGAGAGATATGATAGGCAGAATAGTAGGTCACAATACGCTCCAAGTTTTAATCCAGTGGGCGATAAAGGAAGGGAGTTGAACTCAACTCTGCATATACCAAAACCACCAGTCTCGCTTTACGCGGATAGCAGTCTGACCACTCTCCCTCCAACACTGCACTACACGCCTAGTAATTCCGTTGCGGCCTGAGCTTTGGGGTCAGGGCTTTGAACAGATTGCCTCGCCTTGACTAGGAACAGAAGCCCAATATACGGCCCAACAACAATGCGGAAGAACAGTGCAAGGATGGGATATCAGTCCCTTCCGGGATGATCAATAGGGTGGACAGCAAGGATCGTGATGTGGCGATCATGTTTAGAGCGACCTGAAGATCAGTAAGTATAGAGGGTTCCATGATGCCTTTACTTTTGGGTTTGATATCTACCAATCCTTGAACACCTGGGGTATCGATTCCAAACTCTCCATAATCCAGACTCCAAACCCATGCGCTTCCGATTTATGCAGCCTGAAAGGAATCATTCAGATACCCCACGAAACTCTCCCTGATTCTCTTTACCGGCACCGGATTCTTCCTATTCAGCCCAATAAACTGCCTCCTCAACCTCTGCAGCGCAGGCAACCCCACCGGATTCGGAGGCAGCTCAACCACCAATTCCTCCTTATCCTCCTCCCCAACACTAACCTCCCCACCCCCTTCCCCCGGATGATCCTTCGTCCAGTCTAGAATCCGATTCAGGATCATCTGCGTACTTCGATCCAGCTCATACAGGAAATCCTCGCTACTAACCTGCGGCAAGACCGTCGCCTGATTCGGACGCACCAGCTTCTTGCCCCCCTCAGCCTCTGACCCGATCAGCGCATCCCAAATCGCGTCGCCCGGCGGCGCAGCGTCGTCCCATAGCACCGTGAAGAGCGGACTATCCCAGCGCGCCATCGCATTCGGCTCTTCATACCGGAACACCAGATTCTCCCAACACGCGCTCTCATACGGTCTTTCCTCCTCCCTCGCCTCCTCCCCCGCAGCAGCATCCCGTTCCCCTAAGCGTTTCTGGTTGAGCTCCCGCGCCTGGCTCACCGGCGTCCCGACATGCACCACCGCATGCGTAGTCCGAACCGCCTTCGCCTCGCAATACAACTGGTACCTCCATCCCTTGATATAATTCCCCCCATCCAGAATCACCATGTCCTTGCTGGTCAGCACCCGCTTCACGGCCGCGTAGATTGTCGCGCGGGCATCCTTCTCCGAGGCGTTGTTCGAGCGCTCGTGCACATCCTTCGTCTCGAGGTTGTAGACGGACCGCGGGATCCCGAGGGTGTGGTCGGAGATCAGATGTACGCGGAGCCCGGAAACTGGAGACGAGGCCGGCAGCGACGAGATTTTTTCAGTGAAGTATGTGTAGAGCTGTTGGGCGCGGTGGGTTTTGCCGGATGTGGGGTAGCCGGTTAGGATTATTAGCTGGGGGCGCGGTTAGGTTAATTGTTCGACGAGGTGGGCATGCTGGAGATATAGGATACTTACAGGCATGATGTTGGTCTCGTGAATGTCTGAGGTGAAGCCCCAGGAAGGAAAAATCGTGAGGTTTGCGCGGGGTTGTGGATTTGCGGTTGTGGCCGAAGGTGGCTAATAAGCCCCACTTACCAATTGCGTCTACGGGCAATAGAGGCTTTAGCCTTTAGGTCTCTGAGAAGATACAGTGTATCAACTACATTCTGTGTCAAAATCAAAATATCCATATAGGACAAGAGGCCTGTAGTACGCGAGATAAATTCCTAAACTCTGGATCATGCCTCTGAACACCCGAACTAAAAGGCCCGGAAAACTTCCTCCTGATAAGGAGCGTCCACACAGCCAATCCCTTCAATCTCCATAAACGAACATAGGCAAGATATCGCCATCATTAAACCTGGGCTTCTCGATAGTATCTATAAGCTTCCAATTTTTCCTATACTTTGTTCTGCAGATGTCACAGCGAGAGTGTCCTCGATAATCCTGCTCGCAAACTCCGTATACTCTCTCTCTCTCTCACACTTGACATCAGTCAATGCCTGGAAATACGTAGGTGAGGAATTCCGATAACTACATTTCTGTTACATATAGGTGATGGGACTGCAAGTTGTCAGATATATAGCTAAGCGGGAAATGTATCAATGACTGAGCACACGCTGCCTGCTTAGTTCTATCCCCAGACTAGAAGTGAAATGCAGGAGCAGAGCTTTATACAACGTCAGATCTGTGAGTGCTGACAGAGAGTAGGGAGTTGTGAGGAGCGAGCTGGCTTCGTTTGCTTTCCATTGTACATCAAAGTGCTCTAGGGCCGTCGACACTTCGGATAGCTGTATGAAAAGGGGAACTATGGAGAGGAGATTTGCTATTCTAGATTCCTAGAAGGAATAAAGAGAGAAGGAATGAGCTCAGCCTTAGCTAGGGGCTATATAGCAGACAGTGGATTATACGACAGAGAGGATGGTTAGCCGGCAACGAAACCGTTTCCGAAGTGAAATAAAGCGAAAGAGGACTTGTGAACAACTGACTGTACTTTGCCGTATCTACAAACCTGTCAAAGCAGCTTCTTGATTTGTGTAAGCAAATCAATGTGTGAAAATCCCCGCACAGATCACATGCGACGGGCAAGACGATTCGATGAAAGAGCAGACAGCTAGTCGCACTGACTCCTCTACGCTCCCTGCTCGTATTTGCTGTACGAGACAGCGTCTCCTTAATTTCAGCCAGACGCAAATACGGCCTATAACAGGAGAATTATCGCAGGGCTTGGAGGCAATGCTCAAGCAATTATTCGGTCAGACCAGGCGTCCTGCGAGGCGAGCGAGGCGGCCAAAATGGGTTACGAAGATCGGAGGGGTCCTTGACCCAAGCTTCTTGCTCTTCTATTTGTTTCGATGTTCATTCAGGCCTGAATAAAGTCTGTATGTAATACTGGACGGAATACTCCGTAACAATCGTTTGAAATCGATTACCCCTCGAGGTAAGGAGGGGTAGAGGGAGGGGAAGGGCTGAGAGGAGTGTATGCAGGGGTGTGTCTAGGAATCTAGGAGTATGATTAGCAACGCATCTTCGCTGGGTCCCCTTCAGGCTTCAGTCCTGTGAGAATACTCACTGAGTCCTGACTCTCAGCCTGGATATTGCCAAGAGAAGATTGATTGATCGACGAGAGCTTCACCTATCTCTGGCAAAACAATCAAAACAATGCCGCCATGCCACCATCGAATATACCTGCGTACGCTGCTCGGTGACTCGTGAGGGACGTCGCAGCCTTGAGCTGCTCAGGCGGGTGGACATCTCCAATCAACTCCTCCACCCACCACACCACACCTCGACCCGGGATCACGCACACGCCCCGTCATAGCACACGACGCCCGAGGAGCCATCTCCGAGATATGATCAATCGAATCCGATGAATGATACAGTACAGTACAGTACTGAGCTCGGGGCATATTGGGAACAGAGTCGAGAACAAGAATGGGATAGTAATAGAATGAGCTCTTTGAGGGATTTTCCATCAGATTAATGGCGAGCCCAGGGTCCAACAACCCCAGCGGGCACATGGAGCGGCCCGGCCAGAGGGGCGGGAAAGAAACAAGTTCCCGCTCCTCGCTGGGTTCGGAGGTGTTACCGTTAGTGCGGGAGATTACTCCGTATTATGACGATTGTCACTCGATGCATGGCATTGCATGGCATTGCATGAGATGGTTTACCTCCATAAGGCTATAACGATGGCCACTATTACGGAGGATTACCGTCTGATTACACGCGGATATTCAAATTCCAATCCTCCGCTCGGTGTTCATTTCGTCTGAATCAGCTGCTCCATCCTCATCCATGTCAACTGGTCAAGGCTCAAGACAACGACAACTGACTCGGCCACTCTTCTTCCTGTCCGACGAGATACCTTCGAGAGAGCGCTCTGCGGCTTCGTTCCCTTCTTCCTCTCCTCTGGTCTCTATCTCTCTGTACTGCAGGCCGCGCTGCGGTCGGAACATGTGCCAAAAGCCTGCTCTTGCACTGCGTCGCTCGAATCAGAGCGGTGCACGCGGAACGATTCGTGACGCCTGCTGCAGAAGAGAAGAGGCCACGCCCACTAGCTCCCTCGTGCTCCACTGCTCTCCGCCACTCTCCAACCAGCATCCCGGCTTGGCCATATTACCGCAGACGCTCGATGCGCAGAGGCTGTGTGGCATTGGATGCTCCGTCGATCCATTGGCTCGAGGCTCTTGCTCGCACGCAGTAAGCCCTGGTCGCCGTCAAGCGACCATTGCCAACACACCGATGCTCACACAGCTAGCCGAATAGTCATAAGTGAAGCCATTCCCCCCTTCCCCTCCACCTCAACTTTCTCCCTCTTCTCCCACAACAATAATCCCCAAGCCTTCTTCAGCCCTCTTTCCTCCTACCCCCCCCAATCCAGAAGAACGCCATACCATCATCCACTTTCAACAACACTGTGCAGCCGCTGCCGCCGCTGACAGGAGACCCATCAACCAAGATCTACACGCCGAGCCGACCACTGGAAGGGAATCATTATCTTTTTCTTTATTGTTATACCCGGATTTTCCAATGATCTGTGTCCAAACTCAACCTTGTATAAAGCCTCAGCCGGATGCCATGGCAGGATTCGACCCACAAAAGCTTTCCAGGACTAAGGCTACCGCCAGGTATATTGTTTTTTCACATCTTTATTGCTTTGCTGCTTGCTTTTCGTACAAGGTGCCGAGAATTCATGTGCTGCGAAATCAATGTTTTCCTTGTCTAGCAACGCCAGCTCCAACGTATCCGGCTTCCTCAGGACTCCATTCATTTCCGGACTTCCATATTTCCCAAGGCTGGGCCCAGAGGTTCTTTTTACGTGTTCCAGTCACGTCCCCATCAGATCAGGTGATCACAGCATTGAAATTTCACAACCCCCTGCTCCCAGCAGGTGACGGCCTGGGTAGGTATGGCCCTCAGAAACTCCTGGTCTCCATTTTATGTTATTGGCCATTTTACTCCGGATAAACCCAGGATATTCCATTGGCCGCTGGATTTGTGTCTGCCATGACAAGGGGGCCTTGTCAGGATATGTTCCGTGATTCCCATTGTGATATATATCAGCTGTATCACGTGCGACTAGGACTTCCGTTCTTTGCCCTGGATCGAGATGTGAATCCGCAAGCCCTGTTGCTGACACATCATGGCTATAACCTGCCAACTCGCCTTGAATTATACCATGGGTCCCTTTTAAACCGTCACTAGGTCGCTGTCTATATGAGAGGACCGTGTCTTCCAGACAATGGCTCTCACCAAACCTTGATTAGGTTGCGTGCATCCGCACAAAGTGAAGCTTAGTAGGCAACATGCCTTGACTTGTCGACAATATCCGCTAGGAGCCTTCATGGATCATTACCTGGACTTGCCGTTGGACATGGAGCCTTAAAATTCCCAGGATCCGTCAGGAGATACCGTGGTCCAACTCATACAATACAAACGGATGATCGTCTCCAGCCGGTGACAAGGATCAAACAGGCATTATATCAATGCCATTGAGTACGTACACCTACCTGCTCAACGCCGACTAAACGTCTGGCACGCTTCCCCTTGATTGGCGCCGAGAATAAACTAACAGAATGCTTTGTATTCTCCTTGCAGGAAGTCTTGGACCATTGTGAACACCCAAATATGGATACCTTGAAGAGATGAAACTATACCTGAAAGCCTATGGATTTATGCCTATCAACGCCCTGCCATTGGACTCTCTTTTCTGTTCTCTTTTTCTGGCCTCATGGGATATACCACTCGGACACTCCTGCCCATACTCAATGGCGCTGCCTGTTGGTTTGTTAATCCACCCGAAGCTCTTTTGACTTGTCAATTGCTGACCCAATGAAGCTCTAGGACCCTCTAACGGATGCTATTATGTTGCTTTTTTCTTTCTGCTTTTCATTTCATTTGTTCGGGGTTGCACTTGATATAAAATGGGGTCTGGACAGCACACTAACCTAAACCCTCTAGCGGCTTTAACCTGACAAATGATTCTACCTTCGTCCATGGAACTCCTGGAATTTCTTTCCGTCAGACAGAACCTATCCAGGGTAACAGCAGCGGATCAATCTGGCCCGGAACTGGTGAAGGCTCACAGTACTTGCACCAAGATTCATTATCCCAGGGAGGGAATGCACAAAATGATTTCTCTGATTCTTTCCATTCTTTTGGCCAAGCACCTGGCCGAAGTGTCCCAAGGACCATGTGGAATACCGGGCTACTGCCTGCCGGTGAAGAAATGTCACGCTATCCATCTCAGGATTCAATAGGAGCCGCCTCCCAAGGGACCACTCATTCGTCCTCCTTATCTAACTCTTATGATCAGACTGGCTCTGTGGGAATGTACCCCAGTGTCTCACAGATGTCTTTCCATATGTCATACGCTAGATCAGATGTCACAGGCAGGTCACCCAGCCCTGATAACTCTGCTTTATATACCCCAACCCAGGTGGATCTTCAGGCCTTCGAGAGCTACCCATATGGGGCTAGCGAGGACATTTCGGGGAGCCATCCTCTTTTCCACCGGAATTCTGATGTTGCATTGACCTCAGGACACTCATTCAGTATGTATCCTACTACTGAAGATGACGCATTTGCGTCCACATTGGCCTCTGCGCACCTGCCAATCACGCATGATGGAATCTACAATCCCAATGGTATGATGGACTCTCCAACCGTATGGACAAATGGCCCCAATTTCCTGGATTCGCAAAGGTCGTCTCCTGCACTTGACGACTGGACTCTCCCTCCACCACATTTGACAACTTCTACGAGCAGCAGCCCTTTGGACTACTCACCCAGTCTTGAAGGTTTATCGCCAAGGTACGTTCAATGCGTCCCGGATATGGTAATGCCGCCTCCTTACAAGACCGATGACAGAACCGTGAGAAAGCCTATTGGCCCGAGACAATCTAAAGTCGTTAGCGATTTGGCATCCAGAAATCGTAGTCTGGTAGAGACATCCGAGACTCCCGATGAGTCTCTAAGGTTTGTGGGCCGCTCCAGCCTGGAGGTTGACAATAATGCCCGGGACCATCCCTATTACCACAATGTGACTCCCCAAGCCGATGGGCTCTACCACTGCCCATGGGAAGGCAAGCCGTCTTGCCAACACAAGCCTGAGAAGCTCAAGTGTAATTACGAGTATGAAACTTTCCCATCTCTCTATTTCCATCCACAACGCTAACCGCATCGTCTCTATTAGCAAATTCGTGGACTCTCATCTGAAACCCTACCGGTGCAAGGAATGTGAGAACTCCCGTTTCTCTTCCACAGCCTGCCTCCTTCGGCATGAGCGTGAAGCCCACGCTATGCATGGACATGGCGACAAACCATACTTGTGCACGTATGAGGGCTGTGAGCGCAGCGCCCCTGGGAATGGCTTTCCTCGCCACTGGAACCTCTGTGACCACATGAGGCGAGTGCACAATGATCCAGGACCCTCCAAAAGCAGCGCCAGCGGATCTCCTCCCCCATCCGGTGGGACCGTACGAGGAAAGAACAAGCGCAAGGCTGATGCCACTGAACCACCCACTGAGAAGCCAGTGAAGAGAGTTGCCACGCCTCCTGCGGCGGCTCGTGAGCCGCAGGAGCCCAGCCTGGTTTCTCGTTACCATTCGAGCAAGCAAAAACTCCTGGAAACCATGAAGCAACTCCAGGATCCTAGGGATGCTAACAATATGGCACTGCTCCGCAATGCAAGCGATTGCCTCAAGGTAATGGCCCAGACCACCCAGCGCCTCAATTCCGCTCCTGCCACGAGCCTGAACTTGAGCCAGAAATCCTCTGGCTGAAGGAACAGACAGTACGATTGAGAAGGAGGATGATTGTGAGGATGGCGTGGTTACGACTTCTGTCTGGTCCACACCCTCAGATATCCATCCTGATGTTCAATCAATGAAAGGAACCCACCCGGTATTTACGGCTCAATTCGATCCTAGACACACCGATATGAGTATTGCGGACCCCAGTACGCATACATGCATACAGAAGGAAATCGACAGTCAAAGTCATGAAATCAGTCATGCATCCAAGCCACCATATGGAGGATGTTATCGATCCCGCACCGAGATCATCCCAAGGACATGACCGGATACATAGGCACCCGAGGATCCCGCTGCATGGAAGCGCTGTGAGGCACTATCCCAGGACCTTCTTTTTCTTCGCCCCGAGGATAGATGGGATGCATGAAGATGGACTATTTCGAGATGTTGGGGAAGGATAACCCGAGTTAATTTGTGTGCTTCTTCTGCTGTTGCTGCGTTATTAGCTTTTACTTATTTGTTTGTTTGTTGGATATATAAAATGTCGTTTTTTGTTGAAGTGTTCAAGTGGGTGATCTGATAGAGATTATACTATGCGATTTACTTGCTTTGAACACCCCTATCTACCTGCATCCGCTTCGAGCGAACAAACTGATCCCATCAAACCACCCCATCTCGCGAATCTTAACTTCCGGCACCTACCTACCCACCTATCTGTAACCTCCCGTGTGCCAATCACAACTCACGTCCTAGAGTCCGATCTCCTATCCTGGTATCGTATCATAGATACATATTTCAGAGCCTAGGTCTAGATCTGCATGTATCAAGTAAGATAATTAATTAATTACCAATACTTCTCTCCTGCCTGTTCCGTGGAGATATATAGATAGTTATTAGAAGGTCGTAGGTGTATGAAAAGAAGGGTACGTATCATCATTGCATAGCATAGCATAGGTGCATAGAGAAGTCAAGATCTATCTACATTATGAATATTATGCATAGATACTGTCATTAATTAAAAAATCATTAGAAGTGAATTAATTGCCGTGAATATTCAGCTATTACGTCCAAAAAGGAAAAAAAAAGGGGGGGCTTTATATATACTCCGAAAACCCCGGGAAACAGCACCAGAGAAGAAGACACGCTCTACAGCTTAGTCCCAACCCTCCATCCCACCTTCACATATGTCTCGACATTATGCACCGTCGAGTTCCGGACCAGATCTGCATCCAGCACGATCTCGCCCCGCGGGTACAAGACAATGACTGTACTCCCACCATAGTAGAAGGCGCCTAGACACTGGCCCCTCCTTACCTGCGTCCCGACGGTATCTGCACCGTTAACGTACTTGATGCTACCTACCAGCATAGCGCCCACGGCCACAATCGCAATTGGAGCCCCGGTCGTCGACCGCTCGAGCGTCATGACCGAGCGCCGGTTCTCGCAGAACACGTCGAGCGTCCCGGGCTCATTGATGGCTTGCGGATTTACGGTGTAGTAGGCGCCGGGGATCTCTTTGATGCCTCGCACGGTGCCGGAGACGGGCGCATGCCATCGGTGATAATCCTGGGGCGCGAGTCTCGCGATGACGAGAGAGCCGCCTTCAAATTGCGCCGCGAGCTCGGGGGAACCGAGCAGCCGCTCGAGAGTGAAGCCGAAGCCTTTGATCCAGTATTTGGTGGCGAGGTCGACGCTTGGGAAGGCTGTCAGGCGGCAGTCAGCTGGGGAGGAGGTGACGAGGTCGTTGTCTGGCTCTGCGATTGGGCGGGCGGATTCTTTGATCTCACGTGCGAAGAACTCGTTGAATGTGGCATAGTCGTTGGGGTCTGGCTTCACCATCTCGGAGAGCGTGGACTCCAGCTGGAAAGACTGAATGAACGGAATGATGTGCTGCTTGCTGGCGGGGGAGTCGTACTCTGCGCCCATCTTCTCGCTTTGGACTTTAAGCAGGCTGAGGGTCTTCTTCCAGTGCAGGATGTTCTCTTGCGCGCTGCCGTAGTAGAGAAGATGCATTCCCACGCGCACATAAATGCTCATAGCTTCGAATGTCTTCTCCCCTGTTTGGCGGTCCATGACATAGTTCCCAAGGTGGAACTTGTTCTCGACGGCTTCAATTGTGCCATGCGGGAGGTGTCTGGAGAGCCACGAGTGGGATTCTTGCGTGACGGAAGAGCCATGAATGTGAGAGGTCGGGGGTTGGTTTTTGTTCTCAGCACGGCGGGTTAATTCCTGAAGGGCGCCGGCGCTGGCATCAAAACCCGCATCAGTGAGAGGATGAGGCTCGTAATCTGTTTGTGCGTAAGAGACCGGCTTGTCCATGGTGATAGCTGGATAGTCTGTAGTCGAGGTCAATACAGCAAAAGGAGTAGTTGGTATAGCAAAAAGAATGAGAAGCTGGAACCTGCAGCATGTGGGAATCCTGTCATCTTCTACTCTGATGAACCCCTCTCTCCTGGGGCTGACTGTACGCAGCGTACAGAGCGCCAGCCAACAGTTGGTTGGCAAGGTCCATTGTAACCAGAGCTGATGTCAGAGTACTGGGGTAACTAGTAGATAGATGCGCGGCTTCGAGCACAGGGGCACCCAAACAAGCTTCCTAGGCAGGGCTTCTCATAGGTGAACAAGTGAACTCGGGTGGTTGATCATTGTCTACGGAGGTAAGGTTGGCAGCCTCACCTAAGGATCGTCAAGCTGCTGACTCCTGAGGCTGCCAAAACGACCGCCACAGCCTCGCCTTGTCAAGCCACATATTTACTTTCCCGTGACCCTGTCGGATCTCATCCCCAAACCCTCGAACATACCCATTTCCCGCTCAGCACAGTGAACATGGTCAGGCACCCACGAGTAGGAGGCTTGCCTCCAGATACGACGGCCATAGACCTGTCACGCATGCTTGCACGCCTTGAGAACATTCTCGTTACTCCGGATTCAGCTACAGAGACCAAGTTGCGAGCGTCAAGCTATGAGCGGGAGAAGGTTGGCACTGTAAGCTTTCTTCTGCACAGGGTTTAAAACATGTCTGACCGGCGGGATAGAATCTCGAATATGCGCGGTCACTCCTTCTACGACTAGAGCAAGATGCACTTAGAATAAAGATTCAGTCCAAAAAACAAGAAGCGCAGGCCGATCTTGTACGGCGGCGAGAAACGCTCCAGATGCTGAGCGAGCGACTACGAGAACTCAATGAGTTGGGAGCACACCAGCTAGAGGACGATGAGAGTTCGGAAGGCGAGGATATATTAGGGGAGGAAACTCCGAGCGATGAAACGGAGACGGATGATCAAGATTCACAGAGTGACGCTCCTCCACCTACTACTACAGCTACGCAAGATATACCCCGGACGAGAGACCCAGAACCGATTAGCACAACACCTACAGCACCCATAACACAACCCGAACCCACATCCAACCTCCGATCCCGAAATCGGCAAGCCGAAAAGGAGAAAGCAGAGCTGCTCTCAGGGACGTCCACCGGTCTCTCAACCGCCACAACAGAAGCCCTTCTGACACACAATCGCACCGAACAAGAATCCCTCACCAATTCCCTTTTGAACATGGCGCAAGCTCTCAAGGCCTCCAGCCACTCGTTTGCCTCTTCCCTCGAAGAGGAAAAAGACATTTTGAACAGAGCGACAGAGGGACTGGATAAGAATGAGCTGGGCTTGGAAGCTGCGCAGCGGCGGATGGGGTTCTTGAGGAAGTATACGGAGGGTAAGGGGTGGTGGGGGCGGATGATGATGTATGTCTGGATTGCGGGCTTGATGGTGATAGCGTTGATTATTGTCTTTGTTTTACCGAAGGTAAGGTTCTAGGTCTGGTTAAGGGGCGGAGTCTGGAGCTTTTGGAATCGACCATCGATGGAGAGGGGATTCGGAGATATGTTAGATATGGACATATTTTGATACCAGGTGGTAGATGACGATCTCAGGAATTACGATCAAAATGCTAGCTAGATACCATGAATATGCCGGGGTTCTGAAGAAACCTTATTCTACTACGTAATGACCCTCTACGGAAAACGACTAAATAGCTGTTGTGTTAACTGATGAGGATAATAATTTGAATGTTATCGAGCGGTCAGATCCTCCCAAGTATGTCCAATCCTTGATATGGATGAAGAGAATAAAGCTGGACGCCATTTTCCGCAATGCTGTACCAAATCCATGCAAAGATAAAGATGTGTGTTGCGATAAGCTAGAGGAGAAGAAGGACACGAATGTCTTGAGGTGAGCTTGGTGTCGGTGAGAGAGGACGGTGAGATGCTGCGGGTGCTGGTGTTAGGTTATTGCTGGCATGGCGGATTGGGGGGCCAGAATAAGGGGCTGAGGGGCGTACAGTATAGTGTAGAGAGATAGATAGGTTTACGAGCAGCCAGAATCAGGAGAGGGATGGGACGAGATAGACATTGGGGAACCGTTCCCCATTTCCCCCGTCTCAGAAGTATGCTCGCTCCCAAACCCGTCCTCAGCCTCAGAGCCAGTATCATGCACCTCTTCTGACTTGACCTCATTATCTCTCCACGAAGGTGGATTCTTTCCAGGTGGTAAAGCACCCACAGGACGTCCGAGTTTTGGGGCGTTGTAACGAAATTTTTCAGGATCTTGGAGAAGCCCGTCTAATCGATCGTCCCATTCAATACCTGTGATGTTTTTAAACCATCCCGTAAAATCAGAATACGCTTCGAAGAAAGTCTTTGGATGACACTCGGTGCGCCAATAGGATGGGCGGCGGCCGGGACTGGTGAGCTTGGCTCCAGCCATATAGTGCGATGGTTTGGCATTCGATTCAAGGAGCTGTGGGTTGAATTAGATACAACTGTCCTCGCTCTGGTATATGGAAGAACACACGTAAATAGTATACTTCTCTGACTTAACTTTGCCATCCGTGTTCAGCCGGGTGCAGACCACTTCGTACTCAAATCCTGTCTGATCACAATAGACATGGTTGAGCTCTGATTGCTTTCTCGTCAGTCATTAGACCAAATCCAATAGCAATTAGAAGGCTTACGGTTATCAACCAACTCGCAACTAGCTTTCATAGCAGCTCCAAACTTCAGTCGGCAACCCTTCTGTTCCTTCAAACTATCATTGACTCTCTTGAGGACCTTGTTTAGAGTATAATCTTTCTCGGGCCTGCATCTCTTCTTCGAGGGTTTGCAGACAAGGCAGTCCTCCAGCCAGTCCTTGTTAACAATGTGGCATTGCTTGCCGATAGCTAAAGCCCTTTTAACTGGAAATTTATCAGTATATGGTAATTACCAGATTTATGGAGACATACTCTGATCTGTTTTCTTCTTATAATGCTCGACGGTACATATCAAGTGAGTAGTGTTTGCTGATACCTCCCTCTCATACTGCCCGCCATGAGCCTTGATCCAGCCTGCCATTTGCTCGTGGGCCCAATTTTCTCCGAAGTCTCCAGAGAAGGAAAATATTTTCCCGCGGAAGATTTGCTTCATGGGTTTGGAACTCTTGGATTTGGACTTGCGTTCTGTGACAATGTTGGTTGCGACTTTCTTGGAGGCTATGTTGCCGTTGCTTTTGGAACCCTTTCTTGCAGCCATGATGACCCTGCGTGTAAGACCTTTAAAAAAGGCTATTGTAATTTCAAAGTAGAGTCGAGTGACGAATCTAATTGTCGGAGGGGCTTTAATAATGAATAGATGTGATGGAAGACAAGGGGGTTGTTGAATATCAGATTGATATAGTAAGTGAACACGTGAATAAATAAAGCGTTTGTGCAGTTTTAAAGATGTGATCCAGATGTGTAGTTGGAGTCGTATCCTTGATCAGTAGAAGCTGATTACCCAATATTGAGAAAGTGAGTAGAGAAATATGTTGTGCAGGGCAGATATCAATACCAAGAGCCAAGTCCAGCGCGGTATAGATCAAGATTAGTAAATGTGGAGGATAAAGTGAGTGGGGAGCTATGCTGTCAATGGGAAACAATGATGCAAAGTCGTGTCCTTCAAGGTTTGGCTGATCAAGCTCAAAGGCTATAACAGCGTAAACCATGCAACGAAGATCTTGTGTTAAAATTCTGATAAATATTTTTGTTTGAGAGGAGAGATTACCTCAAACTCTAGATAATGTGTAAGATAAAAGCAAGAGTAAAGTTGAATGGAGTACGATATGGTAGATGAAGAGCGCAGTTGGAAATCAACGATTCACCATAGAGGAAGGAGAGGTGGACTTACAACAATGCCCAGAATCTAGTTGTCCTTGACAGAATGTTAAATCGAGCAACAATGGTATGATAGGTGTTGAGCAGTGGCGAAAGTTGGATGATAACCTCCAAATATATTGGTGGATGGAAATTTGAAGTGCTAAGCCACTAGGTCTTGGGAAGAAAATCATGATACTTGAGAAGGTAGGTAGTTGATATCCAGAGAATAAGCAAGAACGAATGAGAGTAATGAAATGTACATATGTAGCACATGGCGAACTTTCGAACTATTGGTGTTGACAATATTTCGGGCCCGACTATGATATCCTCGGGCGAGCCCTAGCAAGGAAATGGATGTCGAGACCCTCCATAACGCTGCTCGCTATGGTTCCATATTCCCTAAAAGCTAAAAGCCAAACTTGAGATACAGGCACTGGCCAAAAGAATTAGCGACATAGACATAGGTTTATCCTGGAACCAGAGTCCTTTGTAGCATTGTCACCAGAATACATCGCGTAACCGAGCCATAAAAAGGGGCAAAGGAGTAGGAAATGAAACTTCCACATTGCCCTTGTAGCTCGGTCCTCTTAAATTCAAAGTCAGCTAATTGAAACATTGATCGGTATAGTAATTTCTTGAGGAGTGAGACCAGCCAGGAGATTTCACTTGTTTGGCTTGGTTGAGATATGTTTCCGCTTGTGAGGTCGGGAGTGTAGTATAAGGTATGAAGTCCAGGAAGTTCTCATTGCCTATTTACGTTACCTAACGCTCTTAGCTGCTTTTATGAAAGCCTGAATCTTCGCCACGCTTTGAACCCCATTTTCCTCAACACCGCTGCTTACGTCGACGCCAATGATCCTGTCGCCTAGAGAACCAGCTGCTCGTACAACGTCGGCCACATTATCTGGGTTTAGTCCACCTGCAAGTACTACCCTTAAACCCTGGTCCTTTGTGAGTGCTGTTTTCACTTCTGTAATGTCTAGTTTCTGGCCAGACCCTCCAGTCGCAGAATCCAGTAACGGTACAGTGTGATAGCCCCTCTTTCCAAGACCAGGCTGACCGGGTTTGAAACTTCGAATAACAGGGACAGGGATAAGATTGGCCCACTCCAATGGCTCATCTCCGTGGAGTTGCACAATATCCAGGTCATAGGCTTTCTGTAGCTCCAAGACCTCCTCCAGGGGTTGATTCTGGAAGACGCCGACCAGCAACGGTCGGTGACTTGAAACATTTGAGGCAGCATTGGCGAAGAAGTCTGAGGCCTGGCTGCTTACCCGATCAGACACTACTGTTCCGGTGGTTACTTGTGATTGATGAACAGCTTTTGATATCGCAACAGCGTCCTTATAAGGGACATGTCTGCTCCTTCCGGGAACAAGGATCATGCCAATCAAGTCCGCACCAGCCTTGATGGCCTCCAACGCAGTTTCTGCCTTTCTTGTTCCACAGATCTTCACGAGAAGGCTTCCAGGCGCTGATTTTGCGACCGGCTCTGATCCTCCAAGGAGCTCACGGATAAAATTGGCAGTATCTCTTGCTCGCATGAGAGCTTCGCCCACAAGAACTGCGCCAACACCATTTTTCTGATATGCTACTACATCTTGAGGTCCAGAGATGCCACTGAGTGCACACACAATAGTCTCCTTGGGGACCTGGCCAAGTAGTCGACTCGTAGTTTCAAGGTCGACTTCAAAGCTTGTGAGATTTCGGTTGTTGACCCCAATGACCTTGGCGCCAAGCTTGACAGCTATCGACATCTCATCAGCTGTGTTGACCTCCACCAGCGGTTCCATTCCAAGTGATCGAGAATAGTGATATAATCTTGTCAAAGTAGCTTCATCCAGCATTTTGACTATCAGCAGAACTGTATCGGCGCCAGCCAACCTTGCTTCTAAAATCTGATACTCTTCGAAGATAAATTCCTTACGCAATACTGCCGGGCGATTGGGCATTCCCTCAAGAGCCTGTCTGACAGCGCGAAGGTCGTCGATACTTCCTTTAAACCATTCAGGCTCAGTAAGGACGGAAATCACGCTTGCGCCAGCCAGAGCGTAAGTTCTCGCTTGGGCTGGAGCACATGCTGATAATGAAATGACACCTTTGGAAGGAGAGGCTCGTTTAATCTCAGCCATTAGTGAAATAGGAAACGGGGATTTGCGAAGACGCTTTTCGAGTGGTATAAGAGGAGGTGCAATATCCAAGTCATATGCAGCTTGGAGGTCACTAGGCCTCTGGGATGGAATCTCTTTTTGTGCTGCCACTGCTAATTTTCGGTGCGCAAAGATCTTCTCCAAAATGTTCTCTTTCTTGCTCTCTTTTGCTCCATTCGAAACTTGCTTGGCGTTGCTTGCGGCCTCCTTTTGTAGTCGTTCGTTCTCCGCCCAAGTTCCTCCTTGCATTTGCAGAAAATTCTTAAGCATGACACGGCCTTCTGCTGTCAAAATACTCTCGGGGTGGTATTGAACGCCCTCTATTACATACTCCTTGTGCCGAACACCCATGATGACCCCCTTGCCGCCATCTACGCCTGATGCGATCCAAGAGGATACTTCTAGGCATTCCGGAAGAGTGGGATGTGTTCCCGCAAGAGAATGATATCGAGTGACAGGCAGGTCTTGAGGTAGGTTGGCGTATACGCCTTTCGAATCGTGGCGGAGTGGCGATGTCTTCCCGTGCAGGATCTCTCCAGCATAGCTCACATCTCCTCCGTATAGATCTAGTATGCATTGCCTGCAACAATTATTAGTACAGAACCTCATGTTGCGCGGTTTGTGTCACTAACTGTCCCATACAAACCCCAAGTATAGGGATCTTCCCAGCAAAGTATTTGATCGCATCTCTGCTGATTCCAGAGTCTGTCTTGGGGTGACCTGGGCCTGGACTGATGACCAATTGGGTCGGGCGCAGCGCCGCGAGCTCTTCTATACTGAGCTCATCATTTCGGTATACTGTGACAGATGCGCCTTCGAGCATCAAATACTGGTAGATATTCCAGGAGAATGAGTCAAAATTGTCGATCAAGATGACATTCGAAGCATTGGCAAGAGGTGGCACCGGCTGCGGTTGCTGCGGAGAGTAGTCGATCAAATCAAGGGCCGGCATCTTGCTTGAGGAGACGTGTTGTAAAAGCACTGTTGTGCATTCCAATTTCAACAGTGTTGATGGAAGTTGACTCCGAATGATTTGCGGCGGGCGGTATTGACGAGGCTGGCCCACGCACCCCTGCAAAAAAAATACAGGAGGCGAGAAGTGAGATCGCGAAACCTCAGTCGCGTCAACTACCTAGACAAAAAGCCCAGCCCAGCAGCAAAGCTCCTTATCCCTCGTCGCAGAGCCCTTCTCATGCTCCAGCAAACGGCATACCATACCAGTCTGGCTTGCTGAGCTTGGCAGCAATGGTTCCAATACCGGAGTCCAGCTATTTCCCAGCTCTGGACAAATGCCTGACTGGAGACCAGCTCCTCATGTGAGTATATCTGTAGCTCCTGTGCCTGGTAGAAGCTTCTAACAGCCAGATAGCTCCTGGAAGACAGCTGCCTCTGCCATATCGTGTGCCGATGTCTCCCAAAGCGAAGGCAATTCCACAATTGAGCAGTTTCTTTCCAATCCAGATGTCCTAGAATTACTAGCTCATCCATTTAACGCCTTCCCTGGACCATCCCAGCAGACCAAGGCTGCTTTCGAAACCAAAACCTCCGCCATCAATGTTACCCCTTCATCGAGCGCACGATATGATATCAAGGAGATCAAGGAGGATGCATTATGGCTGAGCAAGGAGGCCACAATCGACGAAGTCTCGGCGCTGAGGGTGGTAGTTGTGGAGTGGCAGTCCCGCACATACGCGCAACTTCTTGATCGTTTTTCAAATGAGGAACTTGCAGGCATACGAGATGCAGCAGGTCAGAGCCAGTCTTCCCTACCAGTGCCATTATTATCCCAAGGAGAGGATTCAAAAGCCCTGCAGGCAGCCTTTGAGACCAATGACAGCCGCCAATTCCGCATACTTCGTACATATCTTTCCGAGAGACTGCATCTGCTAAAATGTGCTGATATGCTGCTTCAAAAATATGTATACCAGGACGCACAGAATTCTGGGGATACTAAAGGCAAAGCACGCGAAGGGGCTGTTTCAAGGCTGATAGAAATTGGACAAACCCTGGCTAGATCGACGCCGGGAGAATCCGAAAAGTTTATCCTTGAGTGCATTAAAGGCGTCGAAACCAGTCTCAAAAACGCCGAGACTGGAAGTGGGTGGTATAAGGAGAAGGGCGGGCGAGAAGAACTCGAGATCGAGTGGATCAACAATCAGATCACGGAAGCAACGCTCACAATGGAGATCATATTTCAAACTCTTGACATTTCAGAAGCTATCGCCTCATCCAACACGGTCCTTGCGTGGCTTGGCCTCGTTACCAAGTATGGATTTTTTGATGGTTTTGCTACCGTAAGAGCCCCTGTCTTCATTCAAACCTAGCAGATTTAACATTCGGCCACAGGATGAATTATCCACCCAAGCTTTGATCTCACCATTGCAATCAATCACTGCAATCATCTCCGTATCAATTTTGAGTGTTGGAATCTGCCTCGACTACATACAGAATCCACCACCAGACGTTAACCCGTCTCCTGATGCACCAAATGATGCCCCTTACATACTAAATTCCACAATAATCCCTCAGATACACAATATGTTGATGGATATAGCAGACAACCTACCTGTGAATGCGGGGCCTCTAGTCCTTGGTTGGAGCGTTATCCTACAGGGGATAAGATTGCGGGTTGACGACACCAGACTTAGCCAAGAGGGATATGACGAAGAGCTCCTTCGCATTGATCGTCGGTCATCCGACACAAGCCAGAGTTTGTTGATTCGTGACCCGTACGAGGACGCTGTGACGGAGATCAATAAAGGTCCTGCAGAAGATCCTATTCAACTTCTTGCGCTGGCTGCTGTGAATGGGAGCCGTGTTTTCGAGGTCCTAGCTGATCTTGGTTTGCGGCTTGGGGATACTTCACACGCCTATTTCTCGAATACAGTTGGTGCAAAAATGCGGATGGTCATCTTAGATCTCATACGGGGCAGTAGTGCTGTCGGGTACATTCCGGAGGTTGTATCAGCCGCTTTGTCAGCTCTTACTGGTGGTCAGAACTATTGGGATTTGGCAGATGCGCGACAACTTCGGAAGGATAATGACCCTCTGTTCATGTTTCTTGATGATGAAGAGCTGGTTTCGACTCTTCTCATATCTGCCAGGGCAAGGTACCCCTTCGAGTCTTTGCCTTTTCTAAAGATTGTCCGCGCACTCGCAGCATGTACAACTTGTTACGGCGGGGAGGATTCCAAATCAGTAATCGATTTCCTGGAGAAGATCCCCTCTTTCACACATGTCCTCCCTGCCGACTTTTCAGCATACGAGACAACGCAGGAAGAGGATAATAATAACTCTATTCGACTTACAACACCGTTTCAACTCTTCGAGCCTCGAATGAAGACGCTAATGGGCCTACAAGATCAATCATCGCTCTGGAAAATGGATCAAGACTTCTGTATCCCAGCTGGAACTTACGGTCGAATGGTGTCCGAGTCTAGACCAAAAGTAGCGTATTGGTTTCATGAATACTCTGGGTTTAAATACCTTGGGAAACTATTAGAGACCTACTTGAGCGCTGGAGACCAACTCGATACCACAACTGGCGATATGGCTGATAGCGATTCGGTCGCTGAGATCATTGGACTATTTGCCACCCTACTCCTTAGCATTTCAAAAGCATCCAATGACCAGAGTACTTCAAAAGATGAAGCCCTGCGTATATTGGAGATTGCCAGCTTGGGCTTGAGTCGCAATCGGGATATCACATCCGTGATATTTGATATTTTCGAAGAAGAGCTCCAGAAACAATCTACTAGTTTTGGATCCGACGTACCGTTGGAAGTGCTCACCAGCTGCGTTCAATTTATACATGCTTTGACTCCGTTCACTCCAGGACGTGTTTGGCCTCTCATAGGCCGAAGTGGGCTCCTGGATATTCACCGTGGTGGTGGCAAACTGTCAAGCATCGTAGGAAGTGTCGAGTTGGTCTCTGGGCGTTATGATTTCCTATATTCATGCACTCGGTTACTCGAAGCTCTTGTGGAAGATTTTGTAACCAATGCACTTAATAGGAAATTCCGTTCAAAGGCTTCGGCTCGATTTGTCAATGGGGAAGTGACGGGGGCTGGAGTACCAGACCAAGTTCTTGCAAAGATCCTGCTATCATTTACTCGATACCTGGTCGATGTTTTTGAAAGCTCCAGCACGTGGAAGTTTGTGGAACAAAACGACTGCAGGCGTCTGAGCAAGACCATCGCCAAGACGTTTGACAGGATCCTTCACTACGCCTACGGCCTCGAAATCTCGGCATCTACCTCGAAGGCTTCGGAATCTATTTCCAGTGTATCCGAACCGATGGCGATGATGGGGGCTTTGTTGCCAGCTGCGTCACATATCACTGACAGCTTTTTGTCAACCTCCTCCGGCACATTGAGATTCCAACCTCTTCTGCGAACATTTTATGATGGCTTCAATGCCCCATATTCCGCCTTGTTCTTCAACGAGAACCGCTTGTGCACAGAGCAAGTCACTGCTGTTTTGTCATTTTCAAAAACTCTCTTGCGTGTCAGTGTCTTGCTTGACAGACCCACTTCTCAGCTTGAAAACCAGCTGTTCAAGGTATCCCCGCTTCTTGCTCGTCTCTATGCTGTCGATGATGGGTACCGAATACCAGTAGTTGCCCTATTCGAAAGCTTGATTGTCAGTGCTTCAAATAATACTGCTGAACCCCCGTCGCTCCTGGGAAATCTTGGTCCACGGAATTCGAAGAACTTTCTTCAAGTACTATCGGATCTTGACAAGCCGCTATCCCGAGAAGATAACTATCTCTCCATCATGCATTTTGTATCCATGATCGTGAGCAGTCGACAGCAATGGTTTGCGAATTACCTTCTGACCGGCCGGTCGTCGAGATCTGCGCTCGACGACAAATCCAGTGGCAAGGATTCAGGTGCATTGGACAAACCGTTCTTGAACACAGCACTTGACACGCTTTCAGCTATCAACGATTTACCCAAACGCAAGGTCTTGGCCACACTTGAGTTTGTCACTCTAGCACATAACTTTTGGCCCTGGGCTACTTATGACTCTCAAAAGCACGCGGACTTCATCAAATCTATCTCAGAATTTGTTGGTACTCTGAAGCCAATTCAACCTTCTACGACGTTGGAGGGTTCAATGGATTCTTGCTACCAAACACGAATTGCTGCGTATGCCGCCGAGATCTTGGCGATGCATCTATTTCATTCGAGACAGACTGGGAAGTCATCAGTGACGAAAGACCTAATATCAAATATTAGTTATTTCACAAGGTTTGCTGTCGCCGTCCCAAACTACAATTCGTCACTCCATGCCAATCTGAAACGCAATTTCGAGTCTCGATACTCTGGGTGTAAACTTGCGGATTTTCAGAGAACGGGCTTGGAGACCCGTGAACTAGGCCGAGATTATTTCTACAGCCTCCTTTTGGCTGATAAAATGCTCTCCTTTGACCCAGCTTGGAGGAAACCTTCTGGCTTTGGATCGGAAGTTGCAACTGCTAATGTCAACCTGTCCCTCGTCGACGCGCAAATTGTATGTATCCCCAGAATTTTGCAGCTGGATCCCAACTAACATCTTCCTAGGCACTGCTCCATAGCTGGAAGTACCTAGCTGCGGAGCTCAGCAGTAATATTGCAACCGAAGTTGAGCTGCAAAAGATTTTAGCGAGAGTGGCATGTGACTGCCTGGTCTCAAACAGAAGAAGTCAAGGATCAGAGGAAGTCTTTAGAAGGCTGACTCAGACAAGAGCCGACTTGGCGCTCATTCTTATACAGCGCTTATTGGAAGCTAGGTCTGCTGTCCCTGAGATGCAGAAACTTCTTCCTACCATTTGGGAAACAATTCGTCAATCAGACCTTACATTCGACTTAGCCCTTAGTGCAGGCAATGCGTCCTACTATAGGTCTCTACTAAAATTGCTCTTCCTTGGCCTTCGAGTTCATGCGGAAAATCAAGGCCAGCAGCAAAATACAGATGTTGACTTCCGCGCCTCGATGCGGCTTGTTGAAAAGAATGACACCATTTCAATTGTCCTCGACATCCTTTACCGGGTAGTTGCAAATGGCCTCCGCGATCTTGCAGCTTTCATCCACGAAAAGCCAGCAGAATCATCTCCCGCGGATCTTGCCCTAATCACAGCCATCCTCCAAACATGTCTACGTATTCCAGGCATCGACCTTTCCTACACTACGATTGTCACGACGTTCGTGCAAAATGAAACAGCACGAGTAGCGACTACTCTGTTCACTTGGTCGGACAGTCTAGCCATAGACGGTGATCCCATATATGGCGAGCTCAGTATCCTCTTCCTCCTTGAGCTCTCTACTGTACCAACTATGGCTGAACAACTTGCTGTCGACGGCGTGCTTGGCCATATTGGGGCAGCGAACATCACATCGTATCTCCGGCGCACAAATGTGAGCCCGTTTGCTGAGGGCGCTGGATTTCAACGTTGCTACAGCATATGGGTACGAGGCATTCTTCCTCTACTGCTTAATCTTCTTGATGCAGTAGGGGCCTCCATCGCTTCCGAAGTCGCCGTCTTTCTTATGCAATTCCCCAATCTTCTTGAACAAGCCTCACAAGCTTTCGATACACCGGAACTCTCACGAACCGTAACTCGAACTCAAACCAAATACATCACTTTGAGTATTTGCTCTGAAATCCATACACTGTCTCTCATAATGTTCATCCTTAATGGATATCGAGAGTCGACGCCAGGCTTGGAGATTCCGGAGGTGAAGTGGGACGCAGGTGCTGTGTTGGAGAATGTGGAGTTTTGGCTAGGGTCCAGGACGGTGCTGAGGGAAAGGATATTGCCAATGGGCGATAAGGATGTATTGTTGTTCAAGAAGAAGGCTGAGGGTACGGATGCGACCAATCGATTGGAAGAAAGGGTGGTAGGAGAGCTATGCGGCATCAGAGATGTGCTTAGTGGTGGGGAGCCTTGAGAATATGGCCTTCAATGACTTGTCTGGCGTTTAGGAATGGGCTGAGAAAAGATATGGACATTTGGCAATTTCTGAGTATTGGGGATTGAGATGTCAGATAGGAGATACCATGAACTGAGAGCTGTTTGATCACCTTGGCGTTTCCCCCTATATGACTTATACGGTGTAGTCACGGTTTATATTCAAAGGACGGTTCAATTTGAATTACCGCCAGGAGACAGTGTCGGAATCGCGAACAAATCGTAAACACCTTACGCGCTTACCTACCTGTATAGCCTACTAACAACCTACTTCCGCCCCCCTCCCCCCCCTCTCCTTCTGCCTGGCTGAACTAGGTCATATGACACGGTATAAAGGTGTTACATATAGGTAGTGTTACATAACTTTAGTTACGTAGACTAGGTAGGTAGGTTAGAACTAGCCACACCTTTTTATATATACGTATATATATAGTATTCTATACCCTCTATAATCCTTAAGTAATATAATTATATCTATTATAACTATAATATTAGATCTACTTTTTAATAGCATTCTTCTTCCTAACATCGTTCCATCCCATACCGCATGCGAAAACACCACAGCAAGCAGCAAGAGCAGCAAGAGCAGCAACAAGGTAAAATACATGATCAATGCTATCAGCGTAAGCTTTCAGAACAGCGTTCAAATCGCTGGGCTGTACAAGGCTGCGGTATCCCGTAGCCCCCGCGTTGATGATGGCTTGTGCATTGACGTCCGGTGCTCTTTGCGCCAGCTGCTTCTTTAAAGTCGCCTCGAAAATGACGTTGTACAATGAAAGAGCAATAGCGGGTGTGAGAGATTGGCCGAAAACCATGAAGGCCATACCAGAGGATAATTCTGCTCCGGTCGTGACGGCTTGGATAGCGTTAACTGCCTGAGGTCACATGTGAAGTTTACTTAGCAAGAAGATACTCGTTAAGCATCCTTAGATATGTACGAACCACTTGCAATCCTGCACCTGAGCCAATACCGCCTATGATTTGGAATCCAACCCACTCTCCAGTTGAACTGCCAGGTTGAAGCAACGAGTATAAGCCGCTGGCCGTCGATAAGAGGACTGTGCAGAAGAACGCCAAAGGCATTACGTAGCCAATTTTTGATACTATTATTGTCAGCTACAAGTAACTTATAGGTAGGTATAGATATATGCGGCATACTTATAAACCCAGAGGAGGCAGCCGTGACCAATTGGGGCAGGATAGTTGGCAGAAGATAAACGCCACTTAACATGGGACCCGCATTATTGATAGCTTGGAAATAAACTGGAAGGAAATAAATGCCGCCGTAATTCGCTGACATGAGAAGGCCTTGATAGACTCCTGATGTCCAGACAGCGGTTCGACCTACCATTGCAGGCGGCAGCAAAGCTCCATTTCCTTTGCGCCAATTCCAAAGGAACCAGACAACGAAAGTGGCAGCGGAGCCGCAGAAGAGGCCAATGACGCGTGAGGAGTTCCATAGAAACTGGTTGCCGCCGTATTGGAGGGCTAGGAGTAGCTGCAGAACCGCAGGTGCAAACAAAACAAAACCTATGAGGTCTAGTTTATGATGCAGCTGGCGGAGCACTGTCATAGCAGGAGGTTTGACCGTCTGTTGAGGAATGCGGAGGAGGATAATCGCAACGGCTGCAACAGCACCGACAGGTAAATTTATATAGAAGCCTGGACCTGTTAGTATTGATGCGGACTCGAGTAAATACATGCAACCATAACTCACACCAACGCCAATTACTATAGGATGTAATTGCACCCCCGATAAGTGGTCCAGCTACCAGTCCGAGTTGATTGACTAGGTAGATATGGTCAGCGGAGACGTGGCATGCATCTATCTGGCATGGTAGACTCACATCCCATTGTCATGCCCAGCAAAGCTTCGTATCAACAATGTCAGCGCCTATTGTAAGATGTAGAAATTGCTCCTATGCGAACGTACCTGGACGTCTTTCCTTGGCTACACAACTAGAAATTATAGTGAGTGCGCCAATTATTATTCCTGCAGCGCCGAAGCCAGCTACAGCACGCCCAACTATGAACATAGACGAGGAGGCAGCCGCCCCGCAGAGCAAAGAACCAAGCTCGAAGATACTAAAGAAGGTGAGATAAGTCCACTGTTTCCAGTTAGAAACGACCCCATTCAAGATTTTAGCTATGTCAAACCTTTGTGTTGAAGTGGGTATATATCTTGCCTGTCAGGAGTTGAGGGGCCGCACTTGAGTTCACGTCAACACTTCTGTATCCAACAGAGTCGAAGCCCCAACTCACCTGCCAAACATATAGGCACTAGCGTACCAACCAATATCTGGAAGTGAATGGAACCTGTCGGTGATGCGCGGAATTGCCTAACAATCTGATCAGCTCCAGGACTCGTACGCAGATGGACACTTGCAGACGACTCACAGTGCTGACAATCAAGTTGTCCAAAAGCATAAGAAAGCAGGAGAGCGCAACACTGGCAACAACAACAGCGAGCTTTAATCCAGTGAGGTACTCAACGCCGTCATCTTGTGGATTCTTCTCGATGGGATTGCTCTGGATATCCTCTGTTGGAGGCTGAACGTCCGGGGATATGGCCTTGGTGTCATCTTCGTTCAAGGAGAGCTTAGATGGAGGCTCTGAGTCGACCATTTTGTCGACTATTGTTGTCCCAAACTCTGCTTTTCATCTCGGCCCAACCAATAATAGAGAGCTTAATGAAAGGTGCCGTGGCTGTAGTGATAGGCGGCTCGTGGATATACTGGTTCAGTAAAGCAATGCGATGGTTCACATATACCGAGGAACAGGGAGAACAGAGAAGGGGCACGAGAGCCCTAATATATATAGCTAGGTAAGTCCGTACGTGCTTAGGCAACGACAAGATCGAAAAGAGGCAGGAGACAAGAGAGAGAAGCAAGAGGAAGAGGGAGCAAGGAGGGGGTTACAGAAAGAGAAGAGGAGGACGATGATTAAACCCTCACAGCTCTAGGTACCTCTTCATCTGTATCTCGGTTTCTTATCTGCTATGCATTATTTGTGCAAAGTAGAGTGCGACAGCCCTACCAGCAGTACTGGTTAAAGATACACCGCAGCATATCAATTGGCTGCGAAATCGCGAATGCTGTGCTGCACAGCTGCAGGTGCTGTTGCAGGTGCAAAAGGGGAACGCCAGTAATAATCCTGGTGCATCCGAGTTGCCTTGGCAACCTCGGCCTAGGAAAGTTTAGGCACCGGCATTTCCAGATGAACTTCCAATCCTTTGATGGTTATTCAAGCAAGACAACAATATTCCCACTAGAATCTCCTCAGAAGGCGACCAGAACTCGGACGTTACGAGCAACTGTTGGGGGAACCAGATGAGTCTGCAAAAGGCATCGACGAGAAAACCACTTGGATTCAAATAGAAAAGAGCCTCGGGCCGCCATTGTTACTTTGGACGCACTTTCCAGTGCCGCAGCAGCATTTCTTCGAGATATATCACACATGAATTCCACGAGAAGCGTCTCACGGCACTCGAGCAAGAGCTCCGCGTTGATTCAGAGGCAAGCAGCACGAAGGTTTGGGTTACTGACACTTGCAGGAAGTCCATCGAGAGCTCACATTAGCGAGCGAGAACGTATCTGTCATACATCCTTACCCTCTCGATGTTGGCGTTCAGGAAGCCCACATGTTGCTCATGTTGCTCCATTTTACTACGACGATCTACTGCCACTCCTAAGGGAAGGTAATGGCAATTTAGAACCGTTTGGGATGTTGAGTTGACGAAGAGAAGGATATTAGCGCAAACTGGATTCCGATGAATTGTTGGTATCGAAGACGATGTCTACGACTAACCGGCAGGAGGAGCTTTTCCGACATAAGTGGTAATACTCTGGGTCATCCGGATCTCTCTATATGCCGGAATCAAGGAATCGCACAAATCGTTCCATATTAACAGATACTACAACAGAACATTATATCCTGGGAAATATCAGGCCTCAAGAAAAGGGGCTACACTTTATAGCCTAGTGCCTTTTAACTTAATGCCTTCTTGAACCCCTCTACATATAACACAAGGAGCCCAGCCTGTGTTGTCTAATCATAATCCGAGTCGTCGTCCGAAATCAGAACCCCAACCCTGTTCAGGCCGACAAAGTTGTAATGGCCATCAAGCGGCCCAAACTCCTCAGACGTAGCCTTCAGCCAGCGGTTCCTTTCCCCGGCCCCGATAACCCTTCCAGGCGGCAAGCGGTAGGAAATAGCTTCCTTCGCCTGGCTGCCTCTTCGTACGATTGAGCTGGGCCCCACGTTACCACCGATGTACTTGAACTTGGGGTTCCCGGGCACTTCAAAGTGCACAAGTTTCGTATTTTGCTCGCAATTGTCGTCCAGATCGTACATCGTGACTGGAGTCTTTGGATCCGTCAGGTACCTGAGGATGGAAGCGTATGTCCCCGAAATGAGACGGATGTTTGTCAGTGTTACGGCCGATGGCCGGATGGCCTCAAGGAAATGGAGCAGATCGCTTTCGGACACGTGGATTCCGCGGAGGCTGCATTCTTTCAGACACGGTACGGAGCCCGGACTGATGCTGTTTTCGAGCTGGGGATCGGATGGGAAGGGAGGAGCAAACGGGGCTTTCTCTCCGAGATTGTACCAGTGCACGTCGAGGCTTTCTAATTGGGGCATAATGTGTAGCACCTGCAATAGGTCCCGGAGGAGGAGCTGCGAATGCCGGCTTTGTGCGTGGGCATCCGTCCCTCTGCGTAAATTCCCGGACTCGGGATCCGTGGCCGCCGCAGGGGATACTGATAAGCTCATCGTTAACCTCTTCACCGATCCGAAGACGGGCCTCGAGATAGACTGTTGGGCGAAAGCCAGAAAGGCATCACAGGCCAGGCTACAGCCTTTGAGGCCGCCGAAGATATCCAGATCCTCTACAGATAGCTGGGAATCCTGCAGCGCCCCCATCGTGATCTGGAAGGTGCGCAGCGCCGTACTCCAGACAGATTTCCAATCGCCAAAGTAGTCCGGCTCCTCGAGCTCTCCATCTGCATCCTCGATGCGTGCGACGACGCGAAGGCATAGCGAAGCGAGTCCGCCGTTGGAAGAACGCAGCTTCAGGTTGCGGAATGCCTCAGATAGAAGAGTGCGCAAGTCTTGATCAGCGCCCTCATCTACAGCCGTCGTGTCGCTGCGCACTACACAGGTGATGTTGCAATGCTCCAAGAGACAACCCAGGCGGCCGCGGCTTGTCAACCGCAGCATATCTTGCAGAGTCGTCGTCGTCAGCTCAACGTCCTTGTGTTTAAAGAAGGTGGCAAAAGAGCCCTGTGAGGCCTTGTGCTCCATGGCGCGACTTGTAAGTCGGAGGGAGGCAATATCATCGAGTGGGAGGAAGATCACAATGTGCTCAATCAGCTCGATTGGGAGGGGCTCGAGATGCGACTTCATCTTGGGCTGTGGGACTGCCGAAGGCAGTTTTCAAAGGTTGTTGTTACCAGATAAACAGAGTTAAGTGTAATTTCTGCAGGTTACGTGCTACATGTTACCATATGTCCTCCCTCTTAGGGGATCCTATAGCACTATCCTAAACCAGGCGGCAAGGAGAAAACGTGGATTCAAACCGGCCTCCATGCAAACCTACAGTCTCTTAAAGCGAACATATCTGTTCCCAAAAAAGTAGGTCTAGCCTGACGACAGGTTTTGTTGCACATCGCACCAGACAAAGTGGATCCCGATTACTCGAGAATTCCTCAGTGAATAGGTAAGTCAGTGAATAAGCCCGGCTATAAGCTCAAAGAACATCTCAGATCTTGAAAACCAAACGATTGGCTATGCGTTGATTTTGAGCTCGCTTATTCTGTTTTGTTGCATATCGTACCAGATAAAGTGAGACAAAGTGAGTGTGCGCGGCTTTTTCTCCACGGAGACATCACATTTCATTCACTATACTGTGTGTAAAAGATGAATGAGTCGATGCTTTCTTTCTCTTCCTGTCCGCCTTTTAACTTAGAAATAATTCTCTTTGCCACTCCGTATAAGGTAGATAACGAATCGGCTCTAGGGTTGGAATGCCTTTGCAGCATTAAGAGATCTATCTATCTACAAGCAAACATGCTATAGGTAAGGTATCTTGATTCTTGACCAATACACCACTTTACCAATTCTGTTTTAAGGAGGATCACTTCTTCTCCCAAATATCCTTACAACTTTGTACTTTAATTGAAGCCACATAGTAAAAACTGTATGAGCACGAATCTTACCTTACCTCTAGGCTCTGAGGCTGACCTGACCATCTATCTCAATAGCGCTAGTCCCGATTAGCAATTCACCCCTTAATGACTGGTGGTCTTGCTATAGAAGCCTGGCTACTCGTTAAATGCAATTCAATAGCTGAGCAGCGGGGTCCCGATATTCGATAATTATAATCCATTGCTTAGTAGCTGCTGCCGGTGAATAGAGAAACTGGGGAGGCTGTTTTGTTTACAGTAGCTGCCTGCGATTATCAATTGAATATTTGGCGAGAAGATTAATGAACAGAACGGAGGGAACTATTTTATAAAGCCCCTTGTACCCTAGAATTGATTAGCTTAGTATTTCCAAGCCCTAGCTTAAGCAAAAGTGAATGATCTTGAAGTTGAGCGACACAGCGAAAAAATACAACATTGACTTTTGCTCGCGAAATCAATCTTGTAGACAACATTCAAAGCTGTACTGTGAAATTGAAGTCTGGACAAAAGGCCACTGGTAAACATGGCACGGTATGTTAGTATTAGTTCAGACAGTTGTCAGTTGTCAATTATCTTTGATTCCCTATCACTAGTCTGTAGTAGAATCAAAGATGGCTTAGCAAGTGCTCTAGTTCTGATGAAGGAACTCTAGCAGGAACAAGGGCAAGAGCGCAAACAGAGGTTCCAGGCTTGCAGGTCGCCGCAGTTCATTGATATGCACGGGATATCAGAGAACAAAGAAAGCCTCACGAGAGCTCTGAACAGCGCAGGCCACTACCCCCCACCATCCATTCCCGTTGAACGATCTAAAAGAGGATTCGGAAGCACGACTTGAAGAAGCAAGCAAAGAAGCCGCGACGCCTGCCACCGTTACCATTTCCTTCCTCCTCAATGTCGAAAGGGATTGGCGACTCGGGGAGCGGAGTGTAGATGGCGTTCTCCAGGTATGCCTCCTCGATCCACACATCCACGTCATTGGTCGATACGATGGTGACAATAGATCCATTGCTGGTGCAGTAGAACTTCGCTCGAGGCTGGGCCGTGTGAGATGCGCAATCAATTGAGTGACCACGGGAGTAGAAAGGCTCTGGCGATAGACTCATGTCAGAGTCGTCGTAGTAATATGACGGACTAGGGGACGCGACTCTGTCAGACTCATCGCCATTACGGACAGGTGATTCGACCAGGGTGGTCGCGTTGCTTTCTTCGTAAAGATAGACACCCAAGCCCTCGTATTCAGACTCCTCTGCCTTGCTGCCGTTGCTGCTAGTTTCTTCGACAGCATTGACTTGCTTCTCGTCTTCCTGGCGTTCCTCATTGCCCTCCACAGTCTCACGCGTCTTTCCCGGGTTGGATTCAGACATCTGAAGATACATTAGCATAGATCGATGGTCAGCGCGTTCCCGCGCAAGATCCCGTTTTAGAACAAGGGGCAGACTTACGGTTCTCGATGGTTTGAAGAGTTAAAACGATTGACGCGAACTCTTTGACAAAGAGAGAATGTCCCTATGAACCGACAAGCGTAGGAAGGAGTTATGATTGTGGTGAACCACTGTTGTTGTTTTGGTGGTGGCTAATGAGAGAAAGGTGAGTCTTGGGTTTAAGATCGAGGGATATTGTACTTCTGGCGCTAACGCCTTTAGTCCTACTGGAGCTCTTCTTCAAACAATAACATGATAGAACCGCTAAAGACGCGCTTATGCCACGTGGGGGACATCAACTGCGTACCCCTTAAGTCTTCATTAGTTTGGTTAAGAGCAACTGCACAAAAATAGGGAGCTCATCTCCTTAAGACGATAGTCAAGTTGCTTTTCAAGCGAGATTGGAATTGCTTAACCACAACACAATAAGAGCCAAGTAGGCTTTTCAACAGACTGTACAGATAGCTTTAGCATGTCAACCAAGTGCTTGATTGCCAACAGCGTACCATAGTTCAATGACCTAGTTTTGGCTTGGATATCCCTGCTTCCACAGCTTGCCATAGTCACGGGCCCACGGCAATCATAATGTCTCCTCACTGAACTTTCGATGAATCTCCTCGACCTGCACCCAAACTATTGGGTATTCACTGTATTTATAGCAAACCTACTGCTTGGTTCAGTTGCTCGAGGGATGAAAGTATTGCATATCTCTGTAGCCATGGGGTGCAAGGAGCCTATCATTGCCTAGTATTTGAACATCAAGCATTTATATTGAGCACCTATGAGCCCCTGTGCGTTTCATTCTAGCAGCATGTTTAATCCAACCCCAATATGGGCCCATACACTTGGGTAGTGGGCTGATGGATCCAAATCTCTCATCAATGTTGGAGTAATAGAAAGAAATATGTAAGGTTGATCACCATAACGATTCAACAGCATATTCAATGTTGACGACGATGGAACTGTAGAAGATCCGTGGTAACTTTGAGGTAAATGCCCTGTAGATGATCTGTCCAAGACGTAAGAAGCACTCAGAGTAGTGGGAGATGTGTCGAGTCCCTGTCGGGTTCAGCTGCAGACAAGAAAGCCTAGGAGGCCGACACCCAAGAACAGATCTGGGATGAGACTATGCAAATGTTAGAAAAAATGTTCTGATACTTCAGACAGAGTAAAGCAAGTAGGATGAGAGTATGGCAATAGCTGTACTTTTACAGTCTTACTCTAATGTATTGGAGGATCAAACTTGACGTGACAAGAGCGATCGATAGTCAAGTTACTTGGAATCAGCTAGTTCTGAAGAGGGCATGTCCAAAACCCCTAAAGAAGTTGAGGTACTGTGCTAAATAAAAGGTGAAGGCAGAGAATATAGGCAGACTTTGAGGAGGTTGGAGATAGTTGTCTAGAACAAGTCAAAGATGAAGAATGTATATTCTGGCAACGACTCATCATGCCATACCGGGCCCTATTTTACCCTCAAAAGCAGAGAATGCCTACTAATCAAAAGGGGTCGCCGTGGTGCCACGAGAGAAACTGTCATCCCATTGGCTCTGGAGCAAGCCAGACGTCGATGTGCAACGAAATGCTGGAAAAGGGCCGCTCACACACGATTGGCCAAGAAGAAGTTTTAGTGCCAAACTCTAAATGCAGATGTGCAACGAAATTCTAGGAGAGTTCTCCTGCAATTAGCTGACCAAGGGCTTGGTTTTCAACTGAAACTACACCTTGTGCACCATTGGCCTGTCTGAATGCTACTGAGCAACAAAGGGAAAAGCCTCTCAAGCAGAGATACGTCCAAACATAGCTGCTTCCCTGTTCCCAATGCCTTCAGCAGCCTGCTGAAAAGAGAAGCTAATAATAAAACATGAATTTGCGACTTGGCAAATCACTTCCATTGGACAAATGGCTCTTGTGTGTTCATGTCCATAAAGACAAAGGGTCTAGTACCTGCACATGACCATTTCCGCCCCTCTTCATATTGCTATGATATATCATTGCCTTCAGACAGCCACCTAAATTTTCTCCTCTTTCATTGAGCTCGTTGACTTCTGTTGTGGACTTTTACTTGTTGCTGCACTTGTGCGTCCCCATCCATTTTCAGGACCAGCATCTTGTGATGTCAATAAAAAAGAATGAGCAAATAAGACATACAGGGCAAAACTTCATTCAAGTTGCCTAGAGGGTATGGTTCCTGATGCCCAGAAACTTCTGGAGATGTGGGAGGGCATGACATATGGAACAGCAGCAGCAATGACAAACTTAAAAACTACACACAATATCCAGAAAACTCGTTCAGGACATTACAATTATAACCTAGGAGATCATAAGATATCCCAAGCATCATCAAAACAGACAAAGATTCGAACAAGAAGAAATCATAACTGTCGTAGATTGAAGGGGTTTTCACAGGTCTGTCCATGACAAGCATACCGAGGCGATATAGGGTTCTGGGATTTAAAGTATCATCTCTCGATTCAAATCAGCAAACAAAAACAAAACATGACGTTCTTCATTATCAAGACAGCGACCAATCTAGAGCTTTCCCAACCTATCTACAATTGCATGTCGTCGCTCCCCGGAGAAACTATTTCCCCGTAGCGACACTACACTCCGCCTTATGCAGCCAGAACCCGCCCTAGGTATTTCTCCACACCTCCCCTCCTCCCAATCCCATTCATTCACGCAGCACCACCAGCGAGCAAGAAGTCACCCACCCAACCATGGGGAGTGACGACTACATCACACCCGGCGGGGGTCTCAAGCTCAAAGGCTCGAAACCGCTGGGCGTGGAAAAGAAAAAGAAAAAGAAGAGCAGCAGCAGCAAGAAGCCACGCGAGGGCTCGCCCTCCTCAGGATCATCATCCAAGACCTCGGCTCTGCAAAAAGCTCTCGAGGATGAAGATGCAGAGATGACAAGAGCGAAGGCGGCGGGGGAGCCTGAGGGGGGTGAGAGGGAGTTGGAGGAGAGGGATTTGAGGGATGGGAAGACGCCTGCTGAGCGCCAGGCTGAGGAGATGAGGAGGAAACGCGTATGTCACAACCCCCTTCCCCTCTCCAAGCACCTCTATCTATCCATTTTTATTTCAGTTTCTCGAATAATTTCAAGACTTATATATAGATATGGGCTAACTAACAAAAAACACATAGTTACATGAACGACTCGCTCGTGAAGGTATCAAGACACACAAGCAGCGCGTGGAAGAGCTGAACAAGTACCTCTCGAACCTATCCGAACATCACGACATGCCGCGCATCGGGCCCGGATAACGATCTCCCGGATCTCTCTCTCTGTCTGTGGTTGGCCCTGCCTGCTTTTGGGGAAGGAGTTTTGTCAAAAAGGGCGTAGTGGAAGGGGGGGCGGATTGATTGCTTTTTGCGTGTTTCATGAAACGAAACGCAGTACAATATGCCTTATCAGTTGGTTGAGGGCAGGGGGGGTTGGTTATTCTGGAGATATGAAAAGGCAAGGATGGGCGATACGAGGCCGAAATGTGTACATACAGTGTGCTGAGATCATCTGTGCCATATGAGGGGTCTGAGGAGTGGCATGGGATGTAAGACCGTCAGCAAAGCTCTTGGAAATGTAAAAGCTTACGTGGCCCAGCAATGAACTCGAAAAAGATGGCAAAGATCCATACATTACGGTCTAAAAACGAGCGCTTCCGAAATGTTTGCTTGCAGAGTGTATATACAATTGTAGCATCAGCAACTCCATACTGTGCATGTGATTTTTGTCTTCCGTTGCTCCTTAACAGAATGCTGCCCTTCGTCACTCGTATCCATATTTATCGTTCCTCCCTCATTATCAAGAGGCCACGAAAGCCTTTTCCATGCAATGCCCAATTCCCACCCAATGAATGTCGGTATCTAAATTTAACTCGCGGTTTAAAAGATTCGTGTATGCATGTCTGAAACCGAGAGCCCGTTGTGGTCGTAAAAGAGAGACTGGTCGTGAAAGAGAGACTAAGTGAAAACCGATGACCCCGACGCTATGCCATGCAATGCAATGCAAAAAATCAAATCAAATCAAATGTGTTGCCCATGTTTCTCCTCCGCTGTTACACCAGACCTCAAATCAAAAGGCGCCGAAGAATACCATGCTCAACGCGCCTAGAAGGATGTTCATACCGGCATTCTTCGTGCTTGCTTCGTTTTGTAAGGTTGCTGCTCCACCTGTAGAAGACGATGAACCGGTCTGATCCGGCTGGGAAGCAGGAACCACAGTAGTCTGCGTGATCGTGGTTGGGGAGCCATCAGACTGCTTTGAGGTGAAAATATGCAGCGAAGTTATCGATTCATGCGTCGAAGTGGAATGCTTGGAAGACTTGGACGTAGTAGACGTAGTAGACGCAGCGGACGTAGTGGAGGTTGCTGTAGGGCTATTAGATCGAGACGTGGAGAGCGTAGTGGGAGAGTTCGAAGAACTGGTAGAGCCTGAGGAAGTGGGAGAACTCGAGGAAGTGGGAGAGCCCGAGGAACTAGTAGGAGAGGGAGAGGGAGAAGGAGAACTCGAAGAGGATCCTGAAATAGAGTTAAAAGAAGGTATTTTTTGAAGCGGATTTGGCGAAGGGCGTGCTTAGGATCACAGGATAAGACAAGTAAAATGTTAGAATTGAGAGAAAGAGAATAGAAGTTCTGCAAGATAGGGGACTATGACCGCTTGGTTTGAAGTAGAAGGGAAAGGGGCACTCCCAAAGTAGAGGCTGAAGAAATATTTGCAGAGCCCGAGTAAAGCGAAATCGATATGCTTGAAATCGCAGAGCTGCAACTATTCACACAGAGTGTGATAACTAGCAGGGCCTGGCATGGTTGAAGCAGGAAGGCTTGAAGTCAGAGCCAAAGGGTATGGACCGCAGGACTCGGCTCATCCAAGACCCGAACGCTCAGAAAAGGGGCCGAAGAGTAATTATTGGCAGGGGCCCTCATTCTCAAAGACGCCGAGCTCGAAAGTTTCAAAGATGAAAGCATAAGAAGAACAGTAATCATTGAGAAAGATATATCCGTGTAAATCATGGGAGGAGGCTGCTGACGGGTTCAAGATACATACCTTCAGTTGTCGAAGATGGAGCACTTGAGCTTGTGACCGGCGAAGAGCTGGGCGAGCTGGAACTCGAAGCCGAATCGGAACTAGAAACTGAACTGGAATCGGAGGATGAACCAGAGGTGGAAGCCGAGTCTGTAGGAGTAGAGGTTGACGGGCTTGTTGTCGACTGAGTCGTGGGAGAAGGAGAAGCCGTCGCAGAGGTTGATTCCTGACTTGTTGGCGATGCCGACGTTCCAGAGGTTTGGGAGGTCGCCGCAGCGGACGATTGCGAGCTCTCTGTGGGGGCCGAACTCGAAGTAACAGGCACCGAACTGGAAGGAGTAGTAGACTCTGTTGAGGCCGCCGCTGTTGCACTTGTAGAAGAGGCTCCAGCAGTCGAATTACTAGTGGCAGCTTGTCTCTTTGCCAACTCAATCAGGCTCTGGGCAACTTCCGCATTCTGCTTGTGGAGGGTATCCAGGGCAGCCTTGTCATCTTGATAGACACCATGTTTGTACTTGTCTGCCAAGTGCTCGTGGAGAAAGTCGTGGAGAGCGGCGGGTTCTACGGCCTCAAGAATTTCTCGAAATTTCTGGCCTTCGCCCGAGGGGACTGAGGTAAGATCCTGAGCAGTGTGATCGGCCTTCGACGTCGCAGTAGCAAAGCCGATAGCGAGAAGAGACAGGATAAGGAAGAAAGAGAAGACACTTCGTAAGGAAGGCATTCTGCTGCTCTTCTCTTCTCTCGAGATTCTTGAGGGTCGTTTCTCGTCAGGAAAGGATGTGGGAAGGGAGTCGGCACCGCGGAGGTCCGCCTCGATATCTCTGATCTCTTTACCGTTAGTTGAATGCATCTTATCCAGAGTGTGCCGTTTAGGTAACTGTAGTGATGGGGTGGACGAGCGTGAGGGGGAGCCCACTGCTGATGATGACGAATGACAGGTTCAGAATGCAAGGTGAGAGCAGGTGAGGGCTGTAAGGTGGGAGGTGGTGCAGGCAATACTTGAAGCGGTTGAAGTGATTCAGAGGTGAGGTGAGGCAAGACGCACAGCTCTGCATGCAGCTGCATACGAGGTTTACCCTGGTGGTTGGCTGGGTCGTTCGGTAACAAGCACGAAACAAAAGAGGGGCGTTATCGAAAACCAACAAATGCCATGCAAGCAGAACAAAGAAGATCAATCCGCCTGGGGAATCCTTGTCTTACCCGGTGGATAAGTGTTGAGCTAAAGCTTGCTCTCCCTGCCTCTTGCGAGAGCGAGTGAGTGGATGCACGAGGCAAAGAAAGGACAAAACAACAGTTGGATGAAGAATCGAAGGGTTGGCGGACGGGTGTTCTGGGAGAGACAGAGGCACTTTTTCTCTTAAATACAGCACGCTGTTACAGAAGACATCATTGAGGACAGCCGGCCTCTGGTGGTGGTGGGTGGAGGAGGTTTTGACCCTATCAACACCAAGGATACTATGTGGGTTTATATTTTGAGTTCAGTTAAGCCGTCTCCATTATTCTTTCCTTGGTAAGGAGCAGGCACGTAGTCGTGCCTCTCGCGGCTTTACGGGACAAAGACCAAAGGCACGCCCGCATGATGATGCTGCATTCTCCAATGTTTTCGTCAAAGCAAGCTTTCTCACCGTCTGCCCCAAGTCCATCATGATATACCGCACCCCTCTCGCAAGGCCGCCCACATGCTGATTGCTTTGAATCAACTCCGTATTCGCGATAGAAGCCTCCGCCGGCCAGCTTTACAGCCATGACTCGTCATAACAGCCTCACTCGTGTCACGGCAGCGCAGAAGGATTTTGCTCCTCGGTACCGTCTTTGTTCGGCTCAGGTACTGGGCGACTTAAAGTACCGCGTGCCTAACTACTGACAGAAGAGAGATCCACTCGGACGTCATTCTCCTCACACGCCCCGTTTAGGCTTCGAGGGCCGAGCACAACAACACGGTTTGTGGTTTGATCCATTCCCTCTGTAAAAAGTCCGCGGACACGCATGAAAAGCCCAGAGTTCAGCTCTCGCGGCGCCTGCATCTGGAATCCTCTCCAGGTCTATTATCCCATCAACACCACCGTCGCACCGTCTTTGATTCGAAGTTTCGGGGACCCATGAAAATTCCCGCATCCCCCTATTTTTAGACTGGCTCGACTGTTCTCGGCACGGCCATAGCCATCTATCGGCGACGCGTCGTCTTTATGGTGCCGAGAGCGAGCCATCTCACAACCAAGTTTCCAAGTTTCTGGTACGAAACCCAACCAGAGTTTGGCGTGTTGTCAGCTTCGATGCAGTACTCAGCCTCAGGGACGTGGAATTTTCTTTTTATCCCCCGAGTGCTTGCAGAATGGCCGGAGTTTCGGATGGGAATATAAGCTGGATGTACTTACTGTATGAGGCTCAGCGTCTGACAGGTCGTAAGTAGCCCGAACTGTTATTGGGTTGTGGACAAGACAGATGTTTTCAATATCAATTTGAAGAGGTAATGCGAAGTGCTTCTGGTCATACTCGAAGACCTTAGATAGATATTCCCCAGACTTCTTTCTTTCTCTGTTTTATAGAAATAATATCACTTAGAAACAGCGCCACTCAGCCTCCCTAACCTCTGGCTGCGGGGCGTATTGTTAAAAGCTTTCTTAAGTGAAGCAATTGCATACAGACCTCCCCGGTTCCTATGCTGAAAGTGGACAATGAGGACAACACCCCTAGCTATCCTTCTGTTTTCACACCTCTACCGTAGCTTTCAAAAATCTGTGGGTGTTGGTAGCCGTCCACGAGCATTACCCAATAAGCAGAAAGACCCGGGAGACATTGAAGGATAAGAACAGCGACTGGAGAAGAGGAAGGGCAAAGAAGAAGTAGATTCTGCCCGCAAAGCATTCCTGGTGATGGCTACGGCGGGGGAGTGTAATACCAGGAGAGTTCTGCTTTACTCTGATGTACTGCGATGATCGACTTTTCATTGGCTTCTTATTTGACTTTGCAACGTCAAGCCAGGAAGTACTTAAGACAGTAGATACAAGGATCAAACAATCCAACAATCCAACAATCCACATTTCCATCCATCATCCATCGATTTCATATCCGGCATGCGCCTATCCACCCGAGACAGGTGTTCACCAGCCATCCAGAAATCGTAGATTCATCGCGCCTCCGATAGAGAATCCATCAGGAAAGAAAGAGTGGCCCCGAGCAATTCAAGGCACGCCCGGCTATTCCAACACGCCATATCCATCCGTTTTTCCCCGTTTCTTTTCTTCCACGATGACCAAACCCCGTACATTACTCAGACCCTGTTCACTTCCGTCGCACTCCAATAAAATTGACAGAAAAGGCAAAAAGAAAGGGGGAAACAGTGTCCGGGGTATCCGATCCTAGTAATCAAGTTATGAAAAACAAAAGGCAGGGAAAAAGGTATCAACCAGAGCGTCCTGCTTCTCAACTCCGGAACTTCCAAATGAGAAGGCAGAAAAGCAGATTAGTTTGGCGTTTGGAACACGTCAAAACTGTCAGAAAAATCATGTGCCTTTCATCGAATGTCATTGTTTAGACGGTTCGGTCTGTCCCAGAGGTTGTGCCTCGGTGGGTCGCTCTGGGTTCAACCGTTCTGGATTCTCTTCCCTCCTGAGATCCATGCTCTTTCCTCTGCTCGCAAGATGATCAGTTGAAGCTGGGGGACTCTTGGTTCGTTCTTTCTCGGCTTCCTTCTCCTCACGCTTCTCTCGCATCTTGCTTTTAATCCAGCCCAGTGGGCCTCTCTTCTCCTCGCCAGCTGGACCACCACCCTCGTTGCTTGATTGTCCAAGAGTAGATTCTGGATCGGTAGGTCTAGAGTCGATGGTGAAACTCTTTCTTTGGCGCGCTGAGCTACCAACAGAACTTGTACTAGTTCCTGCACCATTATCCGATCCCAGGGCCTTGTGCGGGCTGAGAGTATGCCCATGGAAATCTTCTCTTCGCCGAGATAATCTCCACCTCGACCGCTTCTCTCTCTGTTCCACAGCAGCTGTAGAGTCATCGATGTGGTCAAGATCCGATTGCTCGAAGGATGAGCGCGAGCGTAGAGACGACACCGGCGAAGCTTTCCCCTTTTTCAATGTATGATCTAATGATTGATGAGGATCTTCAGGTTTTGTTGGCAAAGGCTGAGACGGCTCGGCACGAGGGGTGTCTGTCGCGACTGGTGGAGCATCAGTGATTGAAGGCACAGGACTAGCAGAACGGATGGTATCCAATGGTGGATGCTCCATCACATCCTGTCTATCGCGAGTTGGACGAGGCCCGGGGGAAATGGAGTTCGACCGTGGGGCATGGAGAGAGTTGGTCGAGCTTTGAGCACTTGGATTCGAGCTGAGCATACGCTTCTTCCTCAACTTATTTGGGGGTCGCTTGTCGCTATCCACAGTTGGTGATCTTTGAAAGAAACTTGCGACGTTTCGTTCTTTGGAAGGCGTAACGACTTCAGGTTGCTTCTCAGGCTGGTCTCCGAGTAATCTCTCTTGACTAGTCACAGTCGATCCAGCATGCGATGATGGGGCCAAGCTCGATATACCAACTGTAGGAGGGGCAACACCGGGTGAGGGCGAGACCCCCCGTTCTGATGCGGGTGCTAGAGGAGATGGGTCTCTAGGAGCAAGCGATTGAGAGGAGACACGAGCCCCTACTGGTGATGGTGACCCAGAGGACTTGTGCATTCGGCCTTGAGGCATTCCAGGGGATTTCTTGGAAGGCACAGTGTTACTTCGATGAACACCTCCACTTGTGCCCATTGGCAATGAGCCTGCGTAGGTTGGGGTAGCTGGGCTTGGAGCACCATTTGATTGTCTGGATTGTCGTGAAGACACGGACACATTCCTTCGTAATCCACTAAACCTTCGTGTACTATCCCCACTCACACTCGCATTCGAAGCAGATCTCCCAAGACCGAATCTTGGCTTGCCAGGAGTGATTGGGGTGTTTGAAGGAGGAGTACCACCGCTCTGAACTTCTTGCACTGTCTTCTCATCTGCAGCCGTGCCTCTCATCCCAATCAAGAAATGGTCCTGGTTCTCAATCAAGAATATCAGAACATCTTGACTAAGACGGTATTCGAGTGGCGACATGTCATGTTGTGGGTGCGACAACATGCCAGGTTGGAAAATTGCCGCCAAATTTTGCGAGTTCATCCGGTTTTCGTCCGATTTTGATGCAAAGACAGCTAGTAAATCTAGAATGTATAAGAGCAACTGGCGATTGAGAGGAGGTAGTTCAGTGATCAACTGCTGATATGTGGCAATTGCTTTGTCGACGTCGAAGTCATCGTCTAATTGAGGCCCTTCATTATCGTTGACGGGCTGTTTTATGTGACCTCGTAAGGGATCCCGAAACCGTTCATATAAATCTAGCGGGACAATAGGTTCCGGAAGCAGATTCAGGTACCTTCGTAAGACGTTCGCTGCGTCATGAACAGTGTAGCCAGCCCAGTCTAGCCCCTTCCCGTAACGTTCAGGCGAATCGAATATGGTCTTGAGTTCCTTGATCCGTTTCTCAGAACCGCTCAAGCGGAAAATCCCCTCGACGTTGGTAGCTTTGCAGCAAGTTAGTGTATGTTCCCCGCCATAACATCAACATCAACACGTACCCTTCTCTTTCAGATACACGCCGCACTTTGCAACAACAATCGGTACGTATCCATAGATATAGCTTTTCCCTTCTGCATCGACGAGTGAGATGGCGACGTTTGCGTAACCTATACTCTCACGTAGGGGGACCCCGAAGATGCCCGTAGGATGGTCGGCTGTTTTCATTGTCTGCTTAGCACTCTCTTCTGAAAATCTTGAACTGAAAATATTGTTACAGATGTAGCAAAGAGATCTCCTCTTGGGGGTAGAAAGGATCCCAGCTCTCAGTGGAGCATTTGGGTCACTATCATGGTCAGCAATAGAGGTGCTGCTTTGATCAAACCTTTCTTCCTCAATGGCCGAGAAGCGCTGCTTAGCGTCGGCTATAATTGATGATCTCTTTTGCCTGAGTTGCTCCTGGTTACTGCCTCCTCTCAAGTTACTACTTGAGTGTCGTCCGGAGCTGGAACGCAAGAGGTTCCGAGTATTGAAAGCTGGAAAGGAAAGGCGCCTCTGACTTTTCCGCTGTGACAAAGATGCTTGACTTGCTTCTTCAACTGGCAGTCCATCTATGACAGGTGCAGTGTCGTTCATGATGCTTTCCCGAAAGAAGGACGCACGAGCTTTTGGCAATCTTGACATGCTTTGGTCGGAGAGGCTGTATTGCCTTGATGCGCTAGATGATTGACACCTATAAGAGGGGAATTTACCATGTGTTTCATTGCTCTTTGCCGGAGGTCTAAAGCCTTTCCACCATGATTTCAAGCTCTGTTTCGTCGGAGGAGATGTCGCCTGGGATACGGCTTGGGATGTGCTAGGTACGGGAGCTGGCTGGGGGTTTGCAAAGGGTTGCTGCACGGAGGACGGGTTTGAATGGCTGGAAGTCATGTCGAAAACGGCAGTGAGCTGGTGGCCTATATGAACGATGAATAGGCTGCCCAGTGATAGGACCTCTGCTGAGGCCCGACTTGCCCGGACAGGTCAGATCTGGCCGGCCGGCAGACTGTGGGGTCGAGATTCGGCTCCAAACTCCAGTGTCAGTCACCAAAGACGCGTCCGGAGTTGCCCTGGGAGTTGTTGGTAACCTGGCAGATGTTAATGTGCATGCGACAGCGAGCACAAGGCCCTGGGGAGGAGTTGTAAGGCGTCTCGTGGAGTGGATGGGGGGGAATTGCTGGCGGCGCAGCGCGGGCGACGCCACCGGGACTGGGGGAAGCAAGATCGCAGCGGAAAGCGGACGATTGGAAGGGATGAGAGGTGGAACAACAGGTGTTTTGAATGATGCAGCGAGTGCTTGAACAAGAGAGTCGCGTTCGACGCGACAAAGACTGATGGTCGTTGCCAATGCTTTTGGGGGACGCCTTGTGGGCTCGATCCCAAGGGTTGGAGTTGGGAATTGACCTCGCTGTGGCGCTAAGCCGTTCCCGCGCTAGTGCAGAGGGCGATAGACAAGTGCCTTCGCCTGCTGACCTGAGACTGAGCGAGAACTCTACCGTGCCAAGGTATTTTGGTATTTTGGTATTTTGGTATTTTTGCAACTGCAGGGATGATTCCATCTGCCTGTGTTTGCCCCGTCTTTGTATGTTGGATTAGCAACAAGAGACCTCTGCACATGTTACATCTACGGTTGATCATAGGTACCTATATCTGGATGCAACCCCCTTCCCCCTTGATTGTTCCCTTGCTCCTATAGCACGTCGTAGTTCCAGACCTCACATTCTTCAAGCGAAGCGAGACATTTCCCCGTACATAATAGTAGCATACTAGATCGGTCTCCTATGGCAATGGTTTGGAAACTACTATATATAGCTTTACCGTTCTTGAAGGCCCATCGGCAGCCGTCCTTTTGGCCTACCGTACACACAAATGATGCTCCTCTCCAACCAAAGGATATCGTACCAGGAATTGCACATCCGGGTTCCGATTGAATAACTAAGCATGTCAGAGCCTCCCAGAATTGCCCCTCAAACCTCTTAAGATCGACGTGGTCGGTGGAAAAGAAGGTTGGCTCCGATGAAAACGCTAACGCTAACGTCTCGGCTGGGTCTGGCGCCTTACGGACAAGGCATCACCGGCAACCATGACCAAATTTCTGTATCTGTAGAGCAACTCAAGGACTCGACCATCAGCCTCACTTGAATTGACCACACAACACCATTAAAAGGGCCCTATTGTTCAAGCTGAATTTTCCCTGAAATTTACACTCTCTACCCACGACCCAAACCTTCCCGATAAAATCAGTCAAGATGGACGGGTGGGCAGCTCTCCCAGAAGCTTCACGGAGCTCTTCAGCTAATCCATCGACAGGCTCACAAATGCCGAACAGAGAGAGTTTCAATCTCGCATGGAGCGAAAGCAGATGAAGGAGTTTATGGGCGTAGGTTGATTTCTTTAATACACTGGAAAATATCAAGGCAGGTGGAGATGGGCCGAACAGAAAGGATTCTTGCATGCTCTGCCAAAGCAGCTTGCCGGTGCAGGCATCAAGTTGCATCAGTTTGTCTTCTGTGGCTACAAGCACTAGAGAGATCTATCCTTTCCTTAGCTCTTTGGTGGCTAATTACCTTGAGCACTTTCCCCGGGACTCATTTGCAATTCTTGCCTTTCCACTACACTTGCCATCGTCACTAACTATCCATCTCAACAGATGTTCTCCAACCTCGTATCTCACTGCTTCGATTCCTGCATCGATGACTTCACCACCAAGTCGCTAGTTCAGCGCGAGACTGGCTGTGTTTCTCGATGTGTACAGAAGTTCATGGCGGGTAGTGAGAGGATCGGCCAGAGATTCCAAGAACAACAAGCTCAGATGATGAACCAACCCCCTCCAGGCAGTCGATAAACATCTACAGGTTGGATGAAGGAGAACACGGGGGGATAGCTGGAGGCAATATTTGTACGATAGTGGGCAAGTACTTGGATGGAGAGGACACTTCTTGTATGGTACTCGTAGGGGGAATAATCTGTTCATGACCCCATCTAAAACATGGCATGCAGATATGTATAGATATTACTTCTGAATGAGACCACATTCAGCTCTTGCAAGATCTAGGAATAGAGAACGACCGTGAGTTTTCATTCTAGATCTAGGGTTGGTTGAGCGTTTCTTTCTTCAATCGACGACAGTCGCTTAAACCCATCCTCAACAGCAGGCTTTGTTACATGTGGACACCGGGATATTATAGTGCAATCAAGTATTCAACATAGAAAATTACGCTCACGCCCCGAGTCCCAGGTCCAAAGCTACATTCACATTTATCGGAAACCAGGCTTCGGCTTTTCCCTCACTGGTGTATCCAGTGCGGGGATGTCCATGTGACTACTGCTATGCAGTATGCATCGCAGGCACAAGCGTTCTTGGCGTCTGCTTCTTCAAGGAGTCTTGATAATAATGAAGAAGGCTGCGACGAGGTCCCCAGCAACTGGGCGTAAGGCGGGCTTGAAACTCCTGAGCTTTCAACATCATCAACTACGAACACTCCTCCAATTTGTTCTTATTTACCAATCTAGTTGTGACTTATAACCAGCCAACCTCAGAGTCGCTACAGAGAAGTTTTACACCAGAAATGCGAGAAACATTTCAGCTTAGCATTTACCTTATTCTCAAGAAGATCCTCTACACCTTATACTCTTCAAGTCCAGGAAAATGTAGAATCCTTCCCAATCCCTAGCAAAACTTCTGAACTTCCTTAAACTCCGGAGGTGTACCTGACAACAAAGCCAAGCCCAGAAAATTGCAACTCATGGCATACGTATTGCCGTCGTCCATACTGGCCAAGCTGTCCTGCTTCGCGTGATATACTGATGGTTTATCATGATATCTCACAGCTGAGATTACTTGGATTTAGAGACTATCTCACTGAAACTCAAGCCGAGAACTTTCAACCGGTGGAAAATGGATGGTGATCACGGTTTGTTCTTACGTTGCCTACCTTACCTTAAACAATGATTTCCGCCTTTCTGGAAAGATGCTGCAAAGCTATCTCTCGCACTGAAACTATCAGTGCATCGAGCAATCTTTAAAACAAGAACATAGCGGAATCAAGCCTATTTTGATTTCAATCATTCTACATGGCCGCAATTCTCTCCTTATCCCCTAAGTAAATGTCGCATCATCTGATTTGAGCTATTTGATATGGTGTTTTGTTTAGCCTTTAGGAAGGCAATACTAGGAAAATCACTCGGATCCTTTCTAATAACACAAACAAGCCCTAGGTAAACAAGAGATCTATGAAATCGAAGACATGGATAAAATCAAAAAGGAAACAAGTATTACGTCAAACACTTTACCACCATAACATCATTCAATCCTATCTATCACAGCTCTCCAAGCTCTTTTAACTGCTGCTTGTTAATTCTGAATTACATACCTTACTCTGTAAATACCCACAATTGCATAAGATATCAGTAAGAAGTCCCAATCCCTTCTCCCCTTCTATAAAATAAGTCCGGGTATGAAGAAACCGGGGAAAAGCGCACAAGATAGATATAAAAGCAACACCCTCATCTTACATAGTCTTCCTTCCCCCACATTTCCTACCTATCTATATCAACCCTCCACGAACCCACCACCCCAACCCCAAGCTTCCAGGTCCCGGAACTTAATAGGATTTCTTTTAGAACTCCATCTTATAGTGGGAAAGCTATATAAAGATCACGGTTCCTGAACTCTCAGGGAGACGGGTCCTAAGTTTAGGGGGGGTGGGTCGCTAGTGGTTTAGGGGCATGACCGGTAAATCCGCAGGACCGCACAATATTTAGCTCTGCACTACGCCAAGCGAAGAGGATATAAGTAAGAGTGGTTTTCGCTGGTAGAGGATCGCTATATGCTAGCTAGTTCCCGGCCTTGGATGTAGTCTTTATGTTCCTGGATGGAAAGAAAGTGTTAAGTTTCCTGACTAGGGAAACCCATGGATGCTGAGATATAACTCCTCTTGGGTATAAGACGAGTTGCTTACCTGTAGCTCTAGAAGTAGACGGTTTAAACATAGGTACTTAGGATTTCTTAAGAGGGTATCTGGATGCCTTGCACCCAATCATCAATTGAGGATCTGATCTAAATATCTAACCCCTTAACACAAAGCCAAAGTACTACGGGGACGATAACATTATCATTCCCACCCGTAAGCACCGCCTCGGTCAAGCTCGCTACGCCCGCCGCAACACCCGCTTTCCACGCCGTCATCACCCATGAATCATCGTTATTAGCAGGCCATCCGCCAATTCGAAGCCACGCCTTTGCAAGCCCCAACGCCAGTCCCACGGCAGTAGCAAACGCTATGCTGCCTTCAATGCTTTTGCCGCCGCGCCAGAGCCATTTCCGCCGCCCATACCGGCGCCCGATTAGTGAGGCTGCCGCGTCGCCCATACCAACGCATATAACTCCCGAGACCATGCTGACTTCGCGAGTTGGGACCTCCCAGCCGGCAAGGTAGTTCTGACCGATCCGTGGGAGAGAGCCGAGGGATAGCCAGAGTGGGATGGCGCAGCCGATGAGAAGGAAAATATGTGATATTACAACAGGGCCCTTGAGGTCTCGTCCATCTACGTAAGGAGTGAGGAAATACGCCAAGGATTTGGAGAGAGGAGGGAGTTGTGATGCTCGGAAGAGGTCAAGGAGAAGGAATATTGAGAGCACTAGACTTAGTGCCAATGCTGCAAATGTTGGATCCACGTATGTGGCCGGGAGAAGCATAGCTACCATCATGAAATGAAAGACTTTGCGGCGGGTATCGACCTCGTAGATCGTTGAGAGACGGAAGACAATCGCGAGGCCTACAATAATAATTGCTAGCCAGTATCCGCTGATTATCAATCGAGTGTTGGCTTCTCCGAAAGACGCATGTCTGAGGTGTTCGACCCACCCTAGATGACAGGATTCCTCGTTCTCTAAGCCACTGCGAGCGGGGAGACATATCCATCGTTGAAGGTTGGCGGTGACAACCTCCATCCTGAACCACGAGATATCACCAAGGAGATAGCCAAGAGCCCATCCTATAGGTTCATTTTCCTGCAGCGCAAATTTTTGGATATAGTCTCTGATGCCCACAAAGATGATGACCAGAACCCAGGCATATACGTATCCTGCATAGAGCCATTTTCTTACAGTTGCCTGGGATTGCGTAAGGTGGAAGAACGATTGAATGCTGGATGAGGTTGATCTCTTTTTTCGACCGGAGGGTGTATTTTGGCTTGACCTCGCTGGCAAATTGGTCATAGTTGGTAGCGTATGCCGTCTTTGAGTCCATGAAAAGCTACCGCCGGGAGGATTATCAATGGCCGATATTGCACCATTCTCAAAAACTTCATTCTCTCCACGACCAATGTCTTTGGTTGACAGCCGGCGGGCACTTGATATGTGCTGCTGTCGTGAGGCTTCCAGCACATCTTCCTCATCACTTGAATCGCTTACAGCTACGTTCCTCGCAAAGAGAGAGGCTCCAAACCTGCCGAACGACAGGCACTTTCGTGCGCGTAAAGGCTTAGATGAGTTCCTTGTCCGTCTGAAGCGCCACTTTGGTACTCTTGCCAAAGCTACACCCCATCGAAGTACATGCACACAAGTGACCAGAACTCCAAGTCCACCGCCCCAAAGCAGTGCCTTCAGAATGACCGCTTGCGGTGAAGATGCCAATAGCAGCAGGTCTATCAACGCGATTGAGAGGAGTTGTAACTCTGCAGGGAGGAGGCTGGTCGTTGTCAGGTAGTGTAAAGTTACACATAGTGCTTGATGCAAGGGCGGTATTAACACTAAGACTTCGGGGTCTAACTTAATTAACTGTTGGTTACGTGCAGCTCTGATGCTGGCAGTATCGGCAGTCTCGGCGGCGAAAAGGGGCAAGCAAGAAAATGCCCAGTGAAGAGTATTAGAGCCATCAAGTCCCCCAATCGATGGTATCAGCTCCCTGGGAAGTGAAGATAATGATAGAATGATGCCTGGCAGAAAGCCGGTGGGATTCTTGACGAAGAGCAGCATTGATACAAGTATGGTGATGGCAGGAGGATACAAGAGAGGGGCAGGATCGAAGCCTGCTGGAATTGCCAATGGCAGTGGTCGTTTCCATGGTCGTTCAGGGTTTATATGGCGTAACAACCGTAGGGGATATACAGCTAGGAGGAAAGTTATGACGAGGATTTGGCATATCAGTTCTGGATCAGTTAGATCAGTTTACAAGGGGAAAGCCTTAGACTTACCTCTCTTCCATAACAAGAGGAGCTCTCTGGTTTCTGGATTGAAACATAGAATCGATCCAACAAAAACCAGTATGCCACCTTCAATTACCCTCCTCACAATCTCGGCCTTCTGCTTCTGTCGAAATGCTTCCACCACTCTCCACACATCCTCCTCTGTCAGAGAGTCATATGATATGCTCGTTTTCCTTGAACCGCCTATCACTTCATCTATTATCGCCGGTGTTAACAGAGGGCTCGACGTGTCAGACACAGACCCGTCTAGACCCCTCAATCCCTTGTGCGGTCGTAGCTTCGGCGCGGGTAGTCCTTTCAAGCAATGTTCATCATCTGCCTCGGTGCCACTATCACTGTTCGTCGATTCACGTTGTCTTTCTGGCGACCGCCTCTGTCCATCATGTTCCTCATCATCGGTATTTTGTGTGGAGCGTAACGGCGACCGGGTAGGAGGTGCATTAGGGCCAAATCTCTCGGAGGCATGGGATAGTTCAAATTTCTGCTTGTGGTATGGATGGGGTGATCTTGATAGACGTCTTAGGGCATCTTCTCGTAGGGATTGAGCGTGCGATAAGGATTGTGGTGGCTGCTCGGGCATCGCGGGCGGACGCCTAGGAAGTGGTAAAGCACCAGAGTTCCAAGTGGATCATGGCTTTGCGCCGAATAGGGATCTAGGGTAGGCCTGGATTGACAAATTGATTTAAAGCACGTTGCAAATTTGCGGATTTGAAAAGTCGTGGAAACATGAAGCTGTATTACTTAGGTAGGTGGAGTGTATAAACATCATTCACATGCAAACACGGCTTAGTGAAAGGCAACGTACCCCATATTCCTGCGGGCCGCCCGGGAATGTTTGAAGTCGGTGAAACTTTAATCCGTAGAAGAGAGAGAATGCAAGTCAGATTCCTTCTTTTCTCAAGGACACAATCAATGCATTTTGAGAAAGGTCGTTATCGCTACTGGAGTTAAATCACTGGATAGGTTTTAATTGTTAAACAATGGGTGGTTGGATAATTATTCCACAAAGTTCCAGTAACTGATGCTTAGCAAGCCCCAGATTTGGAGCAGGCGGGCCAGGACTATGAAGGGATTGGATAATACACTTCAACTGATCAGGAAGGATAATTATGAAGATGAATGCCTGTTCTAAAGGTAATGTTTATTGTTCCCGTTAGCTCCAGCCCTCGAGAGGCGTCTTAAAATGGCGTTGAATGTCATAACCACGGAAACCTGCTCTGGCAGCAGAAATTTGCCACAGCAAATGAGATCCCGCATATCATGATCACTATAGCACGTAAATATGACCGACTAGCCAGTTGGTGAATGGTATCTAGCGGTTGATTAACCGTGACGAATGTAATTGTGTGAATGAAGAGAGAAGAAGCTTGAACTGCGGTTGAGATTTTCTATTTAACCTAGCCCCAGTTAGAGTATAGCGTGGATGACTAACAATGGACCTTCGCCAAATCAATTTTCTCTGCAAATTTCTTTATAAAAAGCTCGACGACCTTCACTTGCTCTCATCATTCATCCAAGGACGGATCCAACCATCGCCATATGCGCTTGTTCCTATGTCCGACGCCAATGGGCCTCCAGTCCAACCATCCTTTGGTTCATCCAGGACAATATCATTGTGAGCTTTGGATCATATAAGCACGACAGGGCGGGTGTATCAGCCTCTTCATCGTGTGCCTACTGTTACAAATTCCGGTATCGATGATTTGATTTCCTTATTTTCCTTGTTATGATTAGTACAGAAACCACATATTGCCTACCTCCTGCGCCTCTTAATGGACTTGAGCGTCACTTATTTCAATATCGTTCGTGGGATAAAGAACCAACGGCCTAGACAGCCAGTCCCATCCACCCTGCTGGCGCAAATTAAATGCGCCAGGAGGACTAATCAGGACAAACAATTCACATATATTTTAATCCTTCATACTGGGAAGGACGTTCGAGGCTAGAGGGAATAGATTTTTTTTGAACTCCATGCTACTGAAATCAGGAACCAGTCCCACTCGTGTTACATATAATCCCATGCATACGATGTTAACAGTCTCAAACTCCATCGCTCTTCTGCAATATGCACCGATCAAGGGTACAGCGCAGGATTTGACCATCAATATCAATGCAGGTTTGAAATGAACGTCCAATAAGGAACTCGCTGCCAAATACTCCGTCTTCATCCTTGGCCTTTGATATCCTTCACCTCTATCGGGCCATTTGAGGGACATGGCGACTGCAAAGCTCCCTGATCTGGTATCTATTCTATTACTACCTAGGTAGTTATGGGCTTTTCAAGATCGGGATCAGACTTACTACAGTTGCAGGCCGCACCATGCAGTGCTCGAAGCACCCTTCAGTCCATTGATCCAGGTCGATATTATCCCCAGCTTCGATGGTTCGAGATATATTGCAATCCTCCTGCTCTCGCACCACTATCCCATTATCTTTGAAAGCGGTACATCTGGCGCAACAATCTCTTGAACTGGTCACCCATGTCTGGCATAGAAATGGAGCTCCTGGTGAGAAACGGAGATAGATGTTGGCGCTCTCCAGAGACTCAACCTTCCCCAATACCGAATCCGTCACGGCTATGGTTTGCAGGCTTACGTGGCAGGCCTCATCCGAAAAGAGCAGCTTTACAGAGACGGTCGGAAGACCCACGATTATCTCATAAGCGCGATTGGACAAGATTTAGGTTGCGGCTTGTATACTTCTGTATTGATTGCTGGATTACATATTCCCCTCAACACCAACGATCTCTCCTTTCCCCGTTCACTCCAATTCTCCAAAAAGTACAAAGCAGCCAAATCCAAAACCGTCATCCGACAAAACCTATCCGAACGCCCGGTTTGCAGCACTGCTCTGATAATCGATTTCGGGTTCGCAGCCCCCCGAACTCCACCTCCCAAAGCGCGCTCGCCTGTCAAGCAACCAATAGCTTCAGAAAACGCCCAAAGGGTGAGATCTGGCCGTTCGCCCAAGCATCCGCCTACCGTCAATTTCACCATTTGGAAGATCCTGCGGTTTAATCACGGAGTGGTTTTCCAACATCGGCGCTTGACCATGCCGTCGACTCGGACCAATCTCAAGGGTAAGACTTCCGCAGCTCGGCACTGCAATTCCTTCGGATCCATTGTATGGGGTGATCCTTGGCCAATCGCCTGCAATCTAGGACAGGGGAGAATCTTCAACATAAAACCGGTTATCAATCTATCCGGTCTTGAATAACAGGTTCCTGGTGAAAGACAAACAAACGTGCTACACTTCCTCTGTTCATGGTGACGGAAGATGCACAGAAAACCAGCTTCATATGGCAAAGCCAAAATTCTGGCAAAAGCCAGGCACAAGAAATGAAGTCGATAAGTCACAACTTGTAGGCGTCATATCAAGGACGAGAACGGTATCGGCTCCGTTCTTGAATCTTGTTCTCAGTTGCAACGTACAATCGGTCCAAAAATGTCATTGCTTCGGAGTCGCGTAACAGCTTGGCAACCTGGATTCCAGCTGATATGAGCTGAAGGATGTTTCTGTCGTCCTTCAGGGGGCGGGACTGATGGGCAGCAGCGTGGCGCATCTCCAAAGAGTTCTCCAGAATCGTTATGAACTGTTTGATTTGACCATTGTACAACACTCGGGCCGGTATGCGACGCTTGGTGGCCAAGCGCTTCAGGAGGTATACCCACTCCGTCCATTCTCGGTCCTGAGGTCGCTCAACGGGTCTCAAATCGCCCGATAAAGGCACCGGGAATTGATACTTAGCAATAAAGTCAAAAGCGCATTGAGACAAACGATCATTGACTTGAGTGAGGACACTATCCTGCTCATGAACCACCAGATTGGTTGGCAGATGTGGCAAGTCCCTTTCTTGCTGAGCAATTTTTTCCGCAGGGGGCCGTTGTAAAAGCTGATGTGGTCCATCAAATTCATCCCTGTTGGAAGCGCGTCTTTGTTGGACAGAGCTCTTTCTATCACCTTTGAATTTGCTAATAGGCCGACTTGAGGCTTCAAGCTGAAAATCCGTTGGACATGGGGAAGCAGCATAATCATCCATGTATGTGTCTGGTGACACTCTGCCAATTTGGGATCCCCAATTTGTGCCATGGTTGGTGTGAGAACCATAGCTTGGTCCAGCCGTTCCGTAAATGGCAGAGGTTGATCCGATATTATAGCCACCTAAGGAGTACATAGATTCGGAGCGAATGATAGATGCCGAGGTGGTAGGTGGCATCGGGATTGGACTACTGTACGATGAAGTGGTCATCTCCGTGGGATAAGAGGCGCTTCGGATTTGACGTTCAGTGACTTTTATATGAAGTTGGGATACGAATAACCTTACCTTGAAGTAGGGTAGTACGGACTGTCGTATTCCGCACGACTAACATCTATGTAAGCAGCGCTTTTCTGTGGTCAGCTTGCAGTATGATCCAGGATTATCAGTTTGACCCGTACCTTCTGGAGGGATCCAGGCTTCCATTAGGTATTGCTCGGCCATATGGAGATTCCGGCTGGATGTAAAGGCTCCTTCTTGATGCCATCATTTCGAAATCAAAAACCCACCAGCAGCACGAATGAGAAGAGACAGATATACTAAGAAAACACCGACTGGAAAGTCCTTCAGCGGATCTGTGCTGGCAATGATTCCTGGGAAATCCAAATACGGGAGATGTCCACCTTGGGTCCACGGTGATAAGATAGATGATCCTGTCCTTCCGGAATATGGGCCGAGATAGAAGCGGTGAGTGCAGACCGGCTGGTCAAAGAATAACTTCTTGCTTGAGAGTATCGATGCGATATGCCCTGAGAGCGAGAAGTGAAGCTAATTTATAGAATCGCGAGTAAGACTCCCGCTGTCCCTGAAGCTATAGACACGAGCATGAAGAACCCTAATCTATGGAGCGGCCCCAGGTACTACCGGGTTGGTGAGGCAAATCTTGACGCAATGTGCTTGACTGTCCGGGAAAATGGATGGGAACTTTGTCACAGTACTAAGGGAGGGCGCGATATGCAAGAGAAAGAGAGAAAACTTGTCAAGCTCATGAGAGAGTGTACTCGGTGTTTGAGGATCTTCGCGCCTGTGTCTTTTCTAGACAACACTGCGACAACGCAATGCAGCAGGATACGCCCTGCTCGGCTCGGCGGCGCGACCAAAAGCTCCAAGGACTGCCCTCAAAGATCGGATAAAATCGCTCCATTGCAGAGGTTCTAGACACAGTAGGACAAGAGCATTTGTGGCTCCTTTCGGGCATCATTGGGCAATGCATCGTGGTGCAGCTGTGACCAGACTCGGGTTGCAGCCCAAGGGTCTGTCGGCGCTGTGACATGTAGCGTGGCACGCTCAGGATGTATCTCCAGGTAAAAAATGGCATGTGTGATACAAGGAAGCACCTTGGAAGGACAGATATCCATTGGTGAAGTGGGTGGCGGGACGCCCGAGTGTCTGGGTGGATTCTTGGGGTCATCGGGATCATTGGGGTCATTGGGCAGAGACAGCTGTGGTCGAAGCCCAATCCGTGCATTCGATGCGTGGATGCCCGGCGACCTACCGCGACATACTGGAGCTGGGCGGCATGCTATTAGTACGCTGTCGATATTGAAGGGCTTAGGGCAGAGATGGGCGAAGATAATCGCGCGAGACCTTGAGTCTGTTGAGGTTCCATAACATAAGATGGCGGTCAGCCAGCCGACCCCGGGGAAGTGGGGGGTTCCATCGGTTCGGAGAATTGCAGGGCCCAATGGGCCAACGGATGCTTCTCTTTTCCAACGACAAGTCACGAAGACTTCTCACGAATAAGCATCTCTACGCCCGATGGGAGTTCGATTGCCAACTGTGGAGGTGACTGCCCGCCTCACATGTATTCCGTACAGCGACCGTGCCGTACACAGTGTCAAGCTTCTGAGCCTCCAAAAGCCTCACGTCGGGATGGCTTGGCTGTACCACCTGAACATATTCTGAATGGATCAAAATCAAGATCCTTCACTTTAGCTGGATAGTGACGCGGTGGCGCCTGAGTTCCTCATCGCCCAAGTAGAACACGAAAAGCTTTGCCTCAGCGGCGATATTGAAAGCGGAGGCTTGGACGACCATGTGATCAGCGGATGTGTTAAACCTGCCCAATCTCAGAAAACAATATCAGGAGTTCAACAAGGAGGGATACCGCAGGGAACGGAATACGAGATATGCATAGGAAGCGTTGGAGAGGGTCAGGTTGCCTACCGTTCACTGTCTCCATCTCGAATGATCACGACACATACAGCAGTTGATCTCTTGTACTTTAATTAAAGTACAAGCATATTCCTGCTCGTGTCTTGATTGGCATCTCAGTGGTTAGGACCTCTTCTTGCAGTCACAGCTGCAAGCAGCCTCAACCACTCGAGCAGGTATGTCGAGGTTTGGTGATCTCATCCCATTCATACACATTCTGTTGCCCTTCCCCTCACCTGACTAGTAGAGATGATCGAGATGACCTTGAATACTTCTCTTATAGGTGCCAACTCATCAATCATGGACCCAAGATGGTCGCTCGCGTCTCACCAAAAGCAGTCGCAACCCACCGGATCTCCAAGTATCTCACATCGCTGGCTGCGGTTTTCGGGAGCGTCAGGTTCAGAGTACTCCCAGCACTGCTTGTACTTGATCAACAAATGAACCTCGATGAACAATGAACCTCACACATCGGGAGCAGCGTGACAATGGAGTGGGCCTCGTGGTCAATAGTGAAGACGGAGGCGAGGACTGGTAACCTGCATTCGGGACGTTGGTTTCACCTGGCAAGGAGAAGTCTCCGCTGATACAGACTGGTTGCACCCTCAGAATTGACCCACCGAAGTCAAAAGCTCCTCAGTGGTAGCATTATTAGCACACCATGCCTCCATCGGCTGCACCAGCCATGCGAGGATGGATGAATGATGCAAGAATTGTCTACAAAAGACTTGATGCATGGTATGTTGATACTGATTCCATATCCCAGAGGGAGATACGGCCACCTTCTGCTTCGTGATGAGTTGCCTTGCAAAGTTTGTAGCCATCCCAGGCTTTGGCCAACGTTCGGTCCAGACATGACAAGATCCGAGGTGGTGAAGTTGACAACCCTGGCACAGCACAGTCGAGCACTACTTACAAGCACTTAGGGGGTGTGATGGTAGTACCAAATGTAACTGTCGTTGAGGTCTGCACCTACAGATGCGACTTTTCCTTCACAGTACCCGACAAACTGTTAATGATTGACATCGAACACCTGTTTACGCTCTCTAAACGACACCAAGGAGTCCATACTTCCGGGCTCCCACCAACTGTCACTCTCGTTTCCCTACCTGACGAAAGTTCGTAGAGCTGTCTAGGCGGCGCAGGAGTATGGGCCCAACTACCCAGGCCCGATTCCGCGATGCGTCAATGTTCTCTTCGAATGCCTTGATATGGGGCCGAATAACCCACGGGCCGAATAACCCACTGACATCTTCCCAATTCTGCGATTTGGGGCCATGGTCCCTGGAAGAAAGCGGCTGTCGTCAGACTCAGTGAAATAATAATTTCCACGGATCTGATGATGTCATTCCGAGGGCACGAGTTCAACATTGGGGACGCTTACATCTGTAACCAGAAAAATAATGTAGGAGGTCAGGGAGCCTAGATGAGAAATACAAGGACGAAGGAGGTAGGATGGAATCGCTTCAAGGAAGTATGCTTGGCTCGGCCTGTTATTTCGTACAAGGAAATAATGCTGAGGAAATGAATGGCAGAGGTGCTTCTGATATTCGTCTCTCTGGTAGGTAATGAGGCTGAATCCTGCCCGGTTATCGAAACGGGATGAATAATTGATGGCAGAACGTTCCGCGTTTTGTCAATCATGTTTTCAGACCCTTGAATTTCACTTCTTGGGGATTTTGATTTCCCAATATATAAACTCAAGTTCAGAATTCAACATCTCACGGGATTCAAGGGAACCAAGTATATCAAACCCAAAGATTCCTAAATCTTTCTTGATTCGGTCAATAACTATATTCAGCTTGGCATAATTAGACTTCCAGATATGCCATCGAACCCATCTCAAACCCTAACCCAGCCATGTTTTAGGCCCTGAACTATCAAATTAAAGCTAAGCCCGGCGTACCTATAGGCTGCTCTTTCCCGTCTTCTAGTTAAGGTTCATCTAGTTAAGGTTCGTTTAGCCTTGAGCTTGAGTTTGGAACCGAATAGGGAAGGACCAAATGTCGAAGTTTCAGTATCCTATGTCACCCTTGGGGACTCTTCCCTTCCCGACTTTTCAACGCATGCTAGAAAAAGGTCCAACTCCCCCGCAGCATCAGTCATTGCATCTTTAGTATTCTCAAGCATTTCTATCGTTCACCATGGCGGTTCAGGCGCCGCAGGAAGATACACTTAGATTCCAGTCGACATCCAAGTCGGTACCCAACCTCCGTCAGCTATCGAAGAAAGAGCGGTTCGATTTCTACTCTGAACTGATAGAACAGCGGCATATTATTTTCATCACCCGTCCGCCCTATAGTCAGGGCAAATTTACCCAAGTATGGGAGGACTACGCCGAATATCGTGCGGAATTGAAAGAGTGGTTCACAGCTTTTGGGAAGAAGAAGGGTCTATACCCGGTCTACAGCCATGGGATAGTCAACAAAAGAACGACCATTATCCATGTCTTCAACGTTGATGTCTTTTATCCGCCCCATAGCGATGCCCAGATGAGAACGTTTCATTGTTGGCAGCAGGAGATGGCATCGACAGCTTTCACTACAAATCAACAGCGAGCTGCTCTTGCTAACGGCGTTACACTCTCGAGGCTTCAGATCGTCCCCAAGCCAGAGGGACCTCCTCTCAAACCGTGGCGTGCGGTGCCTTTCGAATACCCACTCAAGACCGAGGAGCCTACTCTTCCTGTATACAGTCAGTTCAATAGATCTCGGCGACCTCTTAGACGAACATGGGTAAATCAGGATGGACCAGCACAGCGTCAGACAAAGGTTACCATGCGCCACGACCACCCTACTCGCCCACAGTCAAGGAACTCACCAGGCTCTCCGCGACCTCGTAAAACGTCTTCGCCAACCAAAGCCCCTCAACGTCCAGCTTGGCCTGGAGCTGCTCATAGGAGGGCATATGATAAGCGGAGGGAGTCACCTGTTCCAAGGCAGGAGAGAAGAATTACTCATGAGGGTCAAAATGGGCTCAGACCGGCGACTCAGAATCCCTGGGGTCCCTTCCAAGCTGCGGCGTCTCCCGCCCCAATGAGACCTCCGAGGATGTGAATTAGGTGGTTCTTCTGCTCTTTATCATCGGCGAGTAAAGGAAGGTTACTGGTTTCTGGTGCTCTGGAGTTGGGGACTTGCCCCTTGCATGTTTCGGAAGTTTGAACTTACTGCTGGCGTCTCTCGTTTCCTGCATGTCGAAGAATCGATATTGCTGTGCGTGGATTGGTCTTAGTTCGGTCTCTTACTATCACTCTCTGATGGTACCAGTAGATAGAACTAATTGACCCCGAATTCCACCTATCCCGTGTCCCGCAAAATGTTGTATGACCTAGTGAAGTCTTTTCAATTCCTGGATTTGAGAGTTCACAACAGAATGATCGAAGCACAAGAGTAGCACACCCCTCCTCAAAGCATCCATCCTCCCCACCCCCACACCTAGCTCTACATATTCATACCAATCAACCAAGCAATCAGGTCCGAATCCTTCGGCAACTCCGGATAATCCATGGCAATCACACCATACCTCGTCTTGAACTCCCAGGCGTAGTTCCGCCGCACGTTATGATTCATGCCAGGGACGAACTTTCCTATGATCTCGCTGTGCGCGCCGACTGCGATCCAGCGACTCTCTGCAATCTCGCCCTTCTCCACCGGATCCCCTACCGCGCTGGAGAAATTAAGGAACCCTGTAGAGAAACATCGGGGGGTTAGCGTTTATTGCTTGAGAGAAAGAGAGAAACAGAGGGGGGGATGGAATAGGAGGGATAGGACGCACACTGCTCAGGCGGGCCCATGGCTGCTTTTCCCAACATGTTACTGACGAAGTTGAATTTGCTCTTGATGAGATCAGCGAGAGGCATAATGTCCGAGTATTGCCATTTATCTTGGAGCGTCAACGTCACTCCGTCGGGCGTGCGCAGCGTGAATTCCGGATTGTCGTTTAGCCAGCCGCTGAGATCGATACCGATGCGCTCGGAGATGGCGAGGCTGGGGTCGGAATGGTATCTGCGGAGGAGGACGGCCTTGCCGCGAGCGTCGCCGAGAGTTACGGTTGTCCTAGAGGTGATCCAGCGGGGCTCGCCGGTGCTGTAGGGAGGGGTGTTTTCGATGTGCTGTTTTACTGCGTTGTAGAAGAGAGAGGGCGGGTCTTGGCCGGATACGTCGTCGTTGTTGATGGAGATTAGGACGGTGTCGGTGGGATTTCCGTCTTTCGAGAGGAAGGTGAAGATGTCGTGCATTACTTTGTCTAGTTTTAGGTACATGGGGAGGTTGATTGGGATACCGCCGTGGTACATGTAGAGATGGCCATTCGAGTGGACGCGGCAACGCAGATCTAGGAATCTGATACCGGCTTCCATCTGCTTGGTTATTGACAAGTACTGCGTCCGCACAAAAGGGATGTTTGATTCTGCGCAGCTGTCATGGGTACCGGGAATTGTCATATTGGATAACAGGGTATCATCCGGGATATCCTTCATCCAGGAGCTCAATGAATAGTTCAAAAGCGACCTGGAGTACCACCTCAGATCCTTTGTCTCCGTGTTGGAGTTGAAGATACAGTTGATACGCCCATTCAATATCGCCAGTTGGGGAGGATCTGCTGAGGTCTGGCCTGCCACCGCTTCCTGTGGTAACCACTTACCATCTTTATACTCAGCAATATAAATCACATGAGAAGTATCATCGGGCCCGTTTTCTTGGAAAGCCAGAAAGGCACTGTCACCGTACGACGTTGCTGAGATACCAGCTGCCGACTTTCCCTCGCTAACATCATCGCAAGAGTTCCAGACGTCTTCGGGAGAACTGTATGCAAAGCCTAGAATCTCTCGATTTTCGTCGTTCGAAGAGCACAATACGTGCAAAGTACCATTCAAAACAAACATAGCTGGAATACCCCTGACCTGACTGATGCCACCCATCTCCTGTGGCATGGACCAGACAGCAGTATCATTGTGAGGATTGAGGGTCCATAAGGAGTAATACAAAGTTGTATTCTGTATGAACACCAGGAAGAGCTTGTTATGAAAGGCGACGAGAGCAGGAGTACCACCGGTTGAAAATCCCGCTGCTGTGTCCAGAAGAGTGGTAGCTGACCAGACCTGGTTGGCGTCATCGAAGATATAATGAGCGATGTCTCCAGAGTCTCGCACTACCAGAGCGTGTAGCATTCCTAAGAGCTCGGCCATGACCGGAACACCTTGATCTGGGAATTGTGTTCGCTGTCCAAAGGTATTGTTGTTGCCGACAGCATAGTAGAGATCTTTCGAAGGGTCACTCCATAGACACCAGAGTTCCCCTCGGTGGGTTGCTACAGCCGGTACAGCTAGAGTCTGGCCATTTGGGGCTGGTTGTACATACCCATGGCTATTCTCTCCGCTGGTGACCCAAGACATTACTGTGTAATAGGTGAGTTATACCTAAACCATCCAGTGCGTAGGACCTGGAGATGGCACCAGCTTATACCTTTTCTAATCCGATCAACTCCTGAAGTCCAAATCACGTGACTTTCAGCAGTCGAGCTTTCTATGAGAGAACAACTCACGTATACGCAGCACTAGCTGTGACAAGCAAGAAGTAGCAGTAATAGACACTAATAATAGAGAAGTAACAGTAAAGAGCAATTGAGCATCGATAAGCTGAGCAAAGATGAGGAGTGAACTGCGCGAGGAGGAGTGCCAAGATTTTTAACGGGCCTTAGCGCTCACCTAAGATGAAACGGAACGAGCCGCCGGGTCCGAAGTTGTCACGTGATATTGCTCTGAGACGCTTCTTGATAGAAGATGAGTGCTGACAGAAAGATATTATAATTAAAGTTTCTGAGCAATTGGATATCAGATGGTTTAGAAAGGATCTTGAACAAGTATAACTCACATATTATTGTTCGAACATACCATACCTTACCTACCTTACCTCCTTTTTGCTTGGACGAAGAAAGCATCATTTCAAGGGCTATCTTACCACTCAATCAGTCCAAGTCACTCATCCTGCACCTATACTTGAAAATTCTTGATAGGTTCTTCATAGCTAGGAGGTGGCTCATCCGAACTTCTGTTTTCCAGCTTATTCCCCTTGTTCCTCTCCATTTCTTTCAGGTGGATACTGAGCATCATGCTCTGGCTTACCTTTGTTTTCACCGTCCCCCAACTCCAACTTGCTATTAAACTCTGGATCCGTTGCGATTCAGTTTCCCGTTTCCGAGCGTTGTTCAAGAGTTATCATCCTCATCGTCCTTAACTGAAGGGATGCTACCTGCTTTGTTGTCCTTGGATTTTTCAGACACCGTCTCCGGCGATTGGTCAGTCTCATCGATGGCATCTGCCCGTCTACCTGTCTCCTCTGTTACGGCTCCAGAAGCTCCCTCTTGAACCCCTGCCTTCGTTTTATTTTGTGCTTCTTCCCTCGCCTTATCCTCCGCTTTCTGCTTCTGTTCAAAATCCCACAAGAATTTCGGCCCAAGTCGTTCATCCGCTTCATCAGCATCCTCTTCGTCGAGGTCGGGTGGTATATTCAAAGGTCTATGTGCCGCTCTTGCCCAGAACATACGGGACTTCGGACTGATTTTGTTGGCACCAGCAACGGCATTATAGAACGCAAGGGCCTCCTCCTCTAGACCGAGAACACGAAGAGACCGGATGATTCGTGTAATACGGAGGTGGTTGTGGTTAAATCCTGTGTGCCAGTGTCGGGAATGTTTGGGAAAATTAGGACCAGGGCAAACCTATGCGACAATGTATTAATGTTTGGATTTCCCGAGTGGTAATGAGCACTTGACTACTTGCCTCCAACTTGCCATTGGCGTCTCTCTGAAGCTGAAATCCATAGAACCACATTATCCGTTCGAAAGAGTCTCTCATCCTACCCCTCAACTCCATGCGCGTGCGAAAAGCTTCAAAGACCTCTTTGTCAATGATTGGCGCGGGGTCATTGAATGCAGACTTCTCTGGTAGAGGAAACAGGGTTTGGATATAGTCGTGGCATGATTCGAGTCTGCTGGCTGGCCATTGCAAAATCTCTGCTAGGCTTCGTCCTTTAATGTCTTTGCCAGTACCATCGTAGAAAGCGATAAGAGAGACAGGTGAGCGTCTGCGTAAGTTGAAGTAGCCTTGCTCCATTTTCGAAGACGAGCGGCTTTTGGTTGGTGAGTTGGGACTAGGCGAACGCCTGCGCTTTTGTCATTAATTGGACAAAGAACAGATACAACAAAGAAGTACAGGCCAAATAGAAAACTCACCTTCGTTTGGACATTGTCTTTGATGGTTTGGCAAACTACGGAGGCGGGAGGGTCGCAAGGCTGCGTCACTGCGGCCGTCCCTAGCACGTGACGGGTGAGTGTCAGCCTTGTCCACAACCGCTTCTGAGGGGGATCTCTGATAGGTCAAGGCCATGAAGGGATATTTACAGTTATCCACAGGAAAATGCGGATGCGAATCTCTTCACCGCCTGCCTGCCTGACTCGCCTGGGAGGGTCTGGTGGATTGCAGCCATTTTCCCGAGGCTGGTAACAAGGTGTTGTTGTCGGAGGTCCGTAGCATCGATATTAGGTAAGCCGTATCTTATGCCTGAGGCAATCTAAGCACCTGAAGCTCAACACCCAAACCCCACCTATATCACAGTACAGTATCACTATCTGCATGGAGTAGGTAGTTACCTCCCTCACTCTACATGGGTGGGATGCCCTATCAATCTTCCGCCCTATCTCTCTTGATAATCGATACAGTATCTGTTTGCTTTCTGCGTTTCTTCATGTCGCGGAGCATTGAGACTAGTAATCTCGCCTCGGAGAGAGCTCAGACCCCAAGCCTCAAGCATCCAAGCCGCAAGCGCATGGTCCACAGATTCTTGGCCAAGGCATGGCATTCCCGCTATCATCGTCGTCGAGACTGAGTATTTGAGTAGTCTCAAGGCTCAATTGAGTACTAAGGAGTCTTAACTCGAGAGCCCTGGGCATCAAATTAGGAATCCAGCCACCCCAACCACCCATGCTCTTCTTGACCTCAGAGTCCGTGGTTGAGGCTTATCGAATAGTGGCAGGTGCTAGTATTCCAGAACCAGTGGGCGGAGTCCAATTGAACGGGCAAGAGTGCAACCCTTCAACAGCCTCAGGGGTCTTCGACTATTTTCAGGATGGATCATAATCATGAATTGCCCCGGGTATGTCATCGCCTCCTTCGTTGGCAAGGATGAAAGGACATCGACGGCCAGCTGCAAGCGAGCCGTGAGCACGGAGCAGACGGTTACCCATTATTGCTCCATACAACTCTGTATATCCTAATCCGTACAGGATTCCCCAACCCAGCTCCCTCTTCGGAAGTCCGCCGAGACGATCAAATAGGAAGGCAGGCAAGTTGGAAGGTCGTTAAACCGGAGGCGTCGGACGGGCAGAGCCGCTACGCCGGCGTTGACCTTAAAATGGCCTTAGCGTCGACATGTTGTATATTGTGGACTGGGGTATGCAGGGTCTTCTGCCCGTCTCGATTATCTTCAAGACTTCAACCGGAAGTCTCTTATCGCACATCGCATAATCGCGCGTCTACTCTAGACGTCATTCAGCAGGTTGATCATTGCCCAAATCCCGGCTTGCAAAGTTGCAAACATCCCGTGGGAAATTCATGATTGGAGGAAATCCACGATATGCAACTCCACCGCAGGGTCTGGCGAACCGGCCGCCTGCCTCCCCTATACGTGCAAGGCACCGTGATCGTAGAGCTCTGGACCCTGAGTCTAGAGTCCCAGCCTTGTCTTCCACGATACTACGATAACCTTCCGTCTCGTCCAGGCCTAACCGTTGACGGCGTGCTTGCAATCATTCTTCCAATTGGGGAAGGTATGTGATTACCTGATAAGCCTCCGGCCCATCTGCTGCTATGTTCAAGTCCGTATGTAGCATATATAAATCGGCGCTGGCCGCTGCATGGAGACATCCAGGCGACGCTGACTTTCACCATCATCACCATGCGTTTCTCACTTCTTGCTGTTTGTGGTCTTTTGGCCGGCGCAATTGCCGCCCCGACGGCCCATTCAAGGCGCCATGTTGTACATGAGCGTAGAAGTCGACTGCCCGCCAATTGGAGGAGAAGCACCAAACTCAGCAGCGATGCTGTACTGCCACTGCGAATTGCACTCACCCAGAGCAATCTCGACAGGGCTGAAGAATTCTTGATGGATGTCTCCCACCCAGATTCACCTAATTTTGGAAAGCACTGGACATCTAAACAAGTTGCCGAGACGTTCGCACCTAGCGATGAGACAGTAGCAGCCGTCACCCAATGGCTACTTGAGGCAGGAATCGTGCCAGACCGCGTTAAGCAATCCCAGAGTCTCAACTGGCTTCATGCTGAAGTCACCGTTGAGGAAGCTGAAGCACTTCTCAAAACAAAATATTATCGATACACGCACAGCCAGACTGGCCAGGCTCACGTTGCTTGCGATGAGTACAGCATCCCAGAGGATATCCAGAGACACGTTGACTTTATCACCCCTACCCTTCACTTCGACGCAAAGATCCAGGCCCCGAAGAAGAGACGTGCTCTAGATGAACGTGAGATTGATATTGTCAAACGTCAAACTTCGGCCATCGGTCACGATGTTCAACCAGGAAGTGCACATGCGATTGGTTCCCCAGGGGATGCATCTCTGCCAAAAAAAGGAGCTAACATTCCATTTTCCACCGTGTTGACTGAATTGGAAAACTGCGATGTCTCAATTGTTCCCAGCTGCCTTCGAGCTTTATACTTGATACCAGAGGACTTCCCAGCGCATCCCAATAGTGGGCCTACCTTCATATTAAATTAACCGCTGAATTACTGCTAATGAGTGGCAGACTCATATGGTATTGTCGAATATACCCCGCAAGCATACCTCCCAGATGATTTGGATATGTTCTTCCGCAACTTCTCTCCTGCACTGGTTGGTAAGAGGCCGACATTTGAGTCAATTGACGGCGGATACCTTCAGACCGAGGTGGAAGATTTTGGTTACAATGGAGAATCTGTAAGTTACTACCTTATGGTCTGGGGCTCAAGAATATATGGGCTAATCCTGCAATTTTAGGACCTGGATCTCGAATACGCCATGTCCCTGGTATACCCGCAAACTGTAACTCTTTACCAGACTGGAGACTCCGTCGAAGGCGCATCTTTCAACAATTTTCTTGACGCCCTCGATAGTAGCTATTGTACCTATGAGGGAGGCGATGATGCCACTCAAGATTCAGTCTATCCTGACCCCTATGGTGGATACCAGGGTCCCGAGGACTGTGGTGGTTTCACAGCCAGCAAGGTTATCTCTACCTCGTACGCCTACAACGAAGCCGATCTCACACCCTTCTATGAGATACGCCAGTGTAATGAATACCTGAAGCTTGGTCTTCAAGGCATCACTTTCCTGTACTCGTCAGGTGATTACGGTGTTGCGGGTAATGGAGGACAGTGCATCGACACTACCACCGGCGCATACAACAACGGTAAGATCCAACATCTCAAAACAGAGTTCTCAGACATAGAAGCTGATTCTTTAACATAGGAACCTCCGGCATGTTCAACCCCTCATTCCCCGGCACCTGCCCCTACATCACCTCCGTAGGCGCGACGCAAGTCAAGCCCGGCGCCACTGTAACCCAACCTGAAGAAGCCGCCGAGAGCGTCATCTACTCCGGCGGCGGCTTCTCCAACGTCTTCAGCATGCCCTCCTACCAAGCCAGCGCCGTCAAGAGCTACTTTGCCTCGCACGCACCGCCCTACGGCCCAGACCGCTACAACACCTCGCAAACCTCGCGCGGCTTCCCCGACGTTGCCGCCAACGGCGTCAACTACGTTATCGCCATCGACTCCGCCTTCAGCTACGTCTACGGCACCAGCGCCTCCTCCCCGACCTTCGGCTCCGTCATCACCCTCCTCAACGCCGCACGCATGGATGTCGGCAAGAGCAGTCTCGGCTTCCTCAATCCGGCCCTGTACGCGAACCCCGGTATCATGAACGATATCACGGCCGGTGGGAACCAGGGCTGTGGCACGCCCGGCTTCACCGCGGTCGAAGGCTGGGATCCGGTCACGGGACTAGGCACCCCGAATTTTTTGAAGATGTTGCCGTATTTCTTGTCTTTGCCTTGATTGATGTGGGGAGAGTGGAACAAACATCGCCTTTTTAGGATGCTTCGTAACGATTTAATGCTAGCGGAATGAGTGAATGATTGAATGAATGATGGGCACGGGCACGTATAATAAGGGCCTCCTTGGTTTTATGTATATAGATGAATTGAATTGAATTGAATTGAACTGAATGATCCCAATGCCTAACCAATAAATAAACAGTTTTGCCCCATTCCTAGCAATGCAAGTTCAACAAATTGGTATTCTTTCTACCCCTCGCCCAAAAGAAAATCATGAATATGAACATAAAAAACGTCCTCCCCTAATGAAGAGAGGAAAAAAAAAAACTCGAGGGTTGCTATTTCGGATGTTCGTTATGCTATTCTATTCCACCCCACCCGTCACTAATGCAAGTTCATGTATGTATGTACTCTTTGATGAAACCTCTCTCTCTACTCTGTCGCCTTATACTTCTTATTAAACTCTCCCACCGCGATACCGATCTTCCTGTACAGGAAGTTCCGCGAGCTGACCTCCGCCACGGGGATGAAGGGACCGTTGGTGCCGCCCCTCAGAGTCAGGCTCAGGCCTGTGCGCTCCTTGCTGATGGTCTGGACCTCGTTTAGTGGGATGTCCCACTCGCTCGTCAGCTTCTTGCTCTTGATGAGCATGATGCGAGCATAGGTAAGCATGAAGACGACGTCTTCGCGCGGGAGCTCGAGGTGCGCAATGTATTGCTCGTTGAAGTATTTTCCATTGTCCAGTTGCTTCAGCCAGAATTGCCCCAGGGCCTCGCGCTGCGAGTACGGGCGCACGATCCCATCCGTGTCAATGAAGCGGGCGAGACGGACACGGTCGAGGCCATCAGAATCAAAGACTGTCGTTGTATTTCGGATGCCTTCGCTGACATTGGAGGCGAGATCAAATACTCCAATTGCTGGTTTGGTGGCGAGGCCGAGGACCCCTTTGCCGACACCCTTGAAGAATCCTGCTACGCCTTCTTGCTCTGCGCCTTCGAGGGGTTTCCGCGCCAATCCTCCAATACCGCTGGCGAGACTGGTTGCAAAGGAATTCGCGCCCGCTGTGACACCGTAGAGTGCGTGCTTTGGTCGATTCCGTGATCGTGTCATCCGTCGTCGATCTTGGAATTGCTTGTCCATCGTGGCTTCGGCGAGACCTTTGGCGATACTACCCGTCATCTTTGATACGCTATCCGATACACCGAAGACGGACTTCTTAACGAAGCTGGTGGCGCCTTTTGCAATGCCCACCCCCAGGGCTTCAGGCTTGTCGGACATGATGAATCCTTGGTATGGTTCATAGAAGATATCTGCGACTCCCGAACTAAGGTTATTGAAGAGACCGACAGGGTTACCAAGAAAATCTGCAGAGCCCAAAATCTTGTGTACTTGATACAATGCCTCTTGTGAATAATGATTCGAGATATTCTGCGTTAGGATGGATGATGATACTCGAGCATTCTCCAACATCAATGAATTGAGACGGACTGGGGCATCATTAATATTGCCGATAGCCATAGTTAAGATGTTCAAAAAGAACATCAATGGGTTCTTCGATGATGTCTTATCCTCGACGTTGACTCGTTCGGTGCGAACGAAGGATAGGTCGAGTTGCATAGGCTGAATGTTTAGCAGCTCAAAGTAAATATCTTGACCTTGCTGCTCCTGTTTTGGTTCGGGGATATCCAAGCTTTCGTCGCACAGAACTCCTTCATGTGTTTCTGACCAGCTAGCCCCCGGAACTTTCGAGAACTCTAACAGAGCGTAGACAAAGTCCTCGTCAATTTCCAATGTCATCTGCTGCAAGAGCATAGTCGCATATTTGATATAGAGCACGCCATAAGAATCATCTTTGACACGAGTAACCATGGCATGGATACAAGGATGCGTCTCAGTTTCCCTAGTGTTCTTCGGCACAACGCTGGGGTACAAAATCATGGGGAAAATGCCACCGTAGAGCTGATTGTCGATCTGTACCCATTTTATGGACGTCGTGACTGTCTGGAAGAGTGGAGATTCCGTGTATTTGAGTGAAATATCTCGGAAGGTAATGTAAGCAAGTTCTCTCGGCTGAGTATTGATCAATGAGATTCCAAAGCCAGCAAGCTTGACCTGTGCCTGGAACGTGACATTCGTATCCTGTTCTTTGACGACAAAGCCGCCAGCAACACTTGTTGAAGACTCGGACCGCGTCTTCTGCTTATACAGACTCATCGAGGCTTTGTAATTCGACAAAATGAGAGTCTGTGTAGGACCATCAGTTGCCACATTGAGATCGATGATTTTTGACTCTCTGCAAGTTGGGTCTTTTGAGGCTGGTATCTTCATAGGAATGAGATTACCGATCTCTGCAAGCTTGATATGTCTCTCTCGCCCATTCGCGTTGATGATCAACTCCTTATTTTTGGCAGCAGGGTAATCCCATGCATAAGGCATGATGCTTCTCGGAGGCAGTCGATAACGGATCGGGCGCCAGCCACTGCGATCTTCTACGTCCTCATCGTCAATATTCGGATTGGCCTGGAAGAACATGAATTCGGTATCGCTTTCATTGCGCATAGAGAATGGCCAGTTTTTAGTCTCAGCACTGATATGCAGGAAAATAGTGGCGTTCTCCATCAGGATTTCAACCTTTATGAGCTTTTGTCGTTGACCAGCCTTTGCAAGCTTAACGTGCGTTGATCCAAGGTCCGAAATGTTGAATGGAGAAGACCATTGGTTGTTCACTCCAGGAAAGCAGAGGGACAGCTGCTTTACTTCAGTCTTCTGAAGGAAGTGTAACGGCTCCAGAGCTTTTGGCTTGAGAGTGAAAAGCTCAGAAGATCCAGGCTCTCTGACGTTGATTTCTTCGTTCATCTGGTTCTTTAGGATAAATCGTGGAGCGAGAGTAACAACCTTGGTCATCTGGTATTTTCCTTCCCCAGGTTCGACAGTGATTCCGATATGAATCTCGGTCTTATTGGAAGAGGATGGAAGTATAACGTCAAAAGTGCTTCCGATAGCATCAAAACTTTGAGGTTTACTCCAGCTTGACTCGCCAACCTTCAAGAGAGCCCTGTTTCGCTGATCGTCTGCCCCATAAGCGAACATGTAGGGACGAGCCTTATGTCTCACTGCGTCTGCGGAATCTGTGTGGAACCCTTGACCGGCGGCTGTCCTAGCATTCTGGAGAAGCGACTTGGCCTTGATGTTTATCTCCAATCCAGTCTTGTTCAGAATCACATAGGGACTGTAGACAGTAACTCGGAAGGCGCCGCCACTGTCGGGGATTTTGAAGTAGTGAAGTCTGAGATTAAGCGCAAGCCCCTCGCTATCCTTGCAAACGAGAAGTGACTCTTTACGGAAATCTTCCTGGTTGTTTGAATTAATAATAGCGAACTCGCTTGCTTTGAAGACCGTGTCCTGCATATCGATGCTTAACAACAGAAGATGCGATAACTCGACCACGTGAACAGGACTGAGACCTCCTTTTCGGAGGAAGTTCGTCCAATCTTTTCTGGTGTTCTTATCATAAATGCGGTATTTGAAATCGTAAGGTAGTAGGTTCTCGAGCTCCACCGGCGCAGAGAGACGTATTCTCATGTATGGATAAATACTATGAGTATGTTAGCAGAAACTCCCAAAAGACTTCAAGTATCCTTACCTTGTGAGTGGATTGGTCTTGTCATAATTGGCATGCATTTGGAAGTAGAATGGAGGCGTCTGTCTATCATTCTCGCCCGTGCACGTTATAGTCTTTGTCGGCCTGTGGAGAAGATCCCTCCACCATAATGGTTCAGTGCACCATCCATAACCAAATCCTTGATCTGGCCTGACTAATAAAGATTTCAGGAAGGCTGCGCCTACAGGAGCAGGTCGGCTTTCGCCTGGTGCGATTTTCTCAATTTTGAGCAGATGCCCTTCTTGAGCATCGAAAACACCCAATTCCACAGGAATCTGAGTCTTGTTCTCAACTAAGAGGGGCGAGCGGAAGGTGATGTACTTGACATTGTCTGCACCAAGGGTGACCTCAACCAGGAGACGGTGGAGGACTTGATCTTTACGAGGCCGAAGACTATAAAGAGCTTCGCCTTCGCGGTTGATCGGGATCCTGTTGATGCTATCGAACCCACTGCCCTCAAGCCTGACACCCACAATCCCGGAGTTGTTTTCTGGAGACAAATTCTCACGCATCTTCTCCCAATCCTCGAATCGCCAAGGAGCTTCCTCGCCATCTTCGAGTCTTGCAGACATTTCGTTTTCCTCGTCGGGAATATCTGCCCAGACATTGATATCAAATCCTGTGTAATTTCGGATCCGATACGGTGCATCTGCTCCCCGTGGCTTCGAAAGAACATCATCTTTCTGGGTCAAGAATTGCGCCGATTTGGAAGCAAGGGCAATTGTAGCTGATGTGACCGTGACTTCTAGCATTTTTTGTGATGTAAAGTCAATGGACAGACGATCCGGATTTGGCTCCTTCGAGATCTGGAGTCCCATTTGCCAAGGCTCGATGAGAGGCTCCCACGCAGACTTGGAAAAGTTATATACGTTGACAAACATATCAATGTTGGTGTCCGCTCTCATGCTACTTGTCCAATCAGTGGCTCTTGCAGTGAAACCTTTAACGCTGAGATCAAGGATTGGTAATTCATGTAGATCGCCAATCAAGATGACTCTCATGCCTTCCAATGTAGCAGTAAGCTCCTCATGGTGCTGCACGGTCTCCTTTCCTGACAGACTACCATTCGCACGGCCAGAAGTAGCCGTTTGGGCCTTGCTCTTCTTCGTCGTCGTTATACCCTTACCACTTGCTGTTCGCCGTTTGAGATCCGAAGTGCCGCGCCGCGCAAGTTGCGCTGCTTTCTCATCTGAAGCAGAAACGTGGTGCTCATCTTCATGTCCAGAGAGCTCAGAGGCTTTGCTGAAAATCTGGAGGGCCAGAAGAATATCGCGAAGGGACAACCGGAGTACAAGTGGCTCTACATCGATGTAGACGCTGGTCATATTTGGTTTTGAGCTATCGGTAGACATCTGCAAAGAGAAATCATCAATGATTCTCAACCGGCTGTCCTCAAAGCGGTCCATTCGGCAGAGGAACATGCCCATCTGTGAGACCTGAAGCGTTAGAGCATGTTGTTTTGACATGAGAATTTGTTTAGTCCCGAGTACGATAGCTTCGGAGCTGCTACTGAGAGGGTTTGCGATTAAGATGATTTGAGCTTCGACCACATTGACCCTAAAGGCGATGGTCATCGATGATTCTTCTGGCTGACTGGAACCCTGGCTACGTGTAGTGGTGACCGATTTGGATTGTCCTGATTCTTGCCTGCTCAGTCGCGTAGTACGTGTTGAATCGGTCTCTGAGCCATCTCCAGACTCAAGCATGCTTTCATCGTCTTCCACGATTACAGGTTCGTCAACAGCAAAACCGCCTGCGATAAAGGACTGTATTGCGAAGATGTAGTCGAGAGCGAAAATGACACGAGGGCTATCAACAGCAACCATGGCAATCAGGTTGCGCTCCTTTCCGCCAGAGATACTAACGCTGGCCATGAACTGCTGGACGTCCTTATTTGAGGACGTCATGATCTTTCGGAATTTGTTGGTCTCTCGCTTTCTGCTATCTTGGATCGTGAAGGACTGAATCAATAGCTCCGATTCAAGTGATCCATCAGTCATCATGCGCAGCTTCACCTTCGTGTCATCCAATGAAAATTTAGACAAACTAGAGGCCTCGATATCACCGACTGGTTCATCTTCGTCTGCCAGTACCAATTCCAGACCAATTGTGTGAACATGGAAGGCAAGGTCGAGTTTGGTCCAGATACTAGAGTCGACTCCCAGTTCAGGGCCTAGATCAACAAGTGTACCATCCTCGGGGGGTTCTTTTGATTCCGCAGGAGCGAGTCTCTTTGCTTCCCTCCGAGTTTCTTTTGGTACATCCTCAATAGCCTGTTGTTCATCCTCGTCCTGATTAACTGCAAATGCTGCAGGGACCGATTTCGCTAGTTGCAATAGGAATTTCAGTTGAATCTGAGTTATTCGCAAGTTGAAATCGGTCATGCTGCCCTCTATTTCCATGTCGGGTCTCTTCGCGCCCGGGGTATGCTCCGCATAGGTCATTTTGAAGCCAAGATCCACCTTATCAATGAGCTCCAATTCTTCGGACTCGTCCTCTGGGTAATGGAAGTAGGAGGTCATTCGGATGTTCCTAATGCCAGCGGATAGTTGCATTGCAATTTGGGAATCCTTCGAGTCATCCAAGGGCACGAACTTATTCTCCGCATAAATCTCTCCCAGGTAAGCCGTCACCAAATCCCGCTTTGGACGGCCAGGAAGCATAACTCCAGGGAATACCACGATGGGAGTCGAAATGTTGATGTCGAACTTTACACGGCCAGCGTTTTGAATTTGGGAAGCCTGGTTTGCAGCCGCTTGTCGGGCTGCGTTGAAGATAGCTTGCATCTTACCGAACTTAACCAGGAAGTCGATGATCTTCCGGAACGGCTCTTCCAGAAAGTTCAACTTTATGGAACCTGCACGGAGGAAGATCGAAGAATCGTACCCGGGATAGGTGTCGACGCTCTGAGCATCAAATGTCTCATAGCGGAAGTCCGCCAAATCGTCTCCTTGAATTTCTATCAACTTCCGGAGATTCGAATCACTCGACGCCCCTTGATTAATATCGTCCAGTAATGACAGATCTCCCAACTTAGCAGCAATCCGCATCGTCTTGCCCATGAGAAAGATACCGACATCCGCATGATTAAGAGAAAGTGTGGCTAATCGAATGCCATCGTTGTTAAGAATGAGGACAATACTCGTCAGATCTACCTTAATACGAATCGAACCAGAGTCAGGAGACTTCGGTGGCTGCAGCTCAGAGCTTGATTCCATATTCTCGGCATCCATGAGCTCTTCGGATGGGGACTCAGCTGCAGGAAGGGAAGCAGCCTCATCGTTCGTAAAGGTTACCAATATGAAATCCAACAACGTAAGCAGAGTCTTTCTGGTGACGACCAGGTTGATAGTGGATACGGCGACGTCGATATTGAGTTCAACCCCTTGATACTTAGGCATGAACTCCAATGATTCTTTCTTGACTCTGATGATCTTCACATGAATAAGATCCTTCTTATCAGAATCCTTGCCACCAGAAGACACTATCGATTTGAACTCCGCCGGAGGATTCTCCACGTAGTCATCAATAACTACGGATTCCAATGAAGTTTCGATTATCATGTCGTATGGTCGTACGCAGAGGTTCAACCCGAAGTTTTCAGCAACCAATTCCACGAGGAGCTGGTCTGGCTTCCTACCTTCCGGATCACTTCTGTAAAGCGAGCCCTGAAGACGCTCAACTTCAAATTTCAGTTCGAAGTTTCGCTGTTGGAGCTTAAGGCTCTCGTCGGCTTTCACCTCCGGTGCATCTTGGAACTCTGCATCGTCATCATCATTATCGGACTCTTGCAGGATAATCGCTTCCTGAGTAGAGGTAGAGAATTGGAATGCCGTAGACGAAGGACGATCACGATTCTTGTCAGACTTTTTTTGTACACTCTGAGCACGCGATCGGGACGTCGCTAAGGCTGCCCCCGACGCGGAGCTCTGCGCAGGCGCTTCTTCCTCATTTAAGTTGGGCAAGGCCACGTCGATGAGTCTCATCAAGTTCTTATATTTCTTATCCGATACCGAGGCATGCAACACAGGGAGCTTGCCTGATATTCGAACCTTGGCCAGGTTTGGTGCCTTCGGAATAATCGAAGTTTCGAGGATGAAGTCCATGTTGATCTTATCAACAACGTGCATTGACTGTGACTCGTCTCTTTTCGTCAGTTGCGCCTTCGTCTCCTCGATTGATGGGCCGATAAGAAGCTGCGTAGAAGAAAGCTTGACTAAGAACTTGTCATACATCAATGACTCTAGTCGCTTGTAGTCCTCATCAGTGTAAGCCTGCTTTTGTTTCGATTGGATATCCTTCATAGTATCTTGGTCGACAAGCTCGCTGTTTACACTGATGTGTCCAGCATCAAGAATCAAGCAAATTGTCGATTTTGAGGTTATGCTCTCGGGGACGATGATCAGAGGAGCCTGAAGATCCAGTTTCGCATTGATTGTCTTGTGCTCTTCTAATGCGAACTCCAGACCGACTCTCGTCTGCTGGCGTAACTCTTCCACAGTTGCGCCAGCACTCTCCATGAGAGCTCCAATGGACTCCATGTGCCTCTCAGGAGGCTTGAAAAACTGCATGATGGCCACAAGGAAATTAGGATTCCAAATGATCTCAAGAGGCTTAAGTTTCCCGGTCACAGCCATGTCGCTAGCGCCATCCAACGGGTTCTTCTCAAATTGGAACTGGAAGAAGGGTTCGATGGTATTCTCTACATCCTCGTTCTCGTCATCAAGCTGAATCTGACCTGGCTCATCTGGTGCATCTTTGACTCGCACAATCTGAGTGAACAAGCTGTTAGGAGTCGTGCCATCATTGACTCTCAATCCACCAAGGCTCATATCCGCCAAGAATGAGTCTGGGCGTTGAAGGAACTTGGCTTGGAAAGCGTCGAAATATAGACTGACTACCTCTACCACTTTTTCATGAGGATCGCGCTTAAGTGTGAAGCTACCCGTGTTGAGAGACGCATCAATTTGCAACTTGATTGTCTCCTTTGGCAGATCTATACACTCGGCGAAAGCCGTCTTTTCGTCCCAGTCGATGGCATCGTACAACTCTTGGCGTTGTTCCTCAGTCATCGTGGTTTCGGGGTCTTCTTCTTCTTGGGGTTTCGAGCCCCAAGCCCAAGCGATCCAGCCTTGTTTCTGCTTTGCAGTTTCCGCCTTCTTCACTCCGACGTTCTCTTTCTTCAGCTGGTTCCTAGCTAAAGATCTCCAGAAGCGCATGTCTTCGTAATTTAGCTTCCACTCAAGCTTGTTCAACTCCTCTATTTCCTCGGGTGTTAACTGCTCAGTCTGCTTCTTCTTTTTCTTGAAGAGCTCAATATAACGGATTCGGTCATCTCTTCGCTCCTTGAAGAAAGCCCATGACCAACGACGATTGCGATCGTGGATCTTGCTCAACACCGCATTTCCTGCAAACTTGAACCATGCCCTTGGGTCTTCCATAGGTGTGACACCTTTTGGTTGCAGTTTTTTGTACTCTTGGTGACGAATAAAGTAGTGGAATAAGTCGACTAACATGAGAGCATCTCGGTATTGCTGATCATCCAGCACTACTCCAATTTCATCAAATACCAATCCAGCTTTCATGTGTGGTCTATCAACCTTTCCAGACTTGTCTATTTCGATTTTTGCCTGGCCGTTAACAGGCTTCAGAATGAACTGATGGTTGGCCTGTTCTGGATCCTCCCCTTTAACGATCATATCCTTGAAATTGTCTAACATTTCATCATGTGAAGACACCACGGCAGCGCCTGGTACCTCTGCCTGCCGACCCGTCCCCAGCAAATCGGTATCCGTGTTCCAATATATAGCCAGCGCGCCGAGAGTCGCAAGTTTGTGGGTAGGCCCCGCGGAGTTCTGTATGTATGTTGGCTTCCATTCCCCATCCGTGCTAATTGCGCTGAATTCTTCCAGCGTCAGACCAATGGCAAATGGGTGGCCGGGGGCGGATATCGAGTCTTCGTAGCGAAGATGGATGTTCTTGACTGTGATTTGGAGATTGTCGACGATTTTTGTAACCAGGCTGTCGGTGAAACTTTGGTTCTTTTGCTGCTCTTCCTGACTCATGCCTTCTTGACTGCGATCCTTCAGCATCTCAGCACTGTCCAGCTTCTCAATCTTGAGAGCCTGCCTCCGGCGCTCCTCCTCCTCCTCATCCCATTCAGCGTCTTCCTTCGGCGCAGCGAGGAGAAAGACATCTTCGATGTAGACCTGGACTGGCTGCCCGCGCAGGTTCGACCACGGGATCCTGAGTGTGAGTTGTCCCAGGTGTCCTTCCACAACATTTATTGGAAGCTTCAGCTGGTCCAGAGCCTCCCTGCGCAATTCCAGATCCCGCAGCTTCACATCTCCAGACCAGATGCCGACTTTCAGTTGTCCCGGATCGAAGTTCCTTATGTACATGCCCAGGAAGCGGTTGAGCAGCGATGCGACGAGTCCTTCCAACATCGTGGTGTCGCGTTGCCGTTACCCTGGCAGGGGGTCAATCGATCAAACTTTTCGAGGTGTCGTCGGTCGGTCGCATCAGCGAGGGGTATCGTTTGTGATTCAGGCCATAACGTTCATGAAATTCGTGGCGGGTGTTCTCGAACAAGGTGAGATATCGTCTTGCGGGTTAAGATGGGATTTGTAGGTAGTAGAGGCTGAATCGTAAGTTCCCCGCCGTGGACAACGCGAAGCTACGTGGAGAACGAGCGATAACGCTGGCCTCAGGAAAATCGGGCCATTCTTCAACCCCTGCTTCGAAGTGCAAAAACTTTTGATTATACAAGGAGTGGATGTAAATAATGCACCTGCTCAGAGATTGCATCCAATCCTTCTACACAGGTGTCCCTAGCACTCCCTAGATTTCCATGTTCTCTTGTCCTGGACCCGCTAGCACGACTGCACTACTCCTATGGTGGGCGGGTCCAAGGCCACTACGTCATAATTCATTCATGAGCTGGGAACTGGATGAGCTCCTCCAAGTACAAGTAGGTGTAAGTACCAGTAGGGAGCTACTAATTCAACAAGCTCCCCAATTTCCTTCATTTGAAGTGCCTTACACTGTACCATCTAATCTGAACCTTCAATTGATTTTATGACCTATTTTACTCTACGTGAATTGAGCTTTTCAGCATCAAGTACAAGCAATCGGACTGCGGGGAAGCTCCCGTACAAACAGCTATCAGATAAACACCATGTTCCGCTCTGCAGCCGCCCGGACACTCGTAAAGAGCCTCGCGAAAGCTCCTTCTGCCAGGTCAAGCTATACTGCAACTTCAGTCAAGCTTCGAAATGTCACACCTCTTTACCACTTGAATAGTAAACGCCCACAAAACCACCTGACCCTCTCCCGACCAACCACGACATCACTGCTGTATGCTACGAAATCCGAGCCTCCATATGACGAGATTGACGTGCAGGCGGAGAAGGAATATGCACAAAGAAAGATTGAGCCTCATCCACAAGAAGTCTCAACCCAATCCACCATTCGTCCAGTGTTTGAGGGGAGTAGGAAGCAGGAAGACGATGTAATGATGGGTGGGATAAAGGGAGATCTTCGTACAATCATAAACACATTTGGGCTCAAGGAAGTTCCTAAGGAGCCGCTATACTTTGGAATTGCAGGTGTTATTCCATATGTCATCACCTCTCTGTCGACAGTTTTTCTCTCTGACGAAATCAACCGTTCCCACACTGCTGGCCAGGGGCTTCTGTTTTCGCCCGAGACGGCACATCAGATCCTTGATTTCATAACCCCAGTCCAGATCGGATATGGTGCTGTGGTAGGTTGCCAGCGCGTACGCTTGGACTAATTGTAAACTGATGAAACCAACAGATTATCTCCTCCCTTGGAGCCGTCCACTGGGGCTTAGAGTATGCCGGATATGGTGGCTTCCACAGCTACCGTAGGTACATGTACGGGGCTCTCGCACCCGCACTTGCATGGCCAACAATGTTCTTGCCCACCGAACCCGCTCTCATCACACAATTCGCGGCATTCACTTTCATGTACCTCGCGGACGCTCGAGCCACGGTCCGAGGGTGGTTCCCATCTTGGTACTCCACGTACCGATTCGTGCTGACGTTCTTCGTCGGTGCTTCTATTTTGGTAAGCTTGATTGGAAGAGGAAGGATCGTGGACTCGGAGACCCAACTCAAGCGACCGGCGGACTATGTCAGGAACATGGCGGAGCCCGACCCGCGCGAGATAAAGAAGCAACAAGATCTGGCCAAGAATGAGTCTAAGTTTAAGCAGACTAAGAGAGAAGAGGCAAAACAGGACAAGGATAAGTCTGGGGAGAAGGCTGGGAAGGACTCAGAGAGCAAGGACGACGAAAAGGGCGATGACAAGAAAGAGGAGAAGGGAGACGATAAGAAAGAGAAGGGAGACGATAAAAAAGAGGAGAAGGGGGACGATAAGAAAGACGAGAAGGGAGGCGAGAAGGGAGGCGACAAGCAAGACGACAAGGAACAGAAGAACTGAAGGAAGTGCGGCCAGTCCCTTTTGCATGATCCCATTCCCTCCCGACCCCAACCAAGCCCCAACGCCTAATTCTTTCATCGTGCTCAGAAATGCCAGCCAGCCAGCCAGCTCCTATCGAGCCATCCATCAACCACCGCCACCTAATAGAAAAATACCTTACCTGCGTGTTCAATTCCATCGCAAAATAAAATATAATTGTAAAAAAAAATTCAACAAAGCAATTTCAAGCCGACGAAACCTTTCATCCGAAACCTTGCCACGTGAAGCCACCACGTGAAGCCACCAAGCTCAGACCCCTCGCTTACCGGAAACACCCCCTTTTCCGTACCTCCTTGTGGGGAAGCTAGATAGATAGCTGTACAATACTGTACAGGTACATACAACTATCTGAAATACCTACCTTACTATACTGTACAGGTACATACAACTATCTGAAATACCTACCTTACTATACTGTACAGGTACATACAACTATCTGAAATACCTACCTTACTATAAGTACCTAGATGTAGTAGGAGACATGTACATTGAGTGTACATGTACCTACTTGTATATTGACCCCTCTTTTTCCCAACCTGCAGGACTCTCCCTCTCCCTCTCCCTATTACCTAACTTGTACTTACCTTACTTAGTTTTCTAAAGGACGAAGTTCAATTCAATCTCAATACTTACTTCAGTTTCATATATCAACAGAAAAAAACCTATGTGCTTACCTATTCAGGGGTCCATGATTTGCATTTTGCAGGAAGGTGAGGTATCCGTCAGGGTGCTCGACATTCATTCTCGCACGGAGCGAACCTACTTTACTTACCTACTTACCTGCCTTATCTTATCTTACCTTTGCAACTATCCTTTATCTATATGTGCCTTTTTTTTAAAAAAAAGGGGGATTTAGAGATCATACCAGAAATTCTATCCTACAATACCTAAGGTACCTAGGTACCTACGCACGGTGTCTCAAAAGATGCTGCCCGTGCATCCACGACGACGGGAGCGCGTGCTCACTCACCGCTCACACGCAGCAGCTCACAGAAGAGTCGAGTGCGTGCGTGACGCGGTCTGCATCACCCTCCTCCCTCCCCCCCTTCAACCAAGAAAATAAATAAATAAATAACTCAGTAGTAAAATTGGATAAAATGAAATGAAACCTGCACCTCACGTACCAGGATCCATCTCCTTTTCAAGATCTTGGGGGTTTTTTTAGAGAGAGGAAGAGGGGGAGGGATTGGATGGGATGGGAATAGGAGGGAACTTGCGCAGGGGTTATGGCTGGTTTTTTTTATATAAATGAATGGAAGAGAGAGAGGGTACCTGACTCACGCGACGGTCTAGATAAGTAGGTAGGTACTGTAGGTACTGTAGGTAAGAAGAGGATCGATGATCCCGAGGGAAGAAAGTTGAGTTCTGATTTCTCAAGTAAGTTAACCTACCGTAGGGTACTATATATAGATATATAGACATCAACCAACTTACCTTACCTTACTGTCCACAAGTAACAATAGTACGATACCTATCTGCCCTGGCTAATCAACACCGAAAAGAAAAGAACCTCGCCCGGAGAATAATAGAATAATAACGTTAAAATCCAAAGCTATCAATCCTCATCATCATCCGCTCCGATCCATGTCATCATCACTTTGTTCCTCCCCCCCTCCCCGGGCCAAAAGGCCCCCCTCCTCCCCCAAAAACAGTCAAGGGAAGCGGGCCACCGGGTCCCAAAACCGCAATGCCGAGTGGCGATCGCGCACCACGCGAGCAAGGCACTTGGTCATGCCGGTGCATCTCGACCAGAAACCCCGGAAGATGCGGACCTTGACTTTCCTTTTGATTTTTTTTTGGCTGCGGGCGGAGGGGGATAAAAGGATGGCGTGTGTGTCCGGATGTTCTTTTTTTCTTTTTGTTTGTATATGGAAAGGAAGGTCGAAGCGGTCTATTATTACACGCATTATTTTTTGAGTAAGAAAAAGGTATCTATTATTTGGCCAATACGGAAAGAGGGGGAAGATGCGGTGCTGACGCTGGTTGTTGTTGTTGATGATGATGATGATGATGATGATGATGAGTGTTGGATGATTACGACTACATACGACTTCGACCCAGCCCTGCATTTTTTTTATATCCTGACCTGACGCCCCCGAAAGTCTCAGTCTCAGACCCAACGACTTATCTCTCGACTTCTATTTTATTTATTTATTTATTTCCACGCATTACATACCTTACTTACATACGGTACATACCCACACAATATGCTTCTCCTCTCATCCAAAAATCCGAATTTCTCCCTCCACTTCCTGCCCTCCTTTCTCCGCCTCGAGAAGCCATCATCAGCGTCGTCAACAGCGGGCCACAGCTCCACCTGGTCGACGCCCCTCTCATCCCTCCCCACCGACCCCTCCATCTCCACCAGCACAACAAGCAGCCCGCCCCTCGCGCCCCTCCTCCCCCAAACCCCGACCATCCACCACCGCCGCACCATCTCGCGGACCAACAGCACGACGCCGCCGCCGACGCTGCACGGCTTCGCGGATTTCTTCCACGCGCGCGTCGCGGGCCCGATCGCCGCGGTGCCCGAGCTGAGGAGGGAGACCGATGAGGAGTGCTGGGAGAGGATGATTAGTTTGCAGAGGGAGTATCATTGTTATAAGTCGGCGAGGTTGGAGGCGGCAGTCGAGGCGCTGGAGAGGGGGTGTTCGATTGATGAGGTGCCCATGCGTGAGTTTTATGTTTTCCTTTTTTCTTATCTTTCCTTTGCGCTGTTTATCTATTTTGCATATTCTTTTTTGAAGGGGGAGGGGGGAATTAGGTATTGGGCGAGGATGAGAGATGAGAGGAATATTGGAAATGCGGGCTAATGATTGTAATGATATTCTAGCACCGAGACTCTGTCTCGATCTCTTAAACGAGGAGTTAAAAGCTCAGATCGAAGCGCACCGGGGCGGATTATTTCCTTGATTCTCCTCTTGCCCTTCACCAACCCATACTCCAAATCGAATCGAATTGGATAAAATCCCACGAATCATAATACCGCGGAAGGAACAGGATGCGAAAGGGAAGAAGCTGGAGCAGAGGATTACATTTCGAAAGCGGATGATACCAGGTTTATGTTGCTCATTTTTAGCGTCGGTGTTGGGGGCGGGCAATGACCAGAGCGAATATGCTGGCTGGCATTTGGGTTCTACATTCCTCTCTATCTTATCTTTTTAATTACCAAAAAATGCCCAGAAAAAGTTCTTGTATATCGGACTCTTGTGTCTTGTCTGTTGTTATTAGGACAAGCAGCATGTGATGCAGCCACGCGGCTTGCCTGTGTAACTTTACGTGGTGATCCGACATTCGATGCATGTACAGTCTTGCCGGCGAGTACGGTGTGCCGATACGCATGTAACGCGAGAATATATCTCGACAAAACTTGAAGAAATGGGCATATTTCCTCGTGATTTCCTCCTACCACTAGGTTTCAGATTCCCAATACTTGCATGTCGGAGTTTCCTGCATCCTGGAATAGCTCTCACTGATGTAAAGTTCACAGCATGATAAGAGAATTCATGCAAGTCCGCAATCCAGAAATCTGGTTCAGCATTCATACCACTTGGGTGTATCTCGCCGTGTGAGAGAACCTAATCCAGCTCACTTGGCCCCACGCGTCTTCTGAGAGGTCATGACTTTGACATGAACCCAACAATGCTGCAAGGAGACGAGGGGAAAGCTACCAGAGAATTCTCGCTCTTCGGATCGTGGTTGTAACAGTATAGAAGAGTATGGCATTAGAGGCTGGAGAGGCTGGTCGTGCGCAGTGAGTTCAGATGGGGATACAATTCTGTCGACGTCTCATTGTGAGGCCCGAGTCAGGCTCGAGTCATGTAATGCTGTCAACACTTTAAGGATACGAGATATGGAGAAGATAACAAACTGAGATACAGTTAATGGGATTTAACAATGAACAAAAGATAGGGACGATGAATCGGAGCGGGAGAGGATGGAGATGGGAGAACATTTCAGCCTCGGAGAACCACTGGTTCTGGGTCCCGGTCCGGGGAGCTCCCCGCGAGATGCCATGCAGTAACTCGACCTCCCGGCAGGAAGCTGCAAAGGCCGGGAAATAAGCTGCGGATCGGGAGCCGGCCGTGTATATGAACGGGAATATATTACTTATAAGTTATAAATAGCCACGTGGCTCCCGAGGTTTCTGGGTTTTGCTTCATGATCGAGGACTCGTCTTTTCCTTTTTCACTTTACCAGAGGAGACCTCTCATCCCTCCTGTCCGCAACGATCCCCTTGGGATCCTCAGGGAACGACGCTTCCTGAGGAGGATGAGAGCAACAACATTTAACGCTGACAATGTTTGACCGACGGCGAGCGGCAGAATCGACTTTGCAATCGACGTATCATTCCGAAACGCACGTTGGCTCAATGCAGAGGAACACAGTCCTTGTCTGCAGCTAGTCCTCCAACCCGTCAGTGCAGCCAGCTCTTGGCAACGGCTGATCGCCTGAACCATGCGTCAGATCATGGACCCCCAAACGCTATCCTTGCGGAGCGTTTATGTCATCCGACGACCATGGGGCTCCATCGAATACCTGAGGCTTGAACATTTGAGACCTTCGAGACGTTATCGGGTGTCCTGTGCTGATGGGTAGGGCAGCCGTTGGCCCGAGGGCTCCCTCATGATCCGCCTCGGCGGGCATCTGCTTCCAGGCGCGATGCATCGGGCGGAGGGGAGGTCGGGGCTGCGTGTTAGATATAAGAGCCAAGCAGGTCTCCACCCAATGATTGTAGTGAGGATGCTCCGCGAGGTAGCACCGAGGCCACGAGGCACCTGTGCTGATAGTCCCATCTGTGGTACAAGAAGGCTATTTCTGGAATCTGATACAAACCCACTGCAGCTCCTACCGCAAGTTCGGCCTTACTTCGTGGCCCCTCTTAAGTGTCTGAATTTCCGCTGCCTTTGTCGCTACATTCGTTGTACCAATGAGCCCTATGGGTTGAGTTACTCCAGTAGACGATGTCAGGGGCGGGGAGCCTTTTGTTCATACCCATATCCCAAGTAGCCTCATAGCCTCATAGCTGATACTGAATGGTTCTCACATACCCACTGTTGCACGCTCCGATAGCTACGCAGAGCAGCTCCGAGGAGAGGAACGGACCGATGTGGTTGTAGCATCCCGTGCCGTACAACGAAGCCATTGCTCCATTGCTCAGAAGTCCAGGGGCAAGATGCTGCGGGGGCTCGCTTCTGGGAAGTTAGAAGCGAAATCAGAGCGAGCAACTCCACTCGTCGAAAGTCCCCCAGAGGACGTGCAGTCCCGCATATCATCGCCGATGGAAATCTGCATGAACACCTCGTGGCAAATCCACTCGGACCACCTCCAGATAGATAACCTGCTGCACTGCTGGGTATTGTTGCATTGTCTCTTGATGTTGTGCTCCGGCCACGTCCGCTGAGATTGCCCTCAGATGGCATCTGCCTGGATAGCACCGCTCACATTCTTGAAAACGTAGATTGAGCAAGCATCAGCTGCACTACCCATTGTGACTACTGCTGGGCGGCCATGTACCATACCGCCGATAGTCCTGGGTCCTCTTATTGCCTCGCCCCGTTCGACCCCTCGGTCCCATGGATAGAGGCTGATCAGCGGGCAGGATAGTTGGGCGATCTGCTTGCTGTCGCAAGAGATCTTTCCAGAACCGCAGTAGTAAGGAGATCCAGGATAGGTAACCAGGGCGTCGTAATTGTCGAGCCCACAATTGTCTCGGGTCCAAACGGCAGGGCTGCGTGGGAGGAAGAAAAAAAAGCAATAATAGCCCTCTTGATAAGTAACCGGGTCGATAGGAGCTAGGAGCATGCCGCCATCGCGCGTCTCCTGTGTACCGTCGGTCGTCGATGGAGGGGCAGGGATACCGATAAGATCAACCCAGCAATCGAGTAATCGAGTAATCACAAGGAAAATAATAATGGTTGTTGCTGCTGGTGGTGGCTTTGTCTCGTACTGATCGTAATTCGCATTCCTGGCCACGGCACAATACGAGATACACAATTTGACTTGACTGACATTGTTGTATCTTGCACGTTTGAGTGAAGGCATTCGAGCATCCCAGAGACGTGCTGCGGTGTAGAGCCTCACTGCATATTCCCAAAGTACCTTATTCTTGCTGTGCAGGACTCCCACCGCGAAATACCCTCTCTCTTCTCTTTCACCTCTCCTCTCAACCCTCCCATATAAGTTGATCTCCTCCCTGACCGTTGATGCCCTCGACTGTTCTGTGTTCGGAGCCAGCTTTACACAGGACGGAGATACATCCCACGCTGTTGTGGAAGCCACCCCCCTCCCTCGATTTCGGCCCAGGAGCTTATCTCGAGCCCTCAAAGTACCAATCAGCGCCCCCCGTCAAATCAAGCAACCCGCGCCGTTGCTCGCCGTTGCTGGGCGCGAGAAAACTGGATCTGCGGATCATTTGTTAGGGCCGTAAACCGGTCCCGCCAATCATGGATTATCGCAGGACGTCCCTGGTCCTGAACCGTCAGCAGCTCCAACAGGCCAACATCGATTCGCACATATATGTCAGTTTTGCCGGCCCAGGTGCCAGTGGGAACAATGCCAATGCCATTCCCGCTGATGCCTCCAATATGTGGTGGGATGAGGAGCGAATCGAGGCGACCGTCACCCGCCAGTTTGTATTGTCCAAGCTACACCCCGAGGATCAAGACCGCTTAGACGAGCCTCTGGGATTTGGTGATGGCCTCACAGACGATACCTATTGGGAATGGATAGAGTCGAAGGCCAAGCGCATCTTTCTGATTCTGGTTGATCTTGGCGTTCCTGATCAAATTTTTGGCGTTATTGATGATTCGTGGGATGATGATGATTTACCGGTGCCGTTGGACCAGGTCGAGCGACTCCGCCTGACATACGATAAAAACAAAAAGTTGGAGAAGAAGTTCTTTGTCCGTCAGTTTACGTATCTCTTGAGGTATCTTTCAAAGGGGGAGAATGTATGTTACGATGACGAGGAGGTGGTGCCTCTCGAATTGGCAGAGAAGAGACCCGTTGGCGCTGTGACTGGCCTCACGCAAAGCAATGTGGACAAGGTACACCTTCCTGGGAGACCAGATGACATTCTCCTTCGTCGCCGAATACCTCTTGGTGTATCCCCGGGCTGTATGCCTCAAGAGGAGTTCCTTTCTGGACTCGAACAGATGAAAGCCATCGAACATAACCACCTGACATCCCTATGGGCGTCTTACACCTATCAAGGATATGGCTACATCCTCCTGACACCAGTCAATGATAACACTCTCAAGTCATTCCTGACAATAACACCACAATCCATCAAGATTCTCCCCAAACAAGAACGACGCATCCTTCTCCTGAATTGGATCCACTGCCTCGCCGACGCTCTCTCCTTTCTCCATGCCCAGGGGCTTTCTCACCGCAATATCAAGCCGTCAAACGTTATGCTCGACCTTGACAATAACATATTCCTTGGTGATATAGGCATCTTCCCGAATCCCACTATCACCGGCGAGAAACGCGGTTTTGACAAGGAGACCTACGATTATTCCGCTCCTGAACAAGCCCGACCTCCAACACCCGCACCCATCCTCCTCCCTGTTTCACGTCCAGCAACCAGTAGTCGGAATCCAGGTCCAGGTGCCTTCCACTCCATAGCTAGCGCCTCCCCATCTACTCCGACATCTGCTACCTTCAACGACAGAGCTTCTGTATCCACTAGCTCTACAGGTTCGAACCCGCCCACAAGCCCACAATCAAAACGCAATAGCCACTCGGGACCCAGACACGACCCTCAAAAAGCTGATATATTCTCCCTTGGCACTATCATTCTCGAAATCCTGACCTTCCTCCTAAAACGTGCCTCCCGAAACTTTGCGTCGCACCGCTCTTCCAAGAACAAAACTCCTGGTCGAGGCGGCGGGCTCCCTGATTCTTCATTCCACAAAAATCTAGGACAAGTGGAGAGCTGGATGAACACCCTCGCCAAAGACGCCAGCAAGAAAGAGGACACGATTTTCAGAGGGGTAAGCCACATCATTTCGCTGGTATCGCAAATGTTGAACCCGAATCCGGATGAACGACCCACGGCCTCCTTTGTTGCAGAACGACTCTGCACCATCCTAATCGAGAAATGCGGCTTGGGTACATCTGAAGGAGTACCGAGCCGCATCCATTGCGACGCGCGTTCATCGAACCCCGAGGAATGGAATTTCGGATTCGATCAACTGCGGCTTGCGTCTCAACGAGCGGCTGCCGAGGCATGCGCGAGTGTTAATCCGGCAGGGACGGAAATGAGGACGATGGCGCTGGGAAATGGAGGAGTGATTTATGGGATCGAAAAGAAGGAAGCGCCGATGAGCCCCAAGGGAACGGAAGGCGATCGCATGAGCATGATGACGAAGACGAGTAGGAGTAGTGAGGGACGGAGCAGGACTGGGAGTGTAAGTTTGGTTGGGTCTGGGAAGGTGAAGCCGAAGGCCAGAGCGCACAAAGCTCCTATCTATGCTGGTTCGTCCCCTATTCTTCTTCTTCTTCTTCTTCTTCTTCTTCCTGTTGCAATGTGAGGCGTGCAATAAGGGGACGAGAGTGAGACTGACGTGGGTTGACAGAGCTTAGTTTCGCATAATGTCTCTGAAAATGAAAGGTGATGGGGCGTCTATCCCCAAACCCGAAGACCAGAAGAGAAGAAATCAGAAGGAACGGAAGAGGTGGAATTATAGCATCAAGGGAACATCTAACACCCAAATTACTGCGGTCCGTATATCTATCTATCTAGTAACGACCTGACTCACGACATGCTTCACGATATATGCCCCACGATTAATGACGAGAACGAAATGCCTGTTGCAGAAACATGCGGAAGAATAGGGCGGGTGTTTTGATATGTTTTTTTATATCTGAACTGGAGGCTTTTGTTTGCACTGGCTGCAACCATATTTTTTTGCATGTATATATATTTTAATCCACATTAGCAGCGGAGAGAACTTGGGCTATACGACCTGTTTATTATTCCTAGCTACCTACCTACATTTGAAGAGACGAATGTACGAAAGAACAATTAAATCCAATGAAGAAAACGCTATTGACCCAAATCCATAATGCACAAACAATCTGATATCCTAACACCATGCTCGATTTCATGCTACAGTTTCCTTCGTTTCCTCGTTTCCTTCGTATCAAAAGTGCGATTTTCCCGTCCAGCCCCTGAAAGGAGGTCTCGCTTCGCACAGAGAAAATAGCAAACTTCTCCCCTTTTTCCGCCTCCCCTTTTCTCTTCTGTGAGAAAGGAAGGAAGGAAGGAGAGGGGAGGATGGGGAAGGAAGATAGATCAATAAACGCTTCCCATAACGCTCTTCTCCTCCTTCTCCACGTCACTCTCCGCCGCCGCCGTCCCAGATACCACTTCCTCCCTATCCCCCAACGCATCCGCCATCGCGCCCCTCCCCATCCCGCTCTCCCTCTCCGCCTTCTCCAACAACATCTTCCTCTCCCCTTCCCCGCCATCACACTCTCCCATCACAGTCTCAATCCCCGGCGCCTGTTCGCGTCTCCTTACATCCTCATCCGCCGAGAATTCCGTGTCCGAGCCAGCCTGAGACGTGTACCCGCTCGCGGAGCCTCCAAAATCGCGGCCTGCGGTGAGGAGGAGACTGTTCTTGGGGCTTTTGATGTGGTTGAGGAGTCGTTCCTCGACGCTGATGAAGGATGGCGTGCCGGCGGGGCTGGAGACGAGACTGGAGGGTGGTGGGAGGGTGACGTTGGTGGGGCGGTGCGGGGCAGCTTCGGGCTCGGCTTCTTCTTCGTCTTCGTCTTCTTCTGCGCTGGAGTTCGCCCAGCGGCGGGTGGAGGCGCGGCGGAGTGGGAGGCTTTGACTTTGGCTTGAGATTTGGATTTGGCTCTGGCTTTGGCTTTCAGAGGGAGTGGTGGCGGTGGTGGAGAGGGGGGAGGGTTTGCTGTTAAGCTCCATGGCGTGCATGGGGTTTTCTTTCTTGTAGTAGTATTTTGCGTGATTGCAGCCATTGGGGCAGCCGCCCCATTTCTTCCTAGGCGGCACGACGTTTTGTGATGTCGCCAGTCCTGTGGCTTCCAGTCTTTTCTCCTTCTCTCTGTCTTTTTCTGAGACGGACGATATCAGCTTCTTCTCTTTCTCCTTGGCAGCGGCGGCTCGTTCGCGCTTCAGCTCTGACCATGTGCGAAGCCGGTTCTCGAGAATGTATTTCCCAGAGTCGGGGGATTTGCGCATGATGAGGAATTCGCAGTGGTTCACGTTGCGGAGATCTTCAAAATATTCAACGCTGAAGTGGTACCATTTCATGAGGAAGACGCGAGACATGAGTCCATGGGTCACTGTTCCAATCAGCAACTTCTCTTCTCTCCATCTCCCTCTCTCCCAGTATAGAACTCGGGAGGAAGAAGTACATACCGAGTACGCAAACGGAAGCAAAGTCCTCTTCCCCAAACTGCCGCCATAAGCTCTCATTAAACCCACTGATACGGTCATACGCATCCGCGGCGGACTCCCCATTCGGAATCCTATAGAAGAAATGTCCATAATCGGCTCGCTCGTGCCACATACGTTCCATCTCCGCCGAACATGGTTGGAAATTTCCAAAGTCCTGCTCCCTTAACCTCGGCTCCTCATAGACTTTTATACTATGCCGGGGGAATGGAGAAGGAGAAGGGTCGTCAGAGGTCAGGGTGGCAAGTATGCCTTCGGTCGTCTCTCGCGTGCGGCGATAGGGGGAGGTGAAGAAGTGGAGAGTGTCGTCGGCGCGGAGGAGGGAACGAAGTCGTCGGCCTGCCTCGTGGGCTTGTGCCCAGCCTTCCGGGGTGAGCTTTACTCGGTGGTCGGGGATGGTCTGGTGAATATCGCGGTTTTCTGGCCGGTGTCAGTTTTGCACTCAAGCCAGATAACGATGGTGTTGTGAGCATAACATCTCTTGTCCCACACATTGCCCCTCCAGGGAGGACTCACTATTGCCTTCTGACTGAGCATGTCTGATCAGGATGATCATGCGAGGTTTCCCCATCGTGAGATGCTTCTTCTAAGACAGAGGGGTTAAAACTGCAGAAATGGATAATTGATAATAAGCAATACAAGCAGCAACAGAGTTTATTCAAAATAATCTATGATTGTGTTTGTGTGGGAATTTTCTTCACCCGGCTGAGGCAAAAATCAATGGTGATGCTCTGCTCGTTTCACAGTCCTTATCGGGAGATATCACTCACGGCTTAAATACTTAACAGGGGCCGCGCTAGCGGGCTAAAAACTGAAGACAAGGCTGACTGGACTGATTACCTACTCAACTATCTATCACATCAAGAAGCCTCCTCGTTGCCATCCAACGCCATCTTTGCCTTCTAATTGCTCTTAGTTTCCAAGGTGCTATTGGATACCGCATTGCGCTCAGAGCACACACAAGCATATACGGAGTAGCGCTCAATTCGAAACCACCCCCTTCAAACCAGGCTGCGCACGCGCGCAACATCTCAAAGCCTCACAAGTTTCAACCCAGCGATCAAACAACCATGTCCGAACCCATCCCCGAGAGCATTCCCACGTCGGCCGACCCGCGCTCCAAACGGCCTCTCAAGAAGCGCGCCGTGAACCATACTCCGGCAGCCGCACAAGCCGCGTCTCTGGAGGCGCTCTTCGCGAAACCCGATCAGGAGATCCGGATCCCGTCGCCGGCGTCCAGCAGCGCGCCCAGTAAGAATTTCTCTGCGCCCCCCGAGATCGTGGCGAATGTGCAGGGCAGTAGTGCGGGCGCGGGCAGCGGAGAGTTTCATGTGTATAAGGCGAGTAGGAGGCGCGAGTATGAGAGGTTGAGAGCTATGGAGGAAGAGGTGGCGAAGGAGAGGGAGGAGGAGAAGTGGGAACGGGAGAAGAGGGAGAGGGAGGAGAGGGATAGGGAGAAGACGAGGAAGAATAGGGAGAAGAGGGAGAGGTTGAAGTTGAAGAAGGGGAAGAAGGGTGGGAAGACAGAGGGGGAGAGTATGGAGGGTATAGAGAAGGTGGGCATGAAGCCGAGAGATGATGGCGGTCCGCGGAATGATGTTCAAGAGGAGCAGGATGGGACTATGAAGGCCGTGGAGGAGGTGGGCGTTATTATTCATGATGATGATTGAGAGGTACAACATACGGGGCTGACGATAAACCTGGAATCGAGGGCTCACTCTGCATGATGAGGTTAGACGAGACATTTCGGACTGCACGGCTAGGGACTGCACAACTAGGGATTGGCATGATCAGACTGATCAGACTGGCTTGCATCAAACACGCACATGCATTAGCCTCGAGCTTCTATGCTATGTTACAAGAGTATGCTCGTCTCATGACCATCGCTTTTATACACTAACATTGGAAAACAAAGCAATCTACTCCTCGCCGCCACCTGGAGCTCCACCACCTGCCTGTCTTGCAGCTTTTGCGCTGCAGATATCGTCCACTCTCAAGAGCAGGCAGGCGGCCTGTATATTATATTAGCTTATAGTCAAAAAGATAATCAGCTGATTATAACATACCTCAACAGCAGTCTTGATACTCTGCAACTTGATTGCCTGGGGCTCCCAAACACCGTACTCTTTCATGTCCACAAGTGTACCCTTGTCGCCATCAATACCCCAAGAGCTACCACCCTCTGCATGCTTTGCTCGGAGAGCAGTGAGAACTCTGACAGGGCTTTTACCAGCATTTTGGATCAGCGTTCTTGGGATGACCTCCATAGCTTCAGCAACAGCCTTGTATGGCCACTGCTGAACACCTTCAATGCTCTTTGCCAATTGTCCTAATCTAACAGCGACAGCCATCTCTGTGGCTCCACCTCCTGGTGATAATCTGGGGTGGAACATGACGTTACGGGCCACAGACATAGCATCTGCCAGATTTCGGTCAATCTCGTTCAGGATGTCTTTGGATGGTCCTCGGAGCAGAATGGTGCATGCTTTGGGAGTTTTACACTTCGTGAGGAAGGTGAAGTATTCGTCGCCGATCTTCTCGATCTCGAAGAGCCCGCAGTTTGTTCCTACATCAGATTCCTCCAGGTCATCCACGCGGTTGACGATTTTTGCGCCGGTTGCTCGAGATATTCTGTTGTTATCTGTCTTTCGGACACGGCGAAGAGCAGTCACATTACCCTTCATGAGATAATGTTGTGCAAGATCTGGAAGTCATTAGCAGAGTCCCCAACCCAAGCCCATGATTTCTCAACATACCAGAGACTCCCTTCTCAGTAATAACCAAATCTGGCTTCAGAGCCAGAATAGCATCACACATAATCTTAACTTGCTCCTCCTCAATCTGCAAGATCTTGTTCCAGTCCTCTTCCTTGGTTATCTCGATGTTGGTTTGGGACTCTCCCTTCTTGTACTCCAATGGACAATCCAGCAGGATGATTCTTGGGTTCTCTATCCGTCTTCTCATCTTAGGATGTGTGATATCCTTGTTGAGCATGACACCGTCCAAGACCCTACTGTCTTCAATTTCACCTCCTGGAATCTTCTCAACTCGTGCATAGCGCTTGATGTCGACCTCCTTCTTGCCGCCACCAACATCATGTGTGACTGTTCGGACAGCCTTGAGTGCAAGATTACACATGAGTTCCGACCATCTTGAGACGAACTTTGTGCCAATAGAGGAGGAAATCAGTTGGTACATAGCCTTGTCATCGTTGATGTCGACAGGCAAGGAGATTTCGTCAATGATCTCAAGAGCATCTTTGAGCGCATTCTTGAAGGCAGAGATAATCACAACAGGGTGAATATTTCGCTCTAATTGGGGGAGAGCCTGGGCGAGAATCTCACCAGCTGTAGAATATTAGCAAGGACTCCATCGAACTGGAGCTGCTCCATACCCAGAATAATGACTGTTGTAGTCCCATCTCCCACTTCCTCATCTTGTGTTCTGCTCAGCTCGATCATGCTCTTTGCTGCAGGGTGCGACACCTCGATTTCTCGCAGGATGGCATGGCCGTCATTTGTCAACACAATACCTCCCATCGGATCCAACAACATCTTGAGCATAGCCTTTGGTCCTAAACATGATCGGATGATGTCTGCGACACTGTTTTGCATCAGCTGAGGTGCTCATTTGGGCTGCTCCAGGAGGTAGCCAATATGACGTTGGTCGGACTTACGTCTTCGCCGCAGTGATATTCGAGAGCTGAGCTTTTCTTCCGGTTTGTCTATCACCACTCTGGGTGTCTGCATACTACCTGTCAGCATACGGGAAGAGGAATGTGTGAACCAGAGCTCCAAGCTTTCGAAGCTTGGTGATGGACAACTTACTCATAACCACCACAGGGGCCTGCATCTTGAATAGCGACTTGGTAGGCTCGAAGAAGATTCCTTAGAAGTAACCAGGAGCAGAACGTTGTAATCAAAGCCTTACGTTGAGCGTCGTATGATGCAGAGAACTTGAGAAGCTTTTTCGTTCGATGTCGCGTTGATTTTCTGAGGTTTCGCGTCGAAAATCTACAGGTCACGTGTATCGCAGGTCCCCTTGATCAGGGTCAAAATTGCTACTGTAAGGTACCACAGGCGGACTGAGATAGGGTATTATAATCATTTTTTCGTACAGTACAGGTTTGACTTTTGATTATGGCGCCAGCACCAATAACTCTCTCTATATCAGGGATTTCGTCCCTCCAGAAGTCTCCCCCTTACCGACGAATCCCTTCATAGCCCTATCAACTCCACACAGCTTCCTCAGAATAGTCTCTACGCCCACAGGCATCACGTTCATCCAGTTAACCCATCTAGCATAAAGTGGCATTGCCAGAACCGCACTAGAACCTGCATCAATGGCAGCAATGACCTCCCTTGCGACGTCAACCGGCTCCAGGAGAGGGGCGAGGAAAGACGAGGGCGTCTCAACACCGTTGAATAAAGGTGTACTCATTTGTCCAGGTGTAACCAAGAGAGTCTTGATATTCGGCGTTGATTTCAGCTCGGCGACTAGAGATCGATGCATTGCTGTTAAGCCGGCTTTGGCAGCCGAGTAATCGGTGAGCTGAGCCGCACCCACTTGGCCGAGGACGCTGGACATTGTGACTATAGTCCCATGGCCGGCACGCACCATGCCTGGAAGGAAGGTCTTAAGTGTGTAAAAGTGGGACAAGAGGTTGACACGGAAGCTGCGATCGATTTCGTCGATTGAGAGGTCGAGGAGCGGTTTACCATTGACGATGGCTGCGTTGTTGATTAGGATTGTAGGAGTGCCAAGCTAAGTGACGTTAGAAAAGTCTCTCGATAGCGTAGAATGAGGACTTACATCTCTTTCAATCTCCACTGCCACGCGCGCAAGTTGCTCCTTGTCTGCCACATCGCACTTATAGACGGACACACCCCGCGCCTCACCGGATTCCAACTCCTTCACATCTAGCACTGCGACGGTAGCTCCCCTCATGCCATAAACCTCCGCGATCAACAAGCCCAATCCGCTCGCACCACCGGTGATAACGATGACTTCTTCCGACAAGTCCACTTTGCGCGGTTTGCTGTAGGCAATCTGTTTATTGAGGATCCCGAGGAAGAACAGCGCAGTGAGGATCGAGGCGTATCCGATAGCTATTTGGATAGCTGAATGGTGCCATGGCATAGCTTGTGCGCGCATGCAAAGCGGTATCATCCAAGCCACGAACGGGTGGAGGAAGGTAACGTTGAGAACCTTGAGGATGAGGTCGACGGAGAGAGGCTTGGCCCAGGCCAGCTCTTGGTTTCGAGGTTGGGAGGACATGATCGCGAGGATTGGAGAACCGAGAGAACACAAGGTAGAGTAAGAAAAGAATAGGGGTCTATATAACTGGCTTCATCTTTGCGATTGCGGAAACATGAGACGGCTCTCGAACAGGGCGCTTCGCGAGGAGGTCGTTTGTTTGTTTCAAGGAGCAAGGCTGAGCGCTAGGGTTTCACGTGCAGGCCCCAGCCTTGCCTTGCCTACCTACCTACGCTTGAATCATATACACATCTAATTTCTCCCTACCATATCACAATGTCTCTCCTAATTCCTCTCTTTGCCGGTCAAAGCAAAGATACTTCACGGGACGAAGAGGACAGCCTCCTCATGAAATCCGAATTCTCGCTCTCGGGTGTCGGAGCCATGAGCCCCAAAAATAGGTTTTGACCGCCGAGGCTGTAACCCCGCACTGGAGTGTTTCAAAGCTGAGTTGGATGGTTCAACGTGACTTGTAATTCATATTCTCTCAGGCAGAGATGACTGCCAAATCTAATAGACAGTTCATCCTCTCATCGCTAGATTACAAAATCTGGTTATATGATATCAGCGAGGGGATTGATTCCCATCATTTGCCTCTCCCCAGAACTCCCGCAGACTCTCGGCCGCCGATTTGTATGCTTTATCCCTCTCCTTGTTTCCCCTCCAGAAGGTAGGAAACTTGTCCCATCCATGTATCGCGCCCTCAATTACATAACCATCGACTCGTTTCCCCATCTCTTTTAATCTCGCCCGGAATCTTTCGCCTTCGGCTAACAAGGCATCTGCCCAGCACGTCATAACAACCAACTTATCCGGCAACTCATCCTTCACCATATGATCAGGTGCAAGTGCAGGACTCAGGTACGGAGAATGCATATCAGGCGGTGGGTGCAAATAGCCCTGATCGACCATACTATTGAACCCCGGCAGGTTTATGCCTTTGTGGTTCGGATTGCTGGCGCGGCGCTCTGCACGTGATCTTGTCCAGTCAACGGTTGGATAGAAAGCCACGGCACTCATGATTTTCCCGATCTCAACATCTCCAAGCTTGTCCTCATTTTTCAGCCGGCGCAGTTCTTCGTAGAGCCGATACGTGACAGAGAAGCAAAGATTCCCGCCCGAGCTGAAGCCCGAGACTGCTGTGCGGAAGATGTCGAGATTCAGCTCTTCGGCGTGTTTCCAGAGATAGAGCAAAGCGGAAACGCCATCCTCGACAGCAGTAGGGTACGGATAGACAGGCGCGAGCCTGTAGTTCACGCTGACGACTACGGCCGAAGTGCTCCGTACGACTTGTGTAGCCCAGCGGGCATCGTCGGCAGCATGACCGATGGTGAAACCGCCTCCATGAAAGTTTAGGAGGATGGGATGCTTCGGGGATGGCTTTGAAGACAAATTAAAAGAGCGCTTATAAGATTTAGGAGTGTAGAACAGGAGATCGAAGGATCCCGGGACTCCTCCAACGGTGGATGGAATGCGACGTCTGAAGGAGACCGACTGTGGACGCGGAGGAGAGAGGTAGTGATCACACCATCTCCCCAAAGTCTGCAGTCCTCGGAAAAAGAGTGCTTTTGAAAGGAGGAATAGTCGAGACATCTTGCCAGTGCTCGCCAATGCTGGTATCTGAGCAAATGGTCTCTGACGGCATGCGGCCGATTCCTGCGGCCTCAGAACTGAAGCGCGTTAGTCTCAAGAGCACTTGGTATTAAGTTGCATGATCGCACCTTATCTAACTGATCCCTAGATTCCATAAGAGTACCATCGCGTTATCTGCTGCAAAATAATGAGAGTGAGTATGAAGAGGAGAGGTTGGTCATGGAGGTTGGCGCATTTACCAGTTTCGAGAGGCGCGCTAAATTGGCTAGCCCCTGAACCCCTGGCATATGCACGGCCCAACGTGAGGCTGAGTGTGACGTCAGCATGGTTTGCGGAGTGGTACATGAAATACATGGAGAGCTTGTGCTTCATCAATTCCTCAAGAAAATCAGCAATGCATGGTATTTATACTGCCATACCTCCTTATTGCAGCATAGTGAACAAATTCAGTACACCAGGCTTGGTGAGAAGTTCTAAGCAAAGTAAAGTAAGGTAAGCAGGGATTAACTACGAGGACCTCAGCCTTGCAAGGGTATGCTGCACACCTTCAACGTCGTATAAGGAGTTACCAGTCTTCTATGTAAAGTTAAATTGTGGCTCTTGAAAAGTGCAGTGAACTTCTCAAGTTAAAAAATTACATTATAGTAGATAGTAGATACTATCCAAATTATCCTTCGATGCGCCCTTTGCCTTGTGATACCCACTCATCACATACCATGTATTCCAACCAGAACGCCAAAAGTGCAAAGATAATCCTCAACCCTTCGTACCATTAGTTTGCTCCTCCTGTCCCTCCACCTTCTCTTTCTCTTTGTCAATCTGAACGACCCCTTCCCCATGCTGATCGACGCCCTCCTGGCCAAACATACCCCTCCCATCTCCAAACACCTGTTCCTCAAACCCTCCACAAACCTCATTCCATCCCAACCACTTGCCACTATCCGTCCACGCACCTCCTTTGCCACCTCTTGTATCCCACCATTCATCGACCTCTGCAGCCGCCTTCGCAACTATCGCTCCATCCGGGTTTCTGATATTTTGTCTCAACAACGCACGTGCGTGCGGTTGGTACCACATTTTATTCCACCATTCATTCACGAGGGCCTCATTGCCGTGGAAATTGAGCGTAGAGGGAACTGACGACGACGGCGCGACGATATTCGTTGCCAATTCGATATCTTGCCAGCCATTGTTTTCTCTCGGGAGATCGTCCAGTCCAGCAATTATAGGTGGATCAGGATTAGGCGAGGAGACAGGGTGCTGTGCAAATGGTGGCGCCGTCTGGTTCAAATCGAGAGGGATCTGGATCGGGCTTTGGAGCGCGGGCTCGGAGAGTGTAGTTTGTGGGTCAGTGGTTGATGGGTTTTTGAATGTAACAAATCTAATATCATCGGCCGAATTATGCAAGTTTTGAAAAATGGAACCCTCGTAATCAAGCCCAATACCAAATTCGTATTTCTTCCCTGGTTGGACGACAGTATTGGTAGGGGTGATTGCTGGGATTTGCACAGGGTCGTCGCCAAGACCGAGTTTGAACCTTGCCCATGCTGATAGAGGAACATTGATGCTGAAGGCTTTGGATCGCAGGGAACGCACGTATTCCTGTTTACCCCAAATTTGTGAGAATACGTATTGACTACTGCGCGCGCCATTGTTCTCCGATTGTAGTATCTCGGTAGCGCGCTCATATATTGGGCGAAGGTCAGCTACATGACCAATTGCCATTGTGGGCCCCATGTATCGAGGGCTGCTGTACTTGACTTCAGAGTTCCTATCGGCTTCGAAGTCGTTGGTGTCTTCGGGTAAGGGGGGTTCAGGTGCGGAGTAGCACGCTAGATCCTCGGGAGGATTGGAACATTCCTTTTGGGCGCCAAAAAGGACTCTTTGGGTGTATCTCGGAGATCCAAGAGGAATTACCGTGGAATTGAGCTCGATTTCTGGCGGCTTTCGTCCATGCTTTTCCAGGAGCTGCTTATCCGCATTCTGCATGCTGTGAAAGAATCTGTTTATGGTAACTTCGGCCGGGAGCTGGAACCAACTGTCTAATATCCTGTTAGATTTGCAACGCTCCACGGAGTTTTGGGTCGTTATACCTTCCTCCGCAACCAATATCAAATCATCGTGTTGAGTTTCTTTCCCACTCAGGAAATCGTAAGTCTTACGGACAATATCAGCCCCAGACGGCCTGTCATCATCATCACTTGATTCGTAATTGATCAATGTTGCGGGCGGATAATTGAGAACCGCAGCAGACAGTAAAGTTCTGCATAGATTTGGAGTAGCTTTCTTGGCTGTTATCAAGAGATGGAACCTAGGCTTTCTGGTAATATTGTTGCTCTGTTTGCTCGAATCTGCGGCCTCGTCCCATCCCGAATCTTCGACTTGTTCAGATGGCTCGGATACCTCTGAAACTGTGGTTGGAACGTAGGCTTTTATATGTGAGACAGCCTTTGGAGCAGTGTGGTGGATGTCGGCCTGCAGCGTCCGAAATGTCTGAACAATTTTAATGAACTGCTCTGGAAACGAGAACTAAGACTTACTGAATGGCGCTTCTCCAAAATAAAAAACAAAATAACAGTCAAGATAATGGCTATCGGGAAAAAACAGCTGCGAAGTCGACGTGGTCGTCGCAATTGAGCCATTATATAGCCAGCGACCTTCCCAGGAGATCTTCTCGGCGGTTCACCACCGAGGAGGGTGTCATCATGCATCGTAACGAGAGTAGATCAATCCCAACCAGATATAAAGTTGGATACTGCTGGCCAACAAGGCCTAAGTTTTGAGGAGATAGAAGCCGAGTCTTACATATTCCTGTGAATTGGGTTTGCGTACATTTTGATACTTATCAATATGGTATATATACTGATGATGACGAAAGATAGATAATACAGCCGGAATCTTTTGAAGATAGCGCGGCATGAAGAAATATGGCAGCGTAAGGGCGCTTCTGATAACCACTTGGTCCCGATGACGAAATATGTCCCAGACCCTACGCCCTACGCCCTACGCGGGATCTAGCCATTTTTGGTATACTACCAGTGGATGTAGAACGTCCAAATGCATCTTGTTGCTTCATTTTCGAAGCGTCATTTTTGAGACTCCGTTGTCGTTACAGAAAAGAATTTACAAGCCGAATTGGTTGTTGTTGGAACCCGGAAGTCGACGACGCCTTGAGCCTTGCCGGCTGATCCTTGCATGCAACCAGAGCCGACAGTGAATGCTGTGACAGAGGGAGCATGTCTTGACAACACATAATGTATTACTATGAGGCTCCTCGAAGCTTCTGTAGTTGGCTAATAAATCCATACCCACCTTGAGACTTATTCTCGGAAGTGACAATCTGTTCCTGCAAGGTCTCCACCCTCCGACGAAGACTACCATCACTTTCAGCTTCCCTTAAGAGATCCCTATGTCTATCTTCCACCATCTTTGCCAAACTCTCAACAAATCTAATCCTTGCTTTCTCTTCTGCCGTACCTTTCCATACAGTTGCTAAATCTTTCAGCTCCTCTACTCTCTTGGCTGCTGCTTCAATGCCATCGATCGGATCTCCTCCAATCAACAGGTCCGCAATTTCATCCCGTAGCTTCTTGGAAACCTGCTGTCCTTTCTCCTCCGTGCTATGCATCTCAGAGCCCGGCTCTGGTGCAGACACGGATAGAAACGAGGATGTAACAGAGACTTCCGAGGGTGGAAACGTCCACGCCATCGCGTCGCCAAATGTTTTGATCACTGTATCTAACCGAGATCGTACCAGTGTGAGGGTTCTCAATTGTGCGATATAAGGAGGATCGGCAATCGAAGAGGTTTCTTCTCGAGGGGGCGTCTTCGGTGCCGCTGTGAGTGTCGACGCTCGTCTTCGATGCGCATTGGCTTCCGTTGTTCGCGACGGTCTTCGTGCAAGCTCTTGATCCAGGCCACCTGGCACAAACTTGATCACATCTTCTTGTAGACCCTCAGTCAGAGCCTCCGAGAGCCCTAAGGTTTCTCCGCGCAAGACCTCGACCTCATATGCTAACCGACTTCCACTCCGAAGGATCTCGTCTGTAAGGCCGGTGAGTGTCGTCGTGAGCCTCGTGGTATGGGCGCTGAGCTGAGAGAGGAGGGACTGCGTTTGGGTAGATAATTCTGCGAGAGGCACGCTGCCCTTGGCAGATTGAGAGACACTGGAGGACTGAAGAGGGGGAAGGGTGGCATTGAGATACTCGGCGGGGTCGAATGAGGGATTCAGAAAGGGCTGGAGAGCGGGATCAGAGACGTGTGCAGATTTGGGAGTAAAAGGGCCAGGATCCGATCGACTCTGGGACTGAGCCGGCCTTGTCGCGGCATTGCTATTCTGGCGTCGCCGAGTAGACTTTGAATCCCAAGCCATGGCCGGCCGCGTGTGTAGTGTGCTACTTATCGTGGGATCTTGGGGAAGTACTGTATGTGCAGCAAGACGGGGCGAATAACAAACAACCTACAATAAGCCATGTGTGGGGTTCGCTACCTTACTAAGGGACCCCTGCTAACGGCTAATAAAGGCTGAATCCGCCTTGTTCGCTCCGCAGATACTGTAATTCGGTGACGACCGGCGACGACTGGAAACTATGGTACATATATTCCATAGTTGTACTTCGAAGGAACCATGACGATGCCTGACGACCATCGTCCTGTGTGGCCTCTAGAATGTCCATCATCCATCCAGCAGATGCTAGGCGGACGGGAGCCAATTTGTGCTGTGCAGGGCTCTCTGCCTCGCCTCGCCTATTGAATAGAGATAGAGGTAGGCAGCACAAGGCTACCATCTCGCTCTGCCTTGATTCCACTCCCTCCTCCCCTCCTCCTAACCCATCCTCGACCCCCCCATCCGTGGCCTCTATTCCACTCATTCTTCATGGATGTGATACAGTCCAAGGGTTAACTTGTTTTGACCGCGTCTCTTTCACCTCTTCAAACAATCCCGGGCTGCGTGCTCTACCACCTTCCCTAGGTCTGAGACGGCCTGTTGAATGCAGTTCGTGCACGATTCCATTCACTTTTATCTGCCTGGCCAGCAGACCTTGCGACACTTTAGTACTCTACCCATTTAATAACGCGTCGTTCTTCGATCTAACTATTCACCACCTTTCTTTCTTTCCTCCCCCCCCCCCTTTTCCTTGCTCCTCCAAAACAACACGGATCCTTCCCCTTCTCTAAAGGGTGCTGAACGCCCTAGACTACCTCCGCAGCCATGACTCGAAAGGCCTTTAGCTCTGATGTCCAAGCGGCCTCAGAGAAGTCCATCCCTGGTATTACTAAAGTCGGCAAGGGAGAGGACGATGGCGATGTGACTTTCCTATTTTCCCCAGCTTCGGGGCCCCCTATTGAAATTGGATTGCTGGCTCTTGGTAAGTTTATCTTTCTTGTTTCCTCTGTCCTCCAAACACCCAAGCACTTCCTCCCCATCTCTGGACAAGATATGTTGCCAATAGGCTACTATGTGAAAAGAGCCCACGCACGTCTTGGGTACCTGTCACACGCCATTCATCTCCTGCACCAACTATGTTCCTATGCTAAATTTGGCAGATGTCTCTGGCTATCCATTGGACAACAGTTTCATGATATTCACGAAGTCCTCTGATGTCCCAAAGGGCATCGACGAGGTTTTAGAGCATATCGCGAGCTCCTCCACCGGAATGAAAATTATTGATCTCATCGCGAGCATCTCTCAACGACTGAGGAAGACCCTTGCGACTGGGTCCCAGGAAGATCCTCTTAGTTTAGGTGACAACTCAGATCTGGAGATGTTAGATGAAGAAGGTGGAGAATCAGGAGACGAAGACGACATTGACGAATTTGATGACGGTTTCCTTTCTGACGGTGACGGACTTGAGAGCTTTGGACCACCCGGCAGTATTAGACCATCATCTTTGTCGACATACAACATCCCCGCGGAGGCTGCTGTCAAGATAAATCGACGGATCAGGGCCGATTTTCGTGCTGTCAAGTTTGCGGGTTTCAAGCTGGGCGTCTTGAGCGGCTTGAAGGCGGAATCCCAGACCAGTGTTATTAGTATCTCAATACAGGCTGCGAAGCTCGGCTTGTCAGATGAAGCCTTACAAGCCTGGGACCTTGGGCCGCAACAATATATTGTCCTCCTCATGCGTTACGCTGATGGTTATAAGACATTCGAAGCAGTGGTTTCAGAGCCAGCTAAATCTCTTGAGATCTCGTTCCGTATCGGTGTTGGCAACAAGTATAAGCCAACTCTGAACGAAGCACACTCTGCATTCACAGAAATAACAAAGCACGAGACCAGTTCTCATAATGGTAACAACGCTACTAGTTCGGATGATAAGGCCATGACGGGATTCAGCAGTCTCTTTATCAGCAGCTCATTGAATGAGTTCTTCAACGAGCAATTCATATCCCTCTTGAAGATCAGAAGCTCTATGGGCCTTGGCTGGGATGGTGCGAAGCTTTTCTTCAACGACAACCAAGGACGTTTTGACCAGGAAGCCTCTATCCTCGGTCCACAATATTACGAGGAGTCAACCCCAGCACAAGGTTCTTTGCCAGAGATGCTGTGCGGCGACCACCTTACCGATACAAATAGCACAAGTGTCTCTTTCCCCTTGATTACTGCCCAATTCGCCATGCGATACTTGCTTCGATGCACGGAATACTGCCTTGTCTGTCATGACAAAATTTCTGGAGAATTTGAGGCATTGAAACCTTACGTCTGTGACAAACCTCTCTGTCTCTATCAATACATGTCTCTTGGTTTTGGCCCCAGTGTCGAGCATGAGATAATGACTCAACCTGTTGTGGTTGACTTGCTTGTCAGTTTTTGTTATGCAGCTGCTTCTGTAGGTTACGTTTCATTCAAAGGATATGTGAGCTAGTCCTAGATATATGCTAACAAGATCCATAGAACCAAAGGATTCGAGAGTACCCTACCGGCATGAGTCTTTTAGTCCCTCCGGTCACGGATTCTACTAGAGCAGCATCGAACCCAGTACCAATAATAAAGAGCAAATCGGACCCTCTTATCAATCCTACTAAGGTCAAATATGACATCAATCACCCTCAAATTGTCTTTGAGAATGACCAATCTTGCCCAGTTCGGAATGGAGACTGGGTTGTCATTGATCTAGAAGGTAAGCATGTGTATAATCGAGATCGACTAACGCACTGCATAACTTAAGTTGTCTTTGTAGTTAACATATATCCAGATAAAGGGATACCACCAATCCATCATCGGGTGACGGATATTTCAATGTATCCGATAGTCAAGCTATCAGAGTGCAGGGTGATTCAAGGCGATTTTGCCAATTTGATACCGGCGAACCAGACGAGCCTGACAAAGACCCCCTTTACCCCAGCTACTACACCCCCACTCGCTGTCCCTGTTCCAGCACAGATGACAGCCTACGACCAGAATTTTGATGATGTGTGTAATGCCAAGAAAGCAGAGACTATTGTCGTACTGCTCAATACTTTGCCATCTATCAAGCAGCTGCGAGCGTATCTTGTTCAGCAGAGTCGGTTTTCCGAACCTAGTCTTCGAACGTGGAAAGAGCGTGTATCCCCAGCCGCATTAGGATTACTTCGTTGGATCGTTGCCTCAAATCGCTCTTGTATTGTTCAAGTCAATAAATGCCCTGGCCAGGAAGATAGAGACCTGGCGGTGTCCAAGATCAGGCTCGATCAGAAATGCTCAAATGTAACTGATAGCTGGGTCCAATTCCGTTTCGCGCAAGGAGCTCCTGATAAGGAACAGCGGTTTTTGAATGCCCTCAAGACGGAGAAGAAAAATTTGCATCCAAAATATCCGACCCTTTTTGCGTTCCACGGAAGCCCTCTCCAGAATTGGCACAGTATTATCCGACATGGATTGGATTTCAAAGAAACCCTACATGGCAGAGCTCATGGACATGGAGTGTACCACGCAATGGATCAGGCCACTTCTGCTGGCTATTCTGGTTCTGGCTATGTATGATTTTCCAATGTTTAACTATCAAGTATCTGCTAACATATATTACTAGGCTTCTTGGCCTGGCTCTGACCTCCAAATAAGTTCTGCGATGAGCTTGAATGAGATTGTCAACTGTCCGTCGCAGTTTATAAGCTCTAACCCTTATCTTGTAGTTCAACATCTCGACTGGATTCAATGCAGGTATCTGCTGGTACAAGTTAGTCAAAACACCACGATTCCCACGTCTAATGTTTTTCGCGCTGCCGGCGCAGTTCCAACTAGGTGAGAATTCCCCTCGAAGCCAATACTCTTTTATCTAGTTCAAAATATTCCTCAGCAATTGTTGCTTCGCCCCTTGTACGATAAGCTAATATTCTACAGTCAACCAGAACCGTCTCCCTTTAGGGACGTCGCCCAAGATCCAAAGTTTACAGCAAAGACAACAATGAATAAACCCATTGGCATTCCACAGTGTGCTACATCAATTTCTAGAGCATTTCGGGACAACCTCGTTGCTGAGCAGCCTCCTCCAAGGAATAAGAGACGCAAACATACTTCACCGAAAGATCAATTAACGCTTGCAGAAGTAGAGCCGAGTGACGATGAAGACCCAGAAGACATTAAGTTTCTGTTCTCTGACGACGAGGAATCGTTAGGCAAAGGAAAAGGAAGATCAGATGAGCTGATTCTGTTGTAAGTACACGTTCATCACTGTTGGGTGTTTGCAATCCAACTCCACTCGGACAGAGAGCTTGAACCCACTGATGACTGACCCAACTTAGGGGATCCGCAAAGAGAACTGCGAAGCCTCAAACCGATTTTGTACCCGGCTCTCTAGATCAATCAAAATTGCCCATGCTGGATCCTCCATCATATGCCACTCCATCAGCGACTATGCGTCTCAACAGAGAGCTACAGACCATTCTGAAGGTTCAAAAAGCATCACCATTACACGAGCTTGGTTGGTACATTGATGCCGAGCTTGTTAGCAATGTATATCAATGGATTGTTGAGCTTCACTCCTTCGAACCTACTCTGCCACTAGCAAAAGATATGAAGGTAGCCGGTGTAACTAGCATCGTTCTTGAAATCCGTTTCGGAAAAGACTACCCACATAGCCCGCCATTTGTCCGGGTTATTCGACCTCGCTTCCTTCCATTCATGAGTGGTGGTGGTGGTCATGTCACGGGTGGTGGAGCGATGTGCATGGAGCTGCTCACCAATACTGGTTGGAGTGCAGTATCCTCGATTGAGGGCGTTCTTCTCCAGGTTCGCATGGCAATAATGAACATGGAGCCTAAGCCTGCGCGCCTTGAGAGCACATCAAAAGACCGGCAGCGCGACTATGGAACAAGTGAAGCTATGCAGGCATATATCCGAGCTTGTCAAACACATGGATGGGAGATTCCGAAAGACTTTCAGGATTTTGGAGTGGGAGGCTGAGGTTGGGTGGATATTAACAGGCCATCTGGAATGTAATGGGACCTGAGGCTGGAGGGCATCTTCAAAAAAATGATGGGATGAGCCATCGTCTTATGGTCATGATTGATATTTGGCGCTTGGGTGGCAAGGGATATGGGCATCTTTCGTGCTGTCTTTGGCGCTCAGGGGCTAAAGGAGGCTTACGAAGAGATACCTATGGTAATTGTAATTATATTCTCGTCAAGACAGACGCAACAAAATAAATGTATGAGGTTCTGAAATTGTGCCTCTCGTCTCCTTCAGAGAGGGAGGACTGATGGCAAGGCTTCGGTTAGCCGCTTCCCGCCCTCTCCGTTACTGGTCAAGAGGCGGAGTTTCTCTCTAAGAGGGGTCATCTTCGGGAATGCCTTCCAAGTGTACTATTTTATGTCTCTATCTCAGAAATCATACTAAGGGTAAAATTTAACAACAAGTGTGGTGGGCAGGGAAGCTCAGATATGCATAGCCTGCCCACGAGGCTGACAATCTCATGGGCCAATAAGGGCGGATCTGCTCCTGGGCTAAAAGCTCGGCTGAGCTTAACCTTCTTCGGTGAGCGCGCTAAGAAAGCGAGCGCATGATGCGGGAGGGTGCGTCTTCCCGGGTCGCAAAGTACGAATTCACTTCGTCGACAATACCGCCAACAATAGCAACACTGACAATAGGAGGACTCTCCTCTTCAATTGTCTATTGGCACACGATCTCACTGGTGACAATAGCACGATCCTCTCAACCACAATGGCGATGAGTCCATCGCCGCCGCTCTCGCCCGTCTTGGGCCCTTCCCATAGAATGGACCGACACCACTCGAATTCTCCTCCTCAGCAACTATCAAAACGAGATAAACGACGCTCTATGCTGGCAGATCGTCTAGAAGAGATTACCAGGCACTTCTCACAGAATCGAGACATACACTACCGCGAACAGCTACAGGCACTGCAGATCGACGTCAACCTCATAATGGAAGCCAAAGCCCACGGCAACGAACCGCTGCCAAACACACCCGAAGAGATCGATGCTCTGGTAGAGGAGAACATCAAGACTGTCCGGAAGTCTCTTGGTCCTTATCCCCCTCCTAGAGCGGGCAAAATGTATGCAGACTTCGCGAAGGAGGTTAATGATGCGATGGAGGAGCGAGACGCTGCTTTGACAATGCACATGGTATGTATTCTTCCATCAACTAGTGTGGCCCTTTATCTAACTGCCTTACAGAGAGAGTGCGAAGTTAGGAAGAGCCAGATTAGAGCTGCCCACGCATATCGGATGAAGCTTGCGGCAGGTGAACACCGCGCACTGGCCAATACAATCAGAGATCGATTGATCAACAGTGTCACGAGCAAGAAGAACCGACTCTCCAGAGACAAAGAGACACTTGAAATCTCGGACAGCAGCGCCCTTCTCCTCCACCCGAGCCAGTTTGGTCTCTCAAACCCAGCGAGCCCGGGCGGCATGCACTCGAAACGAGCAACCCGACACCGCCGAGATGCAGACGACTTCCCTACCTTCCCGGATAGCAACAAGCGGAAGCGCAGAGGAGACGGTGATGAGTCCCCAGCCCCAAGCCGCCAGCGACTCGACAATGGCAATAGCACACCCATTTGGTATGCCGACAAGCACAGAATGATGGCTCAACAACTCGACTCCGCGCTCTTCAGCATCGACAAACTCTTTACAGAGAAGGAGCTAGCAATGACCTACAATGTCGCTGCTCTAGCCGCACACTCGCAGATGCAACGACACGAACCCTACGACGACGACGACTTCTACTCTTCCTCGAATGGCAAATCTGACGCGGACACAGAGCAGGATGGCACCGCCGCAGGCGACCACGATGGCCACGATGATACAGACTCTCCCCCCTCAGGCGCCGGCATGGAACGTCAATACTCGCATGCAACACGTAGCACGCGTGGTGCTGGCATTCCTAATTTCGTCACTGGCTTGGGTATCGATGCCATTAGCGACCTCAACTTCCCTGGAAACATGGCAGCCATGAACAAGCAGATCCCGAAATTGCCGCCGTTGCTTGCGAGCACCATGCAGAAGTCATATGTGAAGGGCGAGAACGCAAATGGTGTTGCTGGCTTGGCGCCGGACGAGGCCAACGCGGAATTGGAGATCATCAGGCAGGCGCGGCTGTACAATGACCACCACGGCCTCGGACGAAACCTCGACCTGGAGAATGGAGGACGGGCCATATTGGAAGCCGTGAGCTGGCCGCGGAAGCATGACCACTATGTCAAATCGGACGATAAACACATGCTGGAGAGCAATCTGCGGGAACAGATGCCGCTTTCGGGCGGGGAGCCGATGTCGAGCGCCAACAGCGCGATTGGCGGGATCCCCATGTCGCGTCAGAACACGGGAGAGGGCACATCGAGTCGGGGCCGAAAACTGAAGCCGGTGGCATCTGGGAACTAGAGGAGGACTAGGGTACTAGGGAATTCGAGCATTGAAGGCATTGCGACATTGCGACATTGAGGCAACTGGGATTGGGAATCGGAGGGACTGGGATGGGGGAGTTATATTAGCTGCTTTTTACAAGACGCTGCAATACTGGCTAGCATACTTGAGTGACTGGACTGACTGGTTCATTCACATAGACTACGATATTGAAAAGTAGCATGCATGAATGAACATTATGATTGGAGCATTTATAGCGTTCCTCGAGCGTGACATGTTGAGCCGGGCCCCCCCTGGATTGCATATCGATCATCGGGCGTTGCAGCAATGGGAACCAGAAGACTGCAGATGGCAGGCGAAGTAAAGTGACAGCCGCCGGCCATTGGGAAGAGAGAGAAGGGCCTAGAATGAATGAGACAGCAGGCAGGGGAAGAAGGGAGGGGGGGGGAGGGTCATGAACAAAGGATGCGATGCTCCAACCCACGTGCCCTGATCGTTGCATCTTGATCTTCTATTCATCCATTCATCCAGTGGTATGTATGGATCTTTTTGGAATTTTTGAACACGAGAACATCCCCCTACCTATCTCCCGTCCCGTCCTGGATAGATAGATACCATACCATATCGCATCGTATCGTATCGACCCAGCATCAAAAAAGCAGAGTAGAAAGAGAAACCCATAGAAGAAACAACCCACCAGAGCGCTCTAATCAACCAATCAATTAACCTACTATGCAGCCAGATAAGACAAAACGTGCCTGTCAAAAAGAAAAGGAAAAGAAAAGAAAAGAATCCCCGACGGTGAAGTAGTGATCGTGCAAAGAAGCCCCATCGAAGCATCTAGATAACCAACAAGATCAGGAAACCCCCCGGTACACGCGGGGTATGTCAGTGGCGCATCTTCGCTGCGGGGTTTCAAAATCATGATTGGTGGGATTGGCGGTGTTGTCAGGTGATTGATTGAAGGATTGAAGGATTCCATCCAGGTTGAAAGGGGAGAGTGCTCGAGTGCTCCCCCCCCCCCTCTTCCCCCCCTTGGCGCTTCTCGCTTCTCGCTTGGTCAAAGGTGCCCGCGCCGTCGCTTAGTCAGGGGCCGTCGCGCGTCGGAGAGAGGAGAGGTGGGATTACTAATGCGAGATGCGGACCAATCAGTAGCTTTGCAGCTAGTCCAAACGCGTGCTTAGCGGCGCAGCTTAATTCTCTTCATTCTCTGCATTGCTGGGAAAGCGCGCTAGGCCCCCTTCGAGACAAAACCGAGCGCGCACAATGCTCCCTCTCGTGCCTCTGGGTCGGGGGCTTGCCGTACACGGTTTGTGGCAGCCCCGCACGTTCGATTGTGCGCGCACGACCTACGGTAGTACTGAGATTCTTATGATAAGTACGTCCCCCGACCTCTGCTCTTTCCTCCTTCACCTCCCCCCTCTCTCTCTCCTGTGCATCGCCCGAGCTCTCTCACTTCACCTCCGCTCCTGCGCTCCTCCGCCCTTCCACCCCTCCCACCCCTCCAACCCCTCCACCCCTCCCCCCTCCGCCCGCCATGGCCGACTCCAAGACCCTCCCCGACCATATCTCCCCCAACCTCTCGCCCGTCGACACCCCTCCAGATGGCCACCCACCCCAGGGAAACAAGGCCATGGACGAGCTCTTGCTCAATGCCAAGTCCGCCGCCGACAAGGAGCAGAAGATGACCCTGTGGCAGGGCATCAAGCTGTATCCCAAGGCCGTCGCCTGGAGCGTCCTCATCTCGACGTGTATCTGCATGGAGGGCTACGATATCTGTCTGCTCAGCAACTTCTACGGCTTCCCGCAGTTCAACAAGAAGTACGGCCATGAGCTCCCCAACGGTAACTACCAGGTTTCCGCCTCGTGGCAGTCGGGGCTCAGCAATGGTGCCAATGTCGGCGAGATCATCGGGCTGTTCATCAATGGTTGGGTCTCGGAGCGCATTGGATACCGCTACACGGTCATGGGCTGCCTCACCCTGATCGCCGCCTTCACGGCCATCTTCTTCACGGCGCAGTCGGTCGTCGCGCTCCAGGTCGCAGAGATCCTGTGTGGTATTCCATGGGGTGTTTTCCAGACTCTCACCATCACCTACGCGTCCGAGGTGTGCCCTGTAGCATTGCGCGGCTATCTTACCACCTATGTCAACTTTTGCTGGGGGCTCGGCCAAGTCATCGGGAGTGGGGTGATCAGGTCTATGCTGGGAAGGACTGATGAATGGGCTTACAGGGTATGTGCAGTTTTGTCTCCGATCTGATGGTCCTTTTAATCGGCCGGAAATTTTAATCGGCCGGAAATTTGCGTCGTCCCGCCCGGCGACCACCCTTTTCCGACCCGAGTGTGTGCTGACTAATACCCCTAGATCCCATATGCTCTGCAGTGGATGTGGCCTGCCCCTCTCCTGGTTGGCATCTTCCTGGCACCGGAATCTCCGTGGTGGCTCGTCCGAAAAGGGAGGATTGCGGAGGCCAAGAAGTCTCTCCTTCGCCTGACTAGCTTGAACAGGGAAACCGATTTCGATGCGGACGAGACGATTTCGATGATGGTGCACACGACCGCACTGGAAGAGAAGATCACCAAAGGAGCTTCGTACTTGGACTGCTTCAGAGGGACCGATCTTCGCCGGACCGAAATCGTCTGCATGGCTTGGGCCATGCAGAATCTGAGCGGGAACTCCTTCTCTGGCTACTCGACATATTTCCTGGAGCAGGCAGGTCTGAATGCAACACAGGCCCTTGATTTCACCATCGGCCAGTACGGTATTAACATGGCTGGAGTCTTCGTTGCATGGTTCCTCATGAGTCGCGGCCTTGGGCGGAGAACGCTCTACCTAGGCGGCTTGTGCGGTCTCTGCGCCATGCTCTTCGTCCTCGGGTTCCTCGGTCTCGTTCCGGACGCCCACAGGAGGGAGGCATCGCTCGCCACGGGTAGCATCATGTTGGTCTGGGCCTTGATCTACCAAGCCACGGTCGGGACCGTCTGCTACTCCCTCGTCTCGGAGCTCTCGACCCGAAGGCTGCAGATCAAGACCGTCGTGCTAGGTCGGAACATGTACAACATCGTCGGCATCGTCTGCAGCGTCCTCACGCCTTATATGCTCAACCCAACGGCGTGGAACTGGGGCAACTACGCGGGATTCTTCTGGGGCGGCATCTGCTTCTGCTGCATCGTCTACACGTACTTCCGCGTGCCTGAGCCCCGGGGGCGCTCTTTCGCCGAGCTGGACATGCTATTCGAGCGCGGTGTCAGCGCGAGGAAGTTCGCCACGACGCACATCGACGTCTTCGAAGCGGAGGTCGACACCAGCCTCGCCGAGCATTACGAGGGGAAGCTCGAGGCAACGCATTCCGAGAAGCCGGCCAGCATGGCATGAGATCTGATCGCTCAGGAGAGGTGATGATCTGACGGACGAATAGAGGTCGGCACACTGACTGCCTCACATACATACATACATAAATTCTGGCATCTTGCCATCCACCCAGCCAGCCACGGCTAGCACAGGTAGGTTTGAAGCCTTCCGGAGCCGCTCTTGGCTGCCGGGGTGGAAGAAGAGGAGGGATTGACTCGAACGACGAGCAGGGGCTGAGTAGCCGCCGGGGACGAGGAGCATGCCGGGGGGGTTCTAATGAGTGATAGTAATGCCACCTGTGGGCGACCGACCTGTACGTAATCCACCCTCACCTTACCTACCTACTTGTACATAAACCCGTTATATAATGAATATATGAACTTGTATATTTGCTTTTTAGAGCACCTGTGTCTCTGTTCGGAGGGGATGTCGAAAGGAGAGGAAGAGGAAGATGAAGAGAAAAGTGAAGATGCCTCAAACTGTCCATCAATGCACGGCTCCGGCCTTCCACACGGAAGAAGAGGAAAGAGCTTCTAGAAAACAAGCATGAGCCTCATGAATAATGCCTCACTTACGTAAGATCCTTAAGGCTTTTGTCTGGTGTGTTGAATGTTATGAGGGATATAAGCCGGGCTGAGAGGAAAGGGTCAAGATAAGGTAAGCACTACTGAAGCGTATGACATAGGAGAGCAGAGGGAGACGAGGGATAAGCGATGATCGGCAGGGATTGGTGAGAGAGCCAAGTGGGCCAAGCTTTTGTGGGGCGTGGAGTGACGCGGGACGGGATGTGGTCTTGAGATAGATGATAGCTGGGTTGGGGGACTGATGATTGATTGATTGATGGATGGATGGATAGTCTTGTTTTAGAGAGGCAGATCAATATATCTTGCGTCTCAGCATTGACACAGCACCAGTCTCATCGCCAAACAACCGTTCCCCTCCCGTCCCGATCTGTGCCGCTTCCTCTATGGAGATCCAAGAGATCACCGTAGGTAAAAGAACGCAACCAGGCGTTTCTCATAGGCAGAAACAGACAAAACACGGTCGTCCCTTCCCCGCATCGCCTCGTGTGTAGCACAGCCCCCTAGTGTCTTGTCAAGCCCTCACCTTACTTATTTACCCGACTCTCCCCGCCCCCGCCTCTGAATACATCACTCTTCCACCTCCACATTGTCCTGCACACTCCTCTTCAACAATCCTCCATCAACTTCTCTCTATTGATTCCTCCTCCTTCAATCCCCTTCAATCCCCTCCAATCCCATCCCCCAATTCCTTCTCATCATGTCTTCAAGTCTCGACAGTGCTGCCCCCCTCGATACCAGCGCGCGCAAGGCTCCAGCTGGCTCCTCCAACACCAACGGCGGCTTCCGTCATTCCCCACCTCACGACAGTCCCATGGTGAGTGTCCAGCCGCCGCGCAGGGAGGATCTCCAGCCCAGCTATGCCCAGACGCTCGTCGGCGAGAGCGATCAGGGCAGTCATGGCTGGTATGGCAGCATGAGTAAGTGCCCTGAGCCACGCCATCATCATCGCGCATCTTACCTCGTCCCAACAATGACATGCTAACGAGCGCGCGCCAGTTAGCTCCCTGGGTTCATGTATTGGAGCAATGGGTGCGATCCCCTGCTGCATCCTCTGCCCGAACCCCTACAAACCTGTCTCGCAGGGTAATGTAGGCCTGGTCACCAAGTTCGGTCGCTTCTATCGCGCTGTCGACCCCGGTCTGGTCAAGATCAACCCTCTCAGCGAGCGTCTCATCCAGGTCGATGTCAAGATTCAGATCGTTGGTATGTACATCTATGGCTGCGAACTCTACCACCACCACACCGGCTAATCCAGTGCGCAGAGGTCCCACGACAAACGTCCATGACCAAAGACGGCGTGGCGCTCCACCTGACCTCCGTCATCTATTACCACATCACCTCCCCGCACAAGGCTGCCTTTGGCATCTCCAACGTCCGCCAAGCCCTCGTCGAGCGCACCCAGACCACCCTCCGCCAGGTCGTCGGTGCTCGCGTCCTCCAGGACGTCATCGAGCGCCGTGAGGAGGTGGCCCAATCCATCGGGGAGATCATCGAGGACGTCGCGTCCGGCTGGGGGGTGCAGGTCGAGAGCATGCTCATCAAGGACATCATCTTCAGCGACGAGCTGCAGGACTCCCTCTCGATGGCGGCGCAATCCAAGCGGATCGGCGAATCCAAGGTCATCACCGCGCGCGCCGAGGTCGAGTCTGCCAAGCTCATGCGCCAGGCGGCCGACATCCTCTCCAGCGCGCCAGCCATGCAGATCCGCTACCTCGAGGCCATGCAGGCCATGGCCAAGTCAGCCAACAGCAAGGTCATTTTCCTGCCTGGCGCCTCCAACGTCGGGAGTCATCTGGGGGAGGGCTCCGGGGAGGGCTCCGGGCAGAAGGCGCAGGCCGGTGACTTTGGAGGTCAAGACCCCGGTTTCCAACGAGCCATCAACGCCCACGTCGTCGAGCACATCTGATTATTTCCCATGACTCTTAATATCGGCTCTCGAATTGCCGCTTGAGCCCGGGCCCGGAAACTGTACTTTTATAATATCCTGTCATTCCCTTGCGCAACGTGATTCGCTGATGGAAGGCTGGTAATTGAGGCGAAAATCACTTTTCTTTTTCTTTTCCTTGGTATGGTTGGCTTGGCTGGTCTTTTTGGCAGGATACCCCCGGTCTTTTCAATGCTTGTTCTGCTCTTGGCTTGGGTTGCTGGGAGAATAGTGGGTAGGTAGTGTAGTGGAGAGGATAGAGAATTAATGATATGGCATCATGCTGTGAGATCACGTGTGTATTATGATGCTGATTCTGATGCTGATACGGACGCTGATGCTGGATTGGGGGGATTGGTGAGTTGAGTCGAATGTGCGAAATGGAGGAAGGGGGAGAGAGATGGCTCTCGATTATGGTGCTAATCGCATACAGGACCATACCTCTCTCAAATCATCAATCCATCAATCAATCAATTCATCCATCTACCTACCTAACACCCCCCCTCAACCTCCGCCTCCCCCACATCCCTGGGTCCCAAGTCCGTCTTCAAAACACGATTGAACAGCTCCAACAAGATCTCGAAACAGATCTTTGAGATCGCCGGGTCGTACCTTCCCTTTGAGGATTCGTCGCGGATGAATGCGTCTATTGGTTGTTAGTTGGGGACTACGCATCGGGACCTCCCAACCACACAGTCAGGGGAAAGAAGTTGGCCTTCCTAGCAGAAGGAGGGAGGAGGGGAAAAGGGGCGAGGAGAAAAAGAAGAAAAAGAAAAAGAACATACGCTGTGCCCAAGCAACCTCGAACCAACTAAACACCACTCCCGCATCCCTCAAACTCTTCCTAATCACATCCCTCCCCTCGGGCGGTACATGCGTATCCCTCACACCATGAATCATCGCCAACTCCCCCCGGATCTCCTTTGCTCGGGCTAAACTATCATCGTGTTTCCCGGCGCCCAGAGAATGGTTGTGTAGGTCTGTGGCGAAATAGCAGACGGTGGCCGAGACGCGAGGGTCGAGGGCGCTGCGGTATGCGAGGTGCCCGCCCAGACACATACCGGTGCTTCCGATGCGACCGGTGCAGGTGGGTAAAGAGAGAAGGTGGGAAATTGTTAGGGAGGCGTCTTCGTCGTATGCTGCGAGGGTCTGTGGGGGGGAAGGGGGGGTGTGGTGGTTAGTTTTTCTTAGTTTTTTTGGGGGGGGGGGGGGATGGGGGGATGGGGGGAGGGGAAAAAAGGGGGGATACTTTGGCGTATTTCCAATCATTCCCAAGATCAGTTCCGACAGCATCGTAGTTTAGAGGGGAGGGAGACGTGAATTCATGATAGCTGGAGGGGGCGGCGACGATGTAGCCGTGCCCGGCGATTTGGCGCGCGAAGCGGGCGACGGGACCGGTTACTGGGGGTGGGGGTTAGTTTGTTGGATGGATGGGTGGATGGTTGGGTTGGTGGAGGGAGTGTGGGTAAGGTAGATGAAGGAGTGAGGAGGGAGAAGAGAAGTCAGAGAGCAGTGAGCAGGCAGTGAGAGCAATCGCAAGCACGTGATATCCTCAGCAATAAAGTCATCTCCAGTGTTAGGTATAGATGAAAGTCTTCAAGACACTCGATTAGAAGAATGGCACGAAAAGAAAAGCATAAATCAATAAACAAATCACAGAATCATTCTCATCAAGACTAGACGCTTGTCCGTCTATCACACTCCATCCTCACTGAGTCCGGATCTGGCTGTGGACTTCTTGAACAAATGATCCTACCTTGATAAATCTCGCTGAACAGCACGACGCCCGGGAATCGTCTGGAGAGGCTTCAGCTGCGAGTTCTTCAGATCAAAACGCAGACATCTACACACGCCTGACTATAGTTTGGGATGGTGGGGTGGAAGAGGAAGATTCCTGGCACGTGTGTCAGTCGCATGGGTCATCTGAGGCTGCGACAGATGAGAGCTAACTCATTGAACCCTCCTTGCCATCTGCCTTGGTCGGCACATCTGTGTAGGACTCCTTGATCAACATCTTGATGTGATGGGATATAAAATGCGGCTCTTCAAGTCTATCACTCGGTACCTAGTGACAGCCTGACTGACAGTCGCGAAAAGAGGGTTGTCACACATATCGCTTACTAATTTCTTACCTAACACAACAATCCGCAAACCACAGCCCTCAGCCCTCAGCCCTCAGCTCTCTGACGCGGCCGAGCGTCCCGGGGATCTGACCTTACCCGTATTGGCCACTGTCACCTCCCTTCCACCTTCAGCACGCGATAAGGAATTTCCTAACACCTATCCAACTTCAACGCCCTCCTTCACCAACCCCTCTTCTCTTCGTAACCCTGATCCGACCCTAGGACTTCTCTTCTTCTTTTCTTACTTCTACTCTTCTTTGTATCGCCCTCGCCCTCAGCTTTCCCCGCCCTATCCGCAGCCCATCGAAATTCATCCTAAATTAATTTCTACCACGCCAGGGGCGACACGCGATATATCAGACAACATCATCCTCCTCGAACCGAACTGTGATAAGGAGAGAATGTCGAGTGTCAGGACCCGAAGACAGGCGGCGGCCGTGTCTACGCCTAAGACTCCCTCGCCGGCGCCCCGAGGACAGGTGGCCATGAACGGAAACGGGCCAGTTCATGGATCTGCCAAGGGCGAGAAGGAGAACATCTTCCTGTTCTGGCCAAACATCATCGGTCAGTTCATCATCACGGTTTCACATTATATGGATTTATTCTAACGCTCTCTGCAGGCTACTCTCGCATCTTCCTCGCGTTTGCGTCCCTCTACTACATGCCTCTCCATCCCCGAACCTGCTCCGCTTTATACAGTGTCTCGTGTCTGCTGGATGCCCTAGATGGATATGCTGCGCGCTACTTCGAACAGTCCACCAAGTTCGGCGCCGTTCTGGACATGGTGACGGATCGCTGTACCACTGCTTGCCTCCTCGTCTTCCTTTCTTCTGCCTGGCCCCGTTGGGCGCTCCTCTTCCAGGGTCTTATCTCCCTGGATATGGCCAGCCACTATGTTCATATGTATGCGACTCTTAGCATGGGCGGCTCAGACCATAGCCACAAGTCGGTCGACAAATCCAGGAGCTGGCTGTTGAACTTGTATTACACGAATAAGGTACGTAGACCCCCCTGTCCTTGAATTTGCAAGGCTGATTGATAATGGTGGCTTTAGACCGTCCTCTTCCTCTGCTGCGCGCTGAACGAGACCTTCTTCATCGCCCTCTACCTCCTATCCTTCTCGTCGCCTCTCCTATCGCCATCGCTGCTCCAGGTCACGAAACCCGACAATGCTACAGGAACACTTCATGCCGGAAGCTCGAGCCCATCTGGCCTTGCCGCCTCCCTCCTCATGAACCCATACAGCGCCGGCGCATTGGAATTGGCACGAGCGAACAAGATGGACTCGTTCTGGCCCTGGGTCATCGCTGGAGTCAGCCTTCCGGTCATGACCATCAAGCAGATTCTCAACGTCGTGCAGTTAGTCAAGGCCAGCCGCTGGCTAGCCGAGGGAGATCGCGAGGCCAGGAGAGCTGCTGGTCTGCCCCGGAGCAGGAAGACCAAGTGAGGAGGATGATCTCCAGCAGCTGCTGCACCTGTCCGTGCATTTCAAGAGGTGGAGGTGGCCCTTGAGGAGTGTTTGTGCGAAGGGGCCCCCGGAGGCTTGTTTTACCCCCCTACGCCTCACGGGCCCTCCCGTCCGTTCGTCCGTGTAACATTCTTCTATCTTCGGAGCAGGCTGCTGCTCGGCTCCCGATCTGGAATTTTGGTGGTACATTCGTCCTCTCTTGTAATTAACTTGTTCTGGGTTTTCCTTCCTTGTTCCACCACGGGGTAGAGGAGAAGAGAAGAGAAGAGAAGGGGGGGCAATTGGAGCGAAAGGCAGCATGTATGTGCCCGATGCTTTTTTTCACTTGGGGGGCAAGGGGGCAAGGGGAAGGGCAGTTGGTTGTCTGTCCTCGGGCTGGCTACTGGCACTACTAGATAGAAACAACAACATCTAATCATAATATTTACAATTCGGCGGGCCTTGCACAGTGCGACGGGGCAACGAGGGGGGGGGGGAGGCACAGTACGACTCTGTGATCTCTTGTCGGACTCCGACGAAGCCCTGCAATGGGGACCTTATTACCTATTCTATACCTCTGCGATGGGGACGGAGTAGCTACTAGAAGGCTCGATGCGGGTACGGAATTCACATGCACGTTACCGCCGCCGGATAGCAGCGGAGTAGATTCCGCACAGCGCAGCGCAAGCTTGCACGCAGCGCCGGCAGAAACCCAGAAACCGAACCCTTTCAGCCTTTAAGGGCTCTTCAAATCTTCAAATCCCCTTCCAGGGCCCCGCTGCGCTCGATGCCCTTTGTGCCCAATGTTTCCAATGTTGGTAAGCTGCTGCCCCTCTATCATATCTACTATTGCTTGGCTCTGGCGAACCCTGAGTGAAGAAATGCCCCCGAATTACCCGACGGCGCTCGGCGACAAAATAAACAAAACAAAAGAATGTTTTCTTCGCGACTCGCGCCATCCAGATCCCAGCAGTGCCGCGCTACACGGCAATAGCGGGTAATAATGCACGGCTAATGTTCGGGAACAGTCGAGAATGGCGCCCCGCCCCACTCCGCCACGATACCCAATCTCTTGGGCTCGCCAGGGACGGTCTAGCGCCCAGCCAATCTGAGCCACGCCCGCCGCCCGGCTCCCTGTGCCGACTCCCGACGCTCGGGTTGACATCATACTTCCGTGTGTTTGTAAGCAGGGGCGGTTCGACGCGCTCACTTGATGATGTCTACTCCGTGGCCTTACTCCGTGTTTTGGCGATAGATGCCCCTTCTCGTGGGTCGTGCCCAAAATCTTCATCGCTAGCCCTCTGTCTGCTCTTTGCCTTTCAATCCCGCCCCCCAAAGGTAAGCTTCCTGAACCCCTTCACCTCAAGGCACAAGGTACAAGGCACAAGGCACAAGGCAATCATGTTCGACCTCGCTCCCCATCCCTCTGCTCCCGTCAAGAGGACCCCGACGGCGGAGACCTTTCGCCTGGGCAGGGACCGTGGCATGCCGCCGCCCCTCCTGGGAGATCCGTCTGAGTATCTGGTTGAGCTGACCGACGACAATGACCCCGCGAACGCGAAGTCGTGGCCCATCTCCCGCAAGATGCGAGCCGCCTGCGTCCTCGGTTTCGATACGCTCGTCGCATCCTGGGGATCCTCCGTTTACTCTGCCTCCGTCGAACCCGTCTCTGAGCTCTTCGGTGTGAGCCGTACCGTGGCCATCTTGGGTCTGACGCTCTACGTCTGCGGCTTCGCGACCGGCCCGCTGGCCTGGGGCCCCCTGTCCGAGTTATATGGGCGCAAGATGCCTGTCATCGTGGCCTGCTTCGTTTTTACCTGCTTTATCTTCGCGGCGGCGACGGCAAAGGATATGCAGACGCTGATGTTGTGTCGGTTCTTCGCGGGTGTGTTCGCTTCCTGTCCGCTGGCGGTGGTGGGAGCTGCGTTTGCGGATCTCTTCGGGAATGCGACGCGCGGGATTGCCATTGCTTTCTTCTCGGCGCTGGTGTTCCTGGGTCCCTTCATCAGCCCTATCGTCGGTGCTTTCATCACTCAGAGCTACCTGGGCTGGAGATGGACGGAATACATCACGGGTATCATGGGAGCCCTGGCCCTGACTCTGGATATCCTGTTTTTGGAGGAGACGTACCTAAAGACCAATCTGCAGAGGAGAGCCGCAAATATTAGGAAGGAGACCCAGAACTTTGCCATTCATCATATAAGTGAAGAGGAGGTGGTTACCCCGGATGACCTTGTGAGGAAGCACCTCCTCCTCCCTGTCAAGTTGCTGTTTCTTGAGCCGATCGTCTTCCTGATGACCCTGTATACCGCATTCATTTACGGTATCTTGTAAGTTCTGCCGGTGTGCTGTATATCAATCTGGCGTAAATCGCGAATCAGGCTAACAAATTTAGGTATCTCTTCCTCGAAGCTTATCCCATCGTCTTCGCAGAGAAACGAGGGATTAACCCGGCGGTCGCTACGTTGCCATATATCGGTTTAATTATAGGGGTTCTGATCGGTTGCGGTATTGTGGTCGCATTCGAACCGAGGTACAACAGGCGACTAGAAGCGAACGGTGGCATCCCCGTTCCTGAAGATCGGCTCCTGCCCATGATGATCGGAGCCGTGCTATTCCCAATAGGTCTCTTTTGGTTCGCCTGGGTAAGTTGATTTCTCTCCAGGTACCCCTTATGGGCTTGAAAGCTGATTTTCGTTCAAGACTGGGAACTACGAGAGTGTCCATTGGCTCGCCCCGACCTTCTCCGGACTCCTGACTGGCGCTGGCATCTTGACCATCTTCTTGCAAGCCCTCAACTATCTTGTCGATGCGTATCTGATGGTTGCCGCGTCCACAATCGCTGCCAACACGTTCCTGAGATCCTTCTTCGGTGCTGGATTCCCGCTGTTCGCCGTGCAGATGTTCCATAATCTAGGGGTCGAGTGGGCCGGAAGTTTGCTGGGTTTCTTGGCAGTGGCTTTCCTGCCGATTCCATTCTTGTTCTATATTTTTGGGAAGAGATTGAGGAAGTTCAGTCGTTACGCGCCAACTGATTTTGGACCGAAACCACCGTCTGATGAGGAGATAGCAGCTGAGCCGAAAGAAGACGAGTTACCAGCTGAGTAAAGTAATAGAAAGGGGTAATGTACGAAGATGCGAAGACAGAGATGCGGTTTTCGGCGATGTACCAAGCCTAATAGGCACACACAAGGGGACACGGAGGCGGTAGGAGGGAGGAGGAGGACCGGGGGTTGAATCGCGGGTTGAATGAATCATGGCGTCGAGGATTGGGGGGTAGTTGTCCAGATCGTACTATTGGATTGCTGGTGTCTCGACGTCCTTTGGAGGACTTTGGATTGGGGTAGAGCCTTGCTTTTAAAGGAACGGCACGGGCCTGATAATAATTAAGAATTGTATGTACTACTTTATATGAGGTAATTCTAAGAAATATATTTTCAGAGGTCAAAGTAAACTTCCCGCCCGAGGAAACTACCCCTGGCCGCCTCCTACGTAGCTACGTAGGAAGGATCCTTCCAGCAGCACAGTACTTGGAAATAGGGTCGCATTCCTTGCGGCCGCTCTCAGCCATAGTCTCACTACTGCAAATTAATACCGCACGAGTTATAACTTGTGGTTGGTAGCAGCATGAGATGGTCCCGCCACAATTCGAACACTTCCGTTGTGGCTGCTGCGCTGTCCCTCCGAAGACCGGGCCTCGGCCGAGGAATCAGGACGACCACGTGAAATTACCTAATCAGGGCGAGGTGACCGCCCATTGGCGCGCCGGGAGACCCGTTTGCTTAGTAATATCATGAAATGTTCTCGAAACAGCGTCATCCGCTGGTCAACTAATTGCCATCTCCTTATCGCTTTCACCCCCCCCCCCCCCCCATCATTCACAATAAACACTCTTTATACCCTCGTGGTTCGACTCCCTCTCTCTATTCCTCAAGCGCTCCTCTTTATTACATATCCCAACCCTCTCCCCGCAACTCGCCATATCATGTGCGATGTCCGTTGACCCTCGATAAGCTGTTCAAGCTGCATTGCACTACGTACGATCTCCAATCGGCTCTTGGCTGTCCACGATCCCCAGAACTGGCACGTTGTGGCGGCACTCCCTCTCCTACGAACACCCCCCTAGCAGTGCACGCACCACAGAGCACACCGGTATTTGATCACAAGCGCAAGCACGACGATCTGGCAATTCCTCTGACTTCCTGGAATGCCAGCGCTGTTGACGCAAATAGGGTCGAGAAAGGCTCCCAGTGAAATATATACCGCCCGCCAAGATGCCGGACATCTCGACCCCGCCGCCCGCGAGGCGCTTCCAGCCCGTCCCCGTCGAGGAGACGGTCAAGAAGGTCCGACGATTCGCCCCAGAGCCCGTAGAAACGACTACTCGAAGCAGTAAACGGGACAATGGTGGTACAGCGGTGGAGAGGAATGACAATGCGGGGAAGCGACGCCTGGTCCCCGTCCCCGTCGAGATAAGCTTTAAGAGCAGCAAGCTCGACAAGGCGGGACAGTCTCTCCCTTCTCCTGAGCCTTCCCCGCAAAGTCCACCGCCTGAAGAGACCCCTAAACCCAGGAGGCGCTTTGTTCCCGAGTTGATTGAGACGACGAAGAGATCGAAAAGGGCTGGGGACTCGAGACCGGCTACATTACCCACCGATAAGGTATATATACATATTTCTACATATGCTTGGCCTTTGCTAATCGTTATGTCAATTCTAGACGGATCTAACCCCTGGAGTCCCAAACATATACACGTCCCGGCCCAAGTTAAAAGGTCCCCGAGGTCCCCGAGTTGTGGTCGACACCGAGGCGGGATCTTATGGTGTACAAGCTCAGATCGAGCCATTAGGACCTCGAAGACAGCAATCAATGCGCCCACATAACAATACAAGAAGGAGCACTCGACAGAACTCTTTCCAACCTCAGTTAGAAGCTATATTTTCAGAAGAGGACACGACAGAAAATTCTGGGGAAGAGATGAGTGGTGAAGACTCTACACCCTCTCTATCGGGCTCAATTGGATCATCAGACGATTCAGTCATGAGGTTTCAATTGTCACGCACGCGCGAGAGCTGTGATGAGAGGTTCTCGGGATATCTTCTTGCCTTGGCAGCAAAGGCGGCGGAAAAGCAGCTCAAGGAACAAGCCCTGGCAGCGTTTCCAAATGAATCGCTTCACGAGATCGTGGAGCATTTCTACGATAGGGAGGTAGATGCTGCCTCTGAAGCTGGATCGGTGGAGGGCATTGGGATGCTACTCGATGACTCCGAACTGTCCCCTGTTATCCGGCGCAAGTCTACAGCAGAGGCTGGTTGGGCCGCTGCAGAGATGCAACAACACCAAGAGAAATTAAACAGACTCCGAGAAGAAGAAACCAATAAGAAGATCGCTGCTGAGGCTGCATCACCAACGTTTGCAGATCCCTTTTGGACGAATGGCATCACCGGGAAAGCTAGCCCCTTCCTCGCAGCAGAAGATGCCATTAAAGATCCTCAGAAGGAGGCCGAGCTACGCTCCATGCGCTCAGCCGCCTCGCCGCCCATGCTCGGCTCAGATTTAAAGTTCCGCATGTGCCCTTCACCCAAAGCAACAAAGTTCGAATCAGACCAACCGATCGATGTGGCTCCCAACCGCGACGAGCACGGGGGAGGGTTGTGGGGCGGATATTGCGTGGCTGAAGAATCGGGGGAATATTTAAGCCCGAACATGCCCGGACCCACGCTGATACAGACCCCACGTGTTGAGCACGAGGACCCGTTTTCTTCCGCGTTCGCTCGCGGGGGACGTACTGATGGCACTTCGTCGCCCATGAGTCGGGATTCGGGCATCCGCATGATGGCGAGCATTGATGAGAGCTTGGATGCGGAGATGGCGAGAGCCAAGGCTGAAGACGCGTTACTAGAGGAGTTCAATGATGCGTTCGTTACGCAGGTTTATAACTACCTGTCTCTAGGATATCCATCTCTCGCTCGACAGTACGACGCAGAGTTGGCTAGGATTAGTCGGATTCCCGAAGAAGAATTGAGAGTAGATGACTGCAAGAAGGATGCGAAAGGGTACATTGGCATTGCGCCTTCGAATGGCAATGGCTCGGCCCCGGACAATACAAAGAACGGCGATTACACCGGGTATTGCGCGAGGTGGAAGGCCCTCAGGATATATATTCTTGAGTGGGCGCGACAGAATCCCAGCATGTCGCAAGGGGCCACAAGCCCCAGTGCCTGGGGTGTGAGGGCCAGGAGGGGCAGCTGGGCCATTTAAACCCATTTCTACTCACGGTGAAGAGGCAAAAAAAAAGACAGAGGAGGCTCTTTTTTCCATTACAGAATCTTGAATTTCATATGCCAGAAAAAAAGGGGCAAAAGAAATCGGAACCGAGCGTGGCGTTAGGGGTTTCTCTCTCTTTCGGGCTTAGGACGTTGTCGCACGTGGTAGATACATGCGAGGTGCTTTTAAGGGATGGTTCTTGTTCGGTCTGCATTCAATGTATATTTTTGATAGGAGAAGCATGGCATAACGAGCAGATTGGAGTAGGAAATGAGATGACAAGGAAACAATTCGGTCGCTGTAGTCGAAAAAGCGAAGGCGTTTGAATATCGACCTCTTGAAGACTCGAGTGATATTTTCAGCTGCTTCCGCTTCCGTTGGGGAGATAAGATGCACATGTCATGAGTGAGCTGTGCCGCGACCGCCCCCTCCAAGACTGTGATGAAAGTGATCTACGTGTACACGTGCCCTCCTACCCCTCAGATCCTAGACTGCCAGCAACAACAAAAACAAACCTTATCATCATCAGAGGCGGACGCAATTCCATCCTGCGAGCGGCCTTCCCTCCGAATGGTACTGTACTCGGTACCTAACCTGTGTAGCTACGGAGGAGTATGTGCAGGAAATGAAATAGCGATAGACGGGTTGGGTGGTAAGTGGTAATCTTGGGCCCCCTGTCATATTCATGTGTTGTACACCGTTAATAGAGACATTGGAGGGCTTGGAGGGAATGGTAGGGTAATGTATTGTTACGCATGTGTGTATATGTGTACCTATGTGTGCTGTGTGGCAAGGGTGGACAGGGACGGGAACAGGGACGGGAGGGGCTGGTCTGTTATCTAAGATACCTACCATACAGGAGGTGAAAGGTGAAATCTTGGATATCCTCGCAATGAGGATCTTGATAAGGTTGGATGGGTAGGTAAGTAAGTACATCGACACACCGCAGTATTATCGAGTCGATCGGCACGGGGTCACGGCTATCGAGAGCTCTAGACTGCGGGCATGATAAGGGATGTAGGTATGTGTTTGCTTGGCAGAGCCTTGCGTTGCGCCTCGCATGTAGCCAGTAGTACGGAAGGGGACGAGGGGGCTGGAAGATTACTCCCGATGCGCGCAGTAGTTGTAATGGAAAAATGCGCGGATGAATGATTATGGATGAGCAAAAGTCTGGGGATAGCGTGCCCTATGTATAAGGTATATATAGACGGGAGAGACAAAGTAGGAGAAACAAAGGGGTCCCGGAGGGGTGCATTATGATGAGATGGGAATTTGAACATGATGAATGATGGTTATCATGGATACGGGAGGTAGCGCGGGATCAGCAATGCTATGGCGAGAGGAGTATGGATTTTCCATGGCCCGTTGGATGGCGCCAACACTACCTATAGACAAGGTAGGTAATAACCTTACCTTAAGATACGGAGGGGAGAGGGTTGTGCTTGATGAAAGCTATTGATCGGTCTAGGCTTTGATACAGTCGGGAGAGAGAGAAGGAGAGAGAGAGATAGGCGGAAAGAGAGAGCTGTCTTTGGTCAGCAAGCCATTCATTATCTACATGTATACTGCACAGGATATATGCAGCAGCAGGATCCTGCGCACACGGCTGAACCTGCGCGGGATGGGATAAAGATCTCAGAGTCGTCTTGAGTTCCTCCTTTTCATCCCCCTTGACAGCCCGGCTCCCGCATGGTCGTCGGCTCGGTTCGATTCGATCATCAAATTAGATTATTAGAGAAACTTGGTCTCTCGTAGTCTGCTCTGTCAGGTGGAAAAGTAAAACCCGCGTAACGCGCTGTCCCCCAATCACAGCGCACTGCTAAATATAATCCATCGACTATACATACTCAGTTCCTCCGTGCCTGGCCCGCCCACAGCTCCATCCATCCACTCTTTCTTGCCCCCGTCAAGTCAAATCCTCCTCCTCCTCCTCCTCCTCCTCCTCGTCGCCCGCTGCCCACCATGGTGTACGATGCTTTGGAGCAGCACGATCGCGACGACCACGACGAGTCCGACTACGATGATGCCTCCGTCACCTCAGGCTCTCCCAGTCCGGGCCTCGCTTCACCAGATCTCAACGGCAGCGCTTCCAAAAATAGCCTTGGCCATGGGGAGAACATCCTCAATGCCGCAGAGTCGGCGAGTGCGCGCGCCCTGAGCAGCATTGTGCAGTCAATCACCTCGCGCACCACCATGACCAGCAGCGTCTACGATATGGTCGAGGACGACGACTACGACGAGCCGCAACGAATCTCCCCGACCCCGTCAACGCCAGAAGAGCATGCCCACGTCCAGGGATCGCCAACCGATGAGGCGTCTGGCCCTTCGAGCATTCCTCAGCCACGGCCCTCAGGCCCCAGCACTCTATCCGAACCCATCCTGCGCTCGCCGTCCGGCCGGAGTCTGCCTCTCCAACATCCTACTCCCGACCTGCAGACGCTTCAGGGGGCGTACACGGGGAACATCGAGCATCTGGAGAAGACGGCCGAGCGACTGAGCATGACCTCGTCAATTGATGATGCTATCCGCGCCCTGCAGGCCGAGCAGAAGCGGAACGACAGCCGCAGATCCTCTCTGATGTCTCTAGCTGAGATGCCACCGGTATCACGACAAGTCTCGCACGCATCCTCGATTGTCGAAACAAATAGTCTTGCAAGATCAGGGGGATATTCACCTGCAGGCTTCATGATGTCTCCTAAAGGGTCTTTCACGGCGAGCGGCAGGGGAAGGTCTGCATCAAAGAGTTCACGGTTTAGTTCTCGTCCGGAACCCGAGCTAGAGGGCCGACCTCTTGATTCTTTCGTGAATCGTACATCAGAGATGTCCCCGGTCGTCTCCCGGCAAGCGTCTATTGCTGAAGACCAAGGATTTCCGACTCTCACAAGGCAGGTGGTGGACCTTCTCGACAATCAGATGGGAACCCCTGAAGTGAAGGAGGAGGTGGAACGGCCGCCAACATCTGCTTCGGGCAACACACTCGACCAGGCACAGAAGATGTTTGCGGATTTCGATGGCGTCCATTCAGCCCCGAGGCAGAGATCAATGTCTGCAAGTGTACACTTGGACGGATCTGGCATGGCTCAGAGGGGAGAAGCTTCAGGTGGTGTGCTCTCAGGCCCTGCGAGCGTTGCAGGTGATCAGCAGAGCATGTCTGCGAAAGAACGACTGTCAATGCAACAACCTCTATCATATGAAGATCCAGTTACAGGACAACAGATGGTATACTATCCAGCACCTGTGCCCATGATGCTTAATCTGCCACAGAAGCTATCTAAGATGCCATCATCAATGGCCAGAAACAAGAGGAGAGCACAGGTCCTCAGCAATCTACCTCCAGGGGCCCACCAGTCCGCAATATGGCTACCGGACGTTTTGGAGATCGAGAACGAACCGAACTTGCCAGAAGATGACGAGGCTCAGCAACTCGAATATGTACCGCAGCATCATCGGACGAGCGTTGGAGGGAGACGGCTCACCCAGGATATTCGACATGTACCCCCACAATTGAGGGCCAATGTCTTCTTCGAACTTCAAGGAGTGGAGCAGATAGTGGATATAAAGGAGCAATCTGCTGTGGCGACACTGGATAGTATCCTCGACGCATCTGCGCATGCTCCAGTGAGCGCCTTCACGGATCATGCATTTGCTGGTCACCTTGGTGCGGAAGTCTACGGGAAGCCAAAGAACAGCAAAAGTTCTACGAATCTGCTTGCGCCAGATGATAAAGCTAAGAAGCGGACAAGCTCTTTCAACCTGCTCCGCGGCCGACGGGCGAGCAGTAGCGATCTCTTGGAATCCGAGAACGAGAAGAGACGGGCTACGATTGCAGATATTAGGTCGGGGAGAATTATCCGCGATGACGATGAGGAGGAAGAAGAAGAGGAAGAGGATGGAGCAGCGGAGCATGGAATTAGGCCAGATGAGGAAGAATATCATGGGCCACCAACGACGCTTCTCGCTGAATTACAATTACGAAAACAGCAACAGAAGCATCGTACTCGGCCATTGACTGCTGCATTCCCTAACGGCTTACATTCAACTCTCTTGGAACTCGATGCTGTCGCACAACATTCGCAGAAGACGAGGAAACAGAAGAGGGTCACTCTAGCTTGGGAAGATCCATCGGCAGAAGAGGCAGGGAATTCCGATGACGACGATGAAGACGTCCCATTGGCCTTGTTAGTTTCCAAGAAGGCGCTGGGTCAAGAGCTCAACCGTCCTCTAGGGTTGTTGGAACGCCGCGAGCTGGAAGATAACGAGCCCTTAAGTAAGCGACGAGACCGACTACAAGGCAAATTGAAGATGAATCGGGCTTCCACAATGATGAATCTGACTACACCCAATTTTGGGGAAGCTGCAACATCACAAGTCAGTCTCGGCAAGGAGGGTGAAGAATCAGGGGCCGCTCTGCCCTCGGCTCGGCCCGTTAGTGGCGATTTTGCAACCGAGATGATGAGCCAGTTTGGCGGTGATCTGCTCGATGGGAAGAACGGGGACGCAAAAGGGAAAGGAAAAGAATCCCCTGTGCCCGAAGACGAGGAGACATTGGGCCAGCGTCGCAAACGTCTACAAGCCGAGGCTCAAGCACGAGCTAAGGAAGTTGGCCAGAACGGTGGAGCCCAGAGCACCGGATCCGAAGAACACCCACCACTCTCAAAGAGATACAGCCTGGCCGATGTCCTACAAGCCCATCCAGCGGCAGGTTCGGCGCGTCCCCCATCATATACCAGACCTCCCACCACGGGTCTTCTAGGCCTACACGAAAAGGTCAGCGCACAACGGTCTAGCACCATGCTCAACCTCTCCTCCCAAGCATTCCCCAACTCGCGCCAATCCTACGCCCCAACCGGAGGCTTCCGGAACGGGATCTACAACGACGGCCAAGGCGGCATCATCCCTCGACAACCGCAACAGCGCCCAAGCACCTACAACCCCTACAACGCGGGCGGCTTCCCGCAGCCCAGTCTCGGCGTCGGCTACGGCGCGGGCTACGGCGCGGGTTTCGGCAACCCGATGTTCGCGAACCCGTACGCGGGGATGGGATACGCGGCGCCGGGGTATGCGCCGGGGTTCAACGGCATGGCCATGGGATACATGCCGCAGATGCCGAACGCGATGATGGGCATGAACATGTTGAATTTCCAGCAGCCGCTTAATCAGGGCCAGATCGAGATGGTGGAGAGGTGGAGACAGAGCGTTATGCAATGATCTCCTCACGAGTGATGAGAAGAAAAAGCAAAATCAAAATCAAAAACAAAAGTTAATAAAAAAGGGATGGATATTCGATCAGGATAGGATGCACGTAATGTATGACGAAACGCACACACGGAGAGAGGCCAGAGCCAGAGACAGGCAGGCAGGCAGGCAAGCAAGGAAGGGGTTGCATAATATCCGGCGTTCTTCCCATTCATTCCTCAACCAAACAAAGCATACGGCATACGGCATAGCCAGCTAGCAGCTAGCCCTTCTTCTTCTTCCGCTATGCTAGGCTAGCTTTATTGTATTGTATTGTAATTATTGTATTACTTCACTTCACTTCCCCCCGTTCTTTTTCTTTGGTGGGAATGCATAGCAGAGGCGTTTTTATTTCATTGCGGAGCTGTGGGTTGGTGGGTGGATGGGTAGGGTAGGATAGGATAGAAATAATAGATGGGAATGATACATTAATTCTTTCCCTCCTCATATGCATTATAAGCCTCACTCTTTTGAAGCTTTGGTTTGGGTTTCGTGATATATCATATCATCTCTATGCTAAATTCTAGATCAGATAAGAGATGGGATGTGATGAAGATAGAAGGATATAGATAGGGTTGGGATCTTATATATACTTGGAATTGAGTGGGAGCTCTTTTAAAGGGGGGAAGAAGGGGGGGAGGGGGGGGAGTGAGATGAAGATTAGGTAGGTAGGTAGGTAGGTAGGTAGATATGAGGAAGGATTAAATGTTCTTACCCACATGTTGCTTGCTATATTTTTTTGATTGGTTCCTTTATCTGAAAGAAGGGCTATTTTATTTCCCTCCCTGCGGCCATGTATCGAGTCTCCGTCTAGCAAGCCCGTTCGGTCCCCATCTATACACACACGCACATCTATCAGCACCGAATAAACCAAAAAAAAAAAAAAAACAGGCAAAAAAAACTCACCGCCAAAGATCCCCCCCTTCCCGATCATGCCAATCCACCAAGTGCCACACCAAGCTCCTGGACATGCCACCCTCCCAAGGTCTCCTCTTCCTGTTTACGGGGCGCCAGCGCGGATGATCCGCGCGCCATAACTCGTAGTTGACGCGCAGCCGCAAGAAGTCAATGTCGAAATCGGGAAAGCAGGTAAGGGTCCAATCGGAGACGAGGCAGGCGGTGCGGAAATCATGGATGTCGGTGGGGGATGGGAGGGTGTTGTTGTTGAGATTGTTGAGATTGGGTGGGGGGAGGGGAGGAGCGGGGGATGGGGAAGGGGAGGGGGGAGGAGCGGTCCAGTGGATTAGGCCGATGCCGCTGCTGTTGTTATAGCTGTATTGGGGAGAGGGTTGGTTAGGGGGTTTGGTAAGAGAGGAGGGTTGGGAGCTTGGGATAGAGGGAGGGGGGGGAACACTTACGTTAATAGCTCGCGGTCAGAAGAAGCACACTCTTTGAGGAATTCTCGCCATTCGTCGAATGTAAGAGGTAGACTCTCGTGGTCACTATCATCACCATACCTATTGATGTAATGGAAAAGCGTATGCTCGGGCATATCGAAGTTCATCGTGTCCAGGCAGAGTTGGCCCTGATTACGATGCTTGAGGAGATAGCGGCGAATGGTCCAGAATCGGCGGCAAGATGGAGGAACATCTTCACTATATTCCGTCGTGGCGTCGTCGTCGTCTCGGGCAGTAGAAGGTCCGTGGCCAGGAGTCTGGCTGGAAGGAGCTTCGCTCTCAACAGTCTGTTCGTTGTGAAGTCCGTCCCTAGCCTTTAGAGAATCGGCTGCCTTTCTTCGATCATCAGCGGACTGATGCAGCGCTGTGTGTATCCGCTCAGCTCGCCTTCGTCGAAGATTCTCAACTTCAGCAGCCCTTTTCTCGTCTTCGCTCATTGAATCCGATATAGTCACCCCGTCTTTTATAATCCCATCAGGTTCTAGGGTCCACTGATCCTTAAGTGGCCTTCTGGTTTGAGGATCGATGCGACAACGGGAACCGTGCACCTTCGGTCCCATATGTGCTGCTTCAGCGCCATACTTCTGGACGTGGATCCAGAATTCGGGGCGATAAAGGCCCTCGAAATACCCAATGGGTATAGGGAAGAAGTCCTTGTAATCCCAATCTTCCGGCACTGGCAACAGGACTGGCAGGTTTTTGTAGTCTTCACTCTCTCTAGTGAAGAAAGAACTCCAATAGATTGCCCCACTAGAAATTCCCAGACCAGAGCCAAGGCCTTGAGTGGGCAAATCTGAGAGAGCTATTGGTGTCCCTCCAAGAACCTAATAGAAGTTAACATATATATGATGAGGATAGGTAGGTTGCGATATCTGACAGCATGTTCCATAGAAAATCCAAGTTCCGACAAGCACTCCTCTCCGAAGTACGGCTCCTTATAGTCTTTTTTAAAATCCTCTTGTGTTGCAATCCAAAAAGAATGCTATTCACCGTTTTGCTGATCAGCCATTCAACTTGTTCAGCCACTTCGAGAGACAACTCACACAGCATTCATGTAACAAGGTAACCATAAATCGAAAAGTATCAATCTTTCTTTCTGCCGCAGTAAGATCACTCCTCAAGAGAGGCTCAAGAAGCTCGTAAGATATATAGACTTCTATACGGTTGCTCATGGGAGATAGAGGTTCCTTGGTTGTCGCATGCTTCCATGAGCCCCTTCGTGGATTATTGGGCAGCCCGGTACTGGCATTTGTCCAACCACTTATGAGATGATACTCGATCTGATAGTGCTTCAGCAACTCCTGAAACTGCTTTTGATGTTGGTCGTAGTCCAGCGTCGCACGATCTAGGTTGGGTTTCAACCTGAGCAGCTGTCCTTTGAATTCATTTGGTATACCATCCATAACTTCTTCATACCTTCCAAATAGAAGGGTATCCCACCTATCAAATCCATTAGTCTTTAATGCTTGTTCATGGGGGGCCTAAAAGAACATACCAGCGACTTGTATGGGAATTGGCTAAAAATAAACTCGCCAATCTCAAGCATGGCTCCAACGCCTTCCACACGACCTCATTCTGGCCCTACGAGAGTCAGCTACCACTTCAGGCGATCATTGATTAGCATATCACTCCGAACAGACCTCCCAATATCCCCGTCTACCATTTCCTAGAGGAAATCTTCCAAGATGATCCCAAAGCGGGCGCTCCCAGTTCTCGCGCACGAAAATTCCGTGGATTGGTGTTTGAAGACTCATGAAATCAATTCCTCCTCCTTCCTCGTAACCTTCATTGAGCCATGATTTATACAATGGCGCGAATGCCTCCATGTCCACGAGTAGCTGCATTGTAAACCCTCGACTCCTAGCCTTCTGATACAGTTTTATCTTGTCTTGGTTTTTCACCTCGGCGAATGGAACCGGAGCATCTGGACGCAACTCTGGCACGGGCGTGAGGCCAGATTTGCCACTATGTGCAATTACTTTGTGAAACTTCCCAGTTGGATGTTTATACTTCGCCGCAAGCTCAGTTAACTCCGGCTTCTGGCCTGCCGTGTTTCCAGCCATCTTGGTCGCAAATCAAGGAACGGATATGAAAGTTCAAATTACACTTTGAATTGAAGTTTGTACTTACAACATAATTTGATGACTGCAGATCGAGAATTATACAATGTACAGGAGCTTCTTTGTTACTACAAATAACTCGCTGTACCGCATCCGTCCGACTTCGACCCATTACGGATATACGAAAACAAAGAACTGCCGGCCATCTCATCACTTCCTTCCTGCGGTGTATGTACCTTATCCTCCTCACCACCCCCTTGCGTAACCCCTTGGCCCTCGAGACACCCTACTGACCTCGGATACAGCAAATTTGCATGAGCAACATGCTGGCCCAGTACTCGACTCTGGGCTGCGATTCCCCGGACCCCAGCTTGCCTGTGCCGGAACGTCAACTTTGGCTACGGCATCCGCGACTGTGCCAACGGGGCCTGCGGCACGGTGACCGCCAGCACCGTCATTGCCTTTGGCTCATCCTACTGCGCCATTGCCGAGGCCACAGAGACCACCTTCCCCGTCACGGCCACCCCGACAATCACTGCCATTTCTCAGCTTCCGGCCTGTGGTCAGACTTGCATGAACAACATGATTGGGCAGTATTCCACTCTGGGATGTGCCTCTCCTGTGCCGTCGTGTCTCTGTCAGAATGTCAGTTTCGGATATGGCATCCGCGATTGTGCGAATGGGGCGTGTGGGACAGCGGTTGCAACCACGGTCATTTCCTTTGGATCAGCATACTGCGCATCTGCGACGGCTGCCTGAACCTCCGCGTGAAAGCTTGATTTGATAATGTAATTTAGCCAAATACTGTACCTTGGGTCGACTGGGCAAATGCTTGACCGCGCTCATAGAAGTACTGTAGAGCTATTCGAACTGGACCGCAGACGCGCGATTCCGCTAGCAAAAGAAGAATGTGCCCATGAGATTGTATCTCGCATATTGCATCCAGGCATGTTCCTTCTCTAACTCACTTTTGAAACCCTCCGCCTCTTCCGCAGTAAATCGTCCCTCAGCCTGCTGTGGGGGGACATTCCTCGTAGAACAGATTCGATAGTTAGGATCCACAAGCATCACCGTCATGACCCGATGATGCCCTGGCCTTTCGGCATCTTTCAAGCGAAACGGCTCTCGTCGATATTCTATGACGTTAGGGAACGCGAGCAGCCGTCCCTGCGGGAGCGCAACCTTTCCAATCTCCTGTACGGGTAATGCAAAGTTGTGGAGGTCTCCGCACATCTGGGCCGGGTCAAAGCCAAAGACCTCGGAAATCTGCTCCATCTGGCAGCCCTTGTACTTGGCGTGGGCCGGCTGGTTCCACCACGAACCGATATAATTTCCCTCATACAGGAACGGGCCGTGATGAAAGAAAGCTTCGCCGACTTGGGTCTCCTGGCGAAAGGATATCTCGCTTGCAGTAACGTTGTCCACGTCGTATGCGAGCATGGCAATTGCAACAATATGCTCGTTCTTCTGTCCCTCTATAGTCCAGGCACTGCCCGGATACTCTGGTTTCTCGGGGCTTAGCTCAACTCCCTCGACTCTGACAATAACCTGGAGACCTTTGTTCCGAAAGTCTTGCAGTTTAACATTGTAGGTCTCGTGGGGAGTCCTGGGAGGAATGACGTCAGGTCTGATCGGCCTGTGTGTGACCATGTCAACGATTGCTCTCCCATCATGTGTACCAGACTTCCACTCTTCATACGAAAAAGCCGTGCCTGGTTCCGGGTGCTTAAAATGCAAGAAACGTGAGACTCTCTGCTTGATCAGTGTGCCCACAACTTTCTCCCAGCCTTCCGGTAATTCAATTCTTGCGTCCGATCCGGGCTCTGGTCGTTCCAGAAACTCCTTTGCCCTTGCCCATAGCTCCGGCGTTGGCTCAGGTAGCGGCCTAACATGCTTCATGTCATGGCCATCGATCTTAGACTCGGCCTCCTTGATCCGCAAGTTGTATTTTGTCCACTCCCTCTCGTCTGCATCCCTTAGAGGCTGCTCCTGCTTCAAGGCCTTGAGGTTTGCCCGTAGCTTGTCATACATGGCAAGCCTTTTCCGGCGGGATCCGTCGAAAGTGGTCATCCAGTCTTCGGCTTCATTAACCCACTCCACACCATACGTTATAATCCTGCAAGGCACCCGCCCTCGTTGTCTCCTGACATTGCCAAACGGTGCGTATCCCCCGTCATCGAGCCTGATAGACTCATCATTCCAGCCTGGCTGGCCCTTGATCAGGCAACCATTCCAGGGCTCGATACATGACGATATCAGCTGTTCGATGCAGGCGTACAGACTGCCCTGTACATCACTCAGATTATTGATATATGAAGCCAGCCGCACACTAGTACTGCCAGGGTTCGTAAAATCAACGTCGCTTGGCAGCCACTGGTATTTGTACGACCAGAGATATGCCTCCGTTTCTGGCCAGCTCAAGTCTGAAAAGACATATTCCCACGGTCGATGGCGCGTATCTCCCATACGACTCTGTACGGTTTCGGAGCCAACTCTCTTGTCTGGGAGATCTGGTGCCCTCTCCAAGCCGGAACTTGCGTCGCCCTTGATCTGGCCGTGGCGCATGACCTGGCCACCATGAGATAGGACTAGACTTGTCCCGTAAACCAACGGATACAGAGAAGGATCGACATAGGTAGAGATGCCGCTTGCCTCGCCACGGTCCCGGTGCTTGGCAATGACCGGCTCGAGTCCCGACTGTAACTGTGCGCAGAGCGAATCGGGTGCCAACGTATCTGACTTGCAAACACACGAGCCGGTGTCCAACACGCGAACGTAGCCATGTTCTTTCAAGTAGGCCGCCTTGTCTCGCAGCTCTGCCACACACCATTCCCATGCCTTGTTGCTCATCAACGGTTCAGAATCCATGGCGTCTTTGCGCCAGCCGTCAACCGTGGATGGATCGAAAATGCCATTTTGCCAATCGACTCGATCTGTCAGCTCGTTCATGACGGCGACCATTGCGAACTCGCGTCGCGTGATTGCCGGGACCTGCTTCCATTCTCTAATGCCGTTGGCGAATCGACTCCAAACGGGCATCTCGTCCTCCAGCGGGTAGCCGCCGAAACCGGGAACGCGCAATGTTTCGACGGACGTGTTATCCATGGCTGAGAGTCACCTGGATAGAGCCTTGTCTGTCGGCAAAATTAAGAAGAGAAAATCGCGGCGAAGAGTCTCGTATTTATAATTGACGGTAACTTGGTGAGTCACGACCCTCTCTCTCTGTGCGGCGAAAGCAATAGTGGCGGGGGGCCCCTGTAAGACTGCGGCACAGTGGCCTGCCCGGATTCTCTGTCGAGGTTTGGCGGTCTAAGAAATTCCAAGGAATTTTGAAGCCTAAGAGGGCCTCGCAGTCGCATGTCAGCTGCAGCATACAGAGATCAGGTAGATCGACTTACATGCACATGACATTTCCCCCGAGGCTGTGGCTGCCTTCTCGCCTTGAGCGACCCAGTCGAAGGCTTTTGACCCAGAGATTGGTGAGTTGAACAAGATCTGCCTGCTATGAAGATCGCTCGTTAATACGAATGAGCCGATGCCTGGAGCGATAATCGATATGACATGGCCCTGAATGGAGAGTGGAGTGAAATCAGCGTCGTCGTAATGGCAGCGTTCGGGATACGTACAGAATATTCAACTTCGATATATCGACCTTCTTTCCGCGCATCCTCAGAATACTCCACTACAGCCTCGAAGTATAAGTCCGCTGGTTCGCGATACTGCTGGTCCGACAGGTGCGTTATCCCATCCAGCCTGTTCTGCGCCCGCGCGAGAGATGTGAAGACATCGCGGAGGTGGGAAGGGACGAAGCTGACCGGCATTTGGGCGTGATCTGGTTAATTGGGGGCTATGACGCGGTTTAGGATGTCGAAGAAGGGGAGCAAATATTCGTCGGCAAGATCGAGGCCACATCCTTTGAGACAATGAAGCTGAATGGAGATTCTGAAGATAGCTGTCGATGCTAAATGTTGAAGGGTGGAAAATATGACAGTTGCGGACTTGGCCCAGCGCGCTGCGTTGTACACGTGGACCGCTGACTAGTTCTAACCAAGGTCCTACCATGTGGGTTGATCGTGTTTTTGACACCCTTATGACGGCATGACATTCGGGCAATGGCTACATCTCGGGGATGGCACAAACTTGTCAGCGTTACTGAATAGGGAGTTGGGTCTGGAAATGGAGATGTACTTTGGGTAACTATCAAAGCAAGATGGGGGCTTTTAGCTTTCATCGTAAACCAATACAATGAGCCCTCCGGGTCAACACGCTTGCCCTCGCCCGGTCACCATTTGCCCCAGCAGACACGAAGCTCGATGCTAAGTGGTGGCCTGGAATGGTCGACGATGAGCGCAACCATGTCGAATAGCAGAAGGTTGTCTCGCAGATCGTGACCTATATGGCCTGCCATTATTCAAGGTACGGGTTCATCATCACAGACACATGCCCCTTTGCTTTCAGGATCACTCGTTGTCTTGTCAGTCCAGGCTTGGCCCTAGGGCGTCCTCGACGCGAGACTGCTGCTGCTTCTGGTCACCAGAGACAAACATCCGATATCTCGATGGCATCGGGAGCTCATTTATCGACGATCGTCAATCTATCGACAATAAGCATACTTTGGGCAGCGTTCCATGTATGTGATATTCCACCGTGAACACGGCCGGCAATAGAAGAACCTCAAAAAAAAACCCGTGAAGAGAGCGTAAGCGCAGACAAAATAACATGTCATCGTTGTCTCTCCTCTATTTTTGGTTCTTCGTGATACTGAAGGGAACCCAACCGCACGACACCATAGCTTTGAATTGAAGTTTGTAGTTGCGACATAATTTGATGGCTGCAGATCGAGAATTATACAATAAACAGAAGTGTCTTTGTTACTACAAACAACTCGCTGTACCGCATTCGTCCGACTTCGACTTATCACGAATATACGAATACAAGACAAAGAAAAATAGGCACATAAAGGTAGCAATTTAAGATGAGAAAGGGATTCAATTGTTCATTGTCTGAAACTTATAATTCTGACAAACTTAGCTGAATTCGAATGGCATTTTGGAAGTTCTGGCTGTGAAGTCCAGCTGTTTAAGCCGGAATTCCGGTCGGGCTGATGAATAAAATGTGAAAACGGTGGAACATCAGGGCGGTCTCCGACAACAGACTTGCCGAGTGGGAGAGGGATTGCATTTCGAGATCGATCGTGCTATGATAAGAGTCCTAATGTGAACGCAGGATGATGCCATACATATACGAAGTATACAGTAGCATGAAATGTGGGAGGAAGTTCGAATCGAAAAGGGAAACTCGATATTCGTAACAGAAGTCACATGTGGGTATGCTTAGTCAGCCAAATCTACCCGACCGATCGAGGGACAAGCTTCATGGGGAATATAAGCTTTTATATTTATAAGCCTTGTACATAAGGGCTTCAAGATAAGCAATATTATTAAGCCTCTCATGTATCTTGGGGAAAGACACTGGTGTTTGGGCTCCTTTCCGGTAAAAGGGCACATGGGTCGCACTATGATAAGCAATATCATACCTACCTAAAGACAAGTGATTAAAAATCAAGGTTACCCCCTTAGTTGAGCTTCCTCGTCTAAAGTTGAAAAGTTTTCTCTGCACTGATTCATACAAGAGCCTCAGCCTCCAGAATACCTTATGCTGCACGAGTCAACTCTAGCTTCCTGTATTAGTAATCAGCTCCAACACAACTTTATATCCTTAGGTACCGCGCTCTTGAAGTATATATATATACACGCCATTCCTTGGATTTTGGCAGGAATTCCTTCAGGAAAGTTGTGCTCAAGCTAGAGTAAAGCCGTGCTCTGGTTAGCCAGATGAGCCCTCGTCAATCGCGTGCTCACTCGCACGTACAGAGTAAACATCAAGAATCCTCATGAAGTTATTACGTATTAAAGACCCGCGAACAGCCCTAAGTGCAACAAACCCTGTCGTGGACGTAGGGTTGAGTCGTGCAACTGAGCGTTAAGCAACCAACCAGAGTTGAGTATAGAGCGGCTATCGTCTTCTGACGTGTCGGCTATACCTCGTAGCCTTTGAAACCTCGTAGTGGCCGAGATGAGAGGCGACTAGATCCAAGCTCTGGAGGCTGGAGCGCCCGCACTACTCTAGCTATGCGGAGTCAGTGTGGCAACCCGTTTCCAATCCTTCTAGAAGGAATCTTTGTTGGTTCTAATGGCGCCAACGTCCAGGGCTGGAAATCGCCAGACTCCAGAACCATGGTTCGTGAGCTCGGAGGTCAGATCAAGCTTTTCAGCCATAGCAGTGGCTGACAGGGCTTCATTATTTCCCGTGTCTGCGCCGCAGAACGTTGCCACGAAGAGTAGAATCACCTACCTTCTGGGAATGCGGTGGCTGGGGTCTCTGCAGTAAAGAGCTGTGCGGCAATAACTGCCGTGCCGCTAACCCACAGTTATGGGCCCTTCATACAAGAGGAGTCGAGAACCCTATCCCTTATCAGAAGGTAGGTAAACGGAAGAGCGCCGTCGTAGGGGCGGTTGACCGCCTTACTCGCCTTTCTAAGCCTCTTATAGTATGACCCCGGAGGCCCCGCTTTCCCATGTTTCTCTCCCATACGAATAAGCGTTAAGGTCGAGGGGTCTACCTCCGTAGTCTGGCACCCTAGAGATATTACTATCCTGTCCGATTGGCTCGAATCGACATCCTCCGTTGATAATAGTTCAATTCTTCGTATGGAGTGACCCCGTAGGAGTTCCCCGAAGAAGCTTCCTAAACAGAGCCAACGCCGGCATGGAAGACATGGAAGACTTGGAAGGGCAGACCGAGGCTCCGGGGGAGCATACGTACGGAGTATTGTGTGAGCAATTCGACATTTAATAGCATAACCCTTCCCCTCCTCGCCCGATCTTCTTAAGCCCTCTTCTTCTCGATCCCTCCAGGACCCTCCTCCCCCGCCCTTCCCCCTACCTCTTTGACTCTGTATATCTGCTCCTCGAGAACGTCGCCATGAGTCAAGTGGCTAACCTCGCCCTTGAGGGGGGCGACCCACGGGACCCTCAACATTCTGTCCTGGGCGCCGGCGCTGAGGCCGTAGAGACTCAGATGCTTCGTGCAGCTCACGATTCTTCCGTGACCTTCGAGGAATACGTTTACTGGGCTGGCATTACGCGGGCTGAGGAGAAGGTTGCAAACGAGAGATTTGTAGCTGCTCAGGGTCCAAGGACGTTCAAGAGTGTCATCAAGAACCGATTCTCCAAAGGCGCGGAACCGGTGTCTCCCGTCATCTCGACGACCGATGAGAAGTACGCTCTCGATGAGAAGACTCTGGACACTGCGACCGCGGCCTCCACCAACAATACGCATGACATGATGCGGGTAACCGATGCTGAGTGGAAGACTGCGAGTCGTGCTCTTCGAACCGCGGGGTGGAGTAGTGTTTTCTACCTGGTCACCACGGATATCTTGGGGCCTTTCAGTGTTCCGTAAGTTGCCATGAAATCTGTCACCAGTCAGTAAAGATCTCTTGTTGACATGCTGTCTTCCAGGTGGGCATTCGCTCAGATGGGGTACGGTCCAGGTATTGCGCTCTACACCGTTTTCGGTGGCTTGGCCTTATAGTAGGTTCGCGCCTGTCTCAACGGAAACAACGACTGACTCGTAATAGCTCTGGATGGCAACTCTACCAGGTCTACATGTATCTCGACTCTGATCGCTTTCCGATGAAGACCTACGCAGACGCCTTCTTCCGGGTCTTTGGAAGTTGGGCGCGACACATCGTCAACATCCTCCAGGCCATCCAACTGCTCCTCACCGTCGCTGTCCTGATTCTCGGAAATGGACAGTCGATCTCTCTCATCTCCCAGGGCAGGCTCTGCTTCATTGTCTGTCTGATCATCTTTATGGCTGCGGGTATGGTGGTGGGCCAGATCCGAACACTGCAGCGGTTCGGTTGGCTTGCTAACTTCGCCGTCTACATCAACGTGCTCATCCTGATTTTCTGGTATGTGTGACCGTCACTTTTGCAGACCCAACGACTGACGGAAAAAAGCATGGCTGTTGCAGCGAGCTATCCTCCCAACTATGCGACGGTAGAGGCTTCGTACGGTCCCGCCTTCGGCCCAGGTCCCGTCCACACATACGCTGGAATGCCACCAAACGGGAAAGCCACGGGAGGGACGGGTTTTACCGCCTCTCTTAACGGTCTCAACCAGGCTGTTTACTCCTACGGAGGAGCCATGCTCTTCATTTCCTTCATGGCTGAGATGCGTCACCCCTGGGATTTCTGGAAAGGACTCATATGCGCGGACGTTTTTATCTATGTTCTCTATATGTTTTTCGGAATCTTTGTGTACTCCTACCAAGGCCAATATTCCTACAACCCGGTCATGCAGGGCTTGTCACCCTTTGGCTGGCAAGTGGCCACCAACGTCATGAACCTCGTTACTGGTTTGATCTCCGCTGCGCTCTACAGCAACATCGGGGTCAAGGTCGCCTACGTCGAGGTCTTCGAGGAGTTTCTCGGCTTCCCCCCGCTCACAACCAAGAGGGGCAAGATTCTTTGGACGGTCCTTATCCCGATCTACTGGGTCGTTGCCTGGGTTGTCTGCGCGGCCATCCCGCAATTCTCTCTGGTTTCCGGTCTCGTGGGTGCCATCTGTATCTTGCAGTTCACTTACACCTTCCCCGCGATCCTCGCCTTCGCGTTCCAGATCCAGAAGGACGCCATGACGCCTGCCGAGTCTTTCGATCCCATCAGTGGCACATATAGTTATCAGGATAGAGGGTTCAAGAGATGGGTGAGAGGTTTCATGGTCAAGTGGCATCTCAACACATTTAATTTCATTTATTTCCTTGGAGCATTGGTTACTGCTGCGTTGGGTATCTATTCTAGTGTCGAGGGTTTGATTGAAGCGTTTGATGGCGGAGGGGCAAGCTCCACGAGTTTTGGTTGTGCATCTCCTGTTGCTTAGTGAGCGATGGTGTTGGTTAAATAGGGGTTCATGGGTATCGGGTAGCAATGGCTGGGCCGGAATTTTGGTTGCATGTATAAATTTGTATAGTCATAACCAGATGTACATAGATCTACGAATACAGCAGTCTCCTGACGCTTCGCTTTTCTTTTAGCTCAACCCTTTCTTATCATCTCTATCTTCGCTATGCAGTTTTATACATTGAGATTGATAATTGCCATTCTTGAACTCTTAGTGACAGTATGCGCTAAGGTAGTTGCATGTCACTCGAGCCGCCAAGACTTTTATTCCCGGACACATCTTACTTCCGCATCTTACATCAGCCGCATAATTCAGTGATTTCATCATTTCACGACCTCGTATACACGTACATACCTCCCCACGATTCTTCATAAACCAGTGGCCTCTCATCTTCCAATCCCTCTCCACTCCTCATCTCTATCTCCCTCTAGTTCTAAACTCTCTCATCTAAAAGTATTTATCAATGTTCATTCGAATAACCTACTACCCCGCCATCAGACAGCTATCTTGGCATCTTGGCATCCAACCCTAACTAAAATCTTAGCTTTCCTCTTTTTTTCCCCTTTCCTTTTTGCCCTAAAAATGGCCACGGGTACGATGCACCTACCTAAGGTAAGGAATTCTTGGCGTGCTATGATCTATCTATCTTAGTCTTGAGCTTGTATTTTGCCTCTTTTCGCTTAACCCCTGAAAATGAAACGGGGAGCTAACCAAGAGGGCGCGCTGCGTCTTCTTCAACCCCTTTCCTCCAACTTCTGTTCTTTCACTTTTGTAATTCCAGAAGTTTATGTTTTATTCTTATATGAGTTTTCTTGAGTTTGGGAAGAATATCGTGTTGTTCTTTTTCCCGGGGTATACTTTTGTTCGCGCTAGAGAGAGAGAGAATATGTGGTTGACAGGATTCAATCAATATTTTAGCTATTAACGTCTTCCGTTCTAGATTACTTATGCGCGAGAATTTTTTCAGGAAGGATATACTTATGAAAAGGGGTTAAGTAAATCCATTTATCTATACCTAGGTATCTACTCTCTTATCTATCACGACTATTCTCTCTCGTGTCTCCGGGTTGGTAAGATATATTTACGCGTACTTGTGCTTAAGCGGTGACGGGGGTGAGCAAAAGCTGATGAAAAAAGGTTGAAGAAGGATTCATAACCTTACTTACCTTACCTTCCCCAGGAAATCAATTTTCTCTTTCCGCCTCTAAGTAATTTTCGGACAAAGGCAATGGAGTTTTTAATGATTTATTTGTTATCCAAACCGAACGATCTGGTCAATCTATCATCTTGCTTACCTATTTATATTCCTCATCCTCTCCTTCATATCATTCATTCATCCATTCATTCATTCATTCATATCATGATATTCCCCTTTCCATTCTCTCTCTCACCTCTTCTTTCTCTTACCCCTCAATATCCTCTCATACAGTGTCACAACGAAATGCGGCCTTAGTTACACATCCAACTAGGTGACATTCAATGAATTATATCCGCGTTACCAAGCTCCTCTTCCTCCTCCTACTAGGTAGGTAAAGGTATATAATCCAAGCCAGCCTACGCATACCTAGTACTATTATTCCTTCCTAGATTAGCATGAAATGAACCGTCTATGTAAGGTATGCATTTCTACGCCAAGGTTCCTTAGGTAGGTAAGGTATCTAGAGCATACATAGGTAGTATCAGGTATGATTCCAAATCCAAATGTTTCATGATATATATACGAGTCTGTTGTTGTTGTTGTTTGGTTTTAAGGATAGATGGATAGATGGAAGGAAGGAAGGAAGTTCTTTGTTCAAACCCCCCCCCGGGTCTCATCTCATATCATCTCATCTCCCACCACCCATCCATCTCCCACCACCCATCCATCTCCCACCACCCATCACCCACCCACCTATCCATCCATCCGCTTCAGCATTTATCTTCATGAATCCTGACCCAAACAAAATCCCTTCTTTCCACACAGACTTATATTTACCCGTCATGGGCCATGGCTGGCTTTGAAACATGAATCTTTAAGGTGGAGAGGTCTCTTTTTCCTTTTCCAGGCTGTTAAAATATGAGAAAAGAGAGGAGAGGAAAAGGGGTTGTTGGAATAGTAAGTAAATAAGGTAATAGTCTACTTACCTTACCAAGGTATGTATATCAGAGATCCAGCTTCCTAATCTGCTCTCTACCTATTCATCCATCCTATTTTCCATCCATCCATCCATCTTATTCTCTACATCCTACTATAAACCCTACCTAACTCTCAACCTCAACCCCAAACATCTATCTACAAACATCACATATCGAAATATCTAATATATCTACCACGTATTTGAAAAAATGAGAAATCGCCTTGCTTAGGTACAAGACTTTTATTTATTTATCTTAATCTCCTTCTTTGATAAGGTATACAAAAAATAATCTAGAGAAGTTATGTCACGCATAAGGAAGGAAAGGAAAGGAAAGGGAAGGAAAGGGAAGGAAAGGAAAGGAGTCAATTAGTCAGAGAAGTACCTAGGATATATATGTAGGAGACTATACCTGCAGTTGGGAGATCACGAGTTTGGCTGCGGTGTGGATTGGAGAAGGGAGGGAGGGGATTATGGGGTTTCTGGGAAACGGAGATATGAAATAGGAAAGCATGGGGTGTATTTTTTTCGTTTCTGACTGATAGATAGGTAGGGTAGGTAGGTAGGTAGGTAGGTAGTGTTGATTGAGATATTGGGGGAGGTTCGTATGGTAGTATATACGTATAATGAATTGATTGAGCCAGCTCTACACGTCCTAAGCATGCATGCTTGCATCTCCATCTTCACCTCGCTCATCTCCCTCCATCGAGCAGAAGCTGACTTCCCCGTGTCTCCCACTCCCGCATCTTCTTCAAATTCCCTACCTACACCTTCCTGAAATCCGTCATACACCGCGTAATACAGCCCAGGCCCGCCACATCCACGACCTTCTCATGCCAGCTGAGCAAGACGCTCATGGCCGCGCCACTACTCTCGTTCTGCGCCCCCGGTCTGCCGCCCATCTGCGAGAAGCCCGTGCTTTGGGGCGTGAGGTTGGATCCAGCTCGTTTCGCCGGCGTCGATGAAGAGGAGGGCGAGGATGAGGATGCCATGCCTTTATACCTGAATCCCGCAAATCACATCACATCACATCAGCGCCGTCCATCCGCCAGAAACCAGAATCACAAAAAGGGAGAGGATAGGGGGGACATACAAATACTTCATCAAAACATCCAGCAATTCCCCCCCGCCGGGAGCCCCAAATATCCTCTGCAGCATGGGCGTCATCTCGCTCGCCTTGATACTCTGCAGCACCTCGGTCACCGTCTGCAGATGGACCTCCTTGGCCGCGGCATCGCCGCCGTACGGGGCGTTCTCCAGCGCGGTGCGCAGCGCGCCCTCGGCATCGCCGCCGCGGAGCTGCTGGCGCACGTGTTGACCCAGGGCGCGCACGTCCTGCTCGGAGACGGGGTCGAGGGCGGGGTGGAGCGCCGACGTGTCGAAGTTGGACGAGGAGTCCGGGTCCAGAAGGTCGATGTTGATGGTGCGCCAGTTGTCGCCCAGAGAGGCGTTGCTGACTTGTTGGATGATGGACATTTTGGGGGCGTGGAGGAGGAGGGGTCAGGGAGGGAGGTGGTGGAGTGCTGCGGGTTGGCGTGTGAGGGATTGAAGGCTTGATGATAGCTCGATATCCGTGCTTCTTATTCTCCTCCTTCTGCTTCTGCTTCTCTTCTTCTTCTTCTCAAAACCAGCGTCTAAGGTATCCCACTCAATTGCGTAGTCGTCTCTTGGTCTTTGTCTCGTCCAAGCCTCCTCCTCCGCCTCGTCCATCATCGTCGAACCTCGCTTGCTTACGTAACCGCATTATCCCTCCCAGCTTACCTAAGCACGCTCTCGCTACCCCTACCGCAAATAATCAAGCCTCAGGCCCCTCCGAGGCTCCTACCCATCCCCCCTCTTCCTGACCCTTGACGACCCCACCCACGGGACTTCGTATCAGCCTCAGCTCCCTAGTCCTTCTCTGCATATTCCAGAAGCTAGATCTTGGGCCGGGGGGTGCCTACCGTACCGGCTTGCGATGGAGGCTTCGTTGCGGAGCGGAGCGGAGCGGAGCGCTGCGATCGATGTGGGATGATGTGCGTGATGAGCGAAAGAGAGATAGATAGATAGATAGGTAGATAGTATCTTTATGCTATACCTACATAGAGAAGGTCACATGTATGGATATGTAGATGTAAGGTACGTGTGTAGAGGGTCAAAAGATCCTTAGTTAAGGGATCCAATCCAGTTCATCTTTCTTCGATCAATCTAGAAACCAACTTTACATTCTCCTGTCCATCCAGGAATCAATCACCTCCTTCTTTCGCATGTCCCCGGATCCCCCCCACCCTGAATCCAAATCGTGAATAGGTAGATCCATGATATACGGATATGTACCCCGATACCCTACCTCTTATCCCTTTGTATCTATCTGTCTATCTGCCTATCCATCAATCCTACCCTTTCTTGCTTACCTATTCTTGGCTGCTTGCGCAAAATCTGGCGGGAAACGCGGATATCAGCTGGGTAGGGGTTTGGTGTTGGTGTTGGATGGATGGATGGATGCGAGGCAAGGAGGTGGTGGGTGATGTGACGATATGATGCCCACGAATCACGTCCTGTCTTGCAAACAGGGAGAAGGTAGTTAATAGAGATTCGATCAGAAGGGAGATGGGCATATTTCCCAGGAAGTAGTAAGATATCTGATTATTCTCATCTAAGTACTAAAATATATATATAAACGTATATGCCAACTTCCCAAGGATGTCTTCCCCTCTTTTCTCTTTCCTTGCTTTTTTTGCTTCTTTGCAGAGAAGAATCGTACATGTGCTAGTGAGAGTATAAAGCAATCGCCCATCCCTTCCCCGCACGTGCACCCGTCGGGAGCCAGCCCAGAACGAGCGGGGGAAAGCAAGACAGCGGGAGAAGGGACGTAGAATGCAAGGATCGCGGCAGGTTATGTAGCAAGCCAGGACAATGTCGAGGGTGAAACAGGACGGAGAAAATCAAAATCAAAAAGACGCACGCCATGGTAAACAAACAGATATCAGATGATATACAAATTGCCAAACCCGTACTCATCCGCGAGGATGTATGCTGGCTGGCCCCAGAACCCCCAGCGGCGCTGAGGGGGGGGGCAGCAGGAAGCAAGAGAAGTCTATATGCGCAAAAAACCACAGCAGAATTTTTCCCAACCCAATCCGAATACTTTTTTTCGCGCCTCCAAATGTCCCATTTTATATAGCCAAGTAGATCCCAATTAAGAAAAACATGGTAGTACAATCTCAGATGATGAACACCGGTAAGGAAATCGCTGCAGAAAAGAAAGTGCAGGAACGAAGAAACATATCCCAAGAGGTATCCCCGATCTAGATGCAACGCCGGCCGAGACCCATTTTATGTTCCAGAGACGAGAAAAGACGGCGGAGCGGGTCGGAGGTGAGGAGTTGGGGCAGTCGTTGCTGGGGGTCGAGTTGGTGATGCAAGGAGGTGCGGATTATTAAATCTCTGGGGTAAAGTATGCTGCGCTTAGAATCGAGAGACGAGTGGGCGAGCTCGCTGGAATGCAGATATGACTGGAATGGAAGGAAGTGATAGGTATGAAAATCGTCGCAAATCGTGGAATTGTATAGTACAGGGAGTCGGGCGCGATAATGCGGATTAGAAGTGTTTTTATTTTTGTCGTGAAGATGATGCGTTTAGAAGGGTATCGGTCGAACCGTTGAATGTCGAGGTTGATGCGTGTGCAAAGGTTGCTGCTTGCGACAGGCGCAGTCGGACGTGGTCTTGATGCTTGGGGTCTGCCTCAGATGGGATATAGATGGCTCGTAGAATCAAGGAGATTCCGCTCATTATCTAGGCTTCGGTGGAGGAGGCTTCGGGACGCCTGTCGTATCGTATGCGCCTCTGCCCATATTGCAGGCTTGCACTTCTCTGGTAATCATGTTGAAGGGTGAAATCTGGAGAGAGCAGCTTGTCAGCCGGGATTCCTCGACCCCTATATACAGAGCAGAGAGCAGTGCAGCAATCGAGTGGTAATTCCACAGACAGCTGCCCCCTTCTCCAGAAGGCCCGATGTTTGCTGGCCAGGGGAGACAAGGATTAGTTGACTCACGTTGCTGTTGGGTTCTTGCGTCGCGCAAGTCGGCCTCCTGAAATAAAAGGGGAGTGGTGGATGGTCGCGCGGATGGCCACCAAGATTCTCAGCCACGCGGTTGCAGGAATCCAATGGCGGAATTAACTCTTTCTTGTCTGTCGCTGGAAGGGCCCAATAGCGAGGAAATATTGTTGGGGCAAAATTATGGAGAGCGCGGGAGGGCGATAATTAATATACTCTGTAATCAGGTCCGGGAGAGAGTTCCGTGGCTGACAAGCAGGGAGCGCGGCGACAGTCGGTTGTCAACTGAAGGTGCGTAGCCGGTGGAAGAGGGAGAAGGGTTCCTGCGTGAACTGCTGCCGGGGGATATATGTGGTTTTGGAGAGGCAATCTCGCGCGGGTAGCGGTGATGAGCCGTGAGATGAAGGGCGGCAGGGAGTGCTGAGTAGTGTGAGGATAGGCAGAGGCCGACGTCGAGACAGATGGCCAGCAGCAGCAGCAGGGGAGGGGAGAGGAGAGGAGAGAGAGGTTGATGAGGACGTTAGGAAGATAGAGGAGTCAGTCGGGCTTAAATTTGGGGGTTTTCTGAGTCTTATACGAGAAGGGCGAGTAAAAGACACGACAAGGCACGGCGAGGCAGGCGAGGCAAGGTAGGAGTCGTGGTCGTGGGTGGGAGTGGAGAGGGAGTCTCAGAGACGAGGGAGCTAGGGAGGGGATCTCCCTGGGACGTGGGTTCGCCCTGGCAGATGGGATGGGATGGCTTGGGACGGCCTGGGATGGCGGTTCCGGGGGGCCGCAAGGGCGCACGAACAAAGAAAGGGTTGAGTTGAGGCCTTTGACGGCTGCGCGGGACTAGGGGAAGGCGGAAGGGGGGGGGGGAGATGGTAGGGGCCAGGAGCAGAAAAAAAAGGACAGAAAAGGGATGGGGGAATGGGTTGGATGGGGGATGCGATAGGTCGCGTGGAAGTAAAACATGAAATAAATACTCCGGTAAGGTATAAAATAAATAAATAATTGGAATTGGAATACTCGGGAGAGATGGGCAATAATTACTAGATATCTTATTGACTCAAGCATCAGACTCGCGGTGCCGTGCACGTCCAGGACGACCAGTCTTACAAGTAGCCGGTACCTGGCGCTCGCTCTGTTCTGGCTGCCACGGCCGTGGGACGCTGGGCCAGGGGGAGGTACCTGGTACAAAGGCCTCCTTACGCCGTGGTACAATGGTACAGGACGTGCGGCGGAGATACACGCTGCACAGCAAAAGCTTCACAGTATATTCCACAGTATATTCACAGTGTTCACAGCCAAAAGGGGTTATCGAAAGGGGGTCGGTTTCGGGGGAGTGAGGCGCGGGAGGACCGCCGGCGCTGGCCTAACCGCATCAGGCGCACCGCGTTGCTGGAAATTACCTCGTGTCCTGTCCCCCGGTATGAGCTTTTCGCTTTCCGATCTAGACTTGTCTTGAGCTGCCCTTGAGCAGAAGAAGAAAAGGAAAAGTAAAAATCCAAATCAACGTAAAGGTAAAGTAAAAGCATATCATCAAAGGTAAATCATCATCATCATCATCCTCATCTTCTTCTTCTTCTTCTTCATCATCATCATGTAGAACAGCAGTCCTGCCTTGGTAACCGCTGCGCTGACAAGACTCATGATGCACAGCAAAGATGCCATAGCCACTCTGACAAAGCTCTTCTTTTGCGCATTGCTCAGACAGGACGCTGCACAGTATCAGATTGTCTCTTGTGACTTGTCTTGCATTGTCTTTCTTGCCTTCTCTTCTCTTCTCTTTCCTTTCCGCTTTCTTTCACTGATCTTCCCTTCCACACCCTTCCTCTCGTCTCATCTCACCTCAATCCATCCCATCCCATCCCTCCCGCTGTCTCTCCCTCTGCCGAGATGGTACCTGAAAGGGAAGCCGGGGGGTCCGCATCCCTACATCCCTACATCCCTACCTATAGCTACATCCCTACATCCTGCGCATAGCACATCCTGTACCTACATTTCGCCTAGTCCGACCAGGGTGGAAACGGACTGCTGGGTAGAAATCATGAGCATGGGGAGAGAGTGTTATTACGGAGCATTATTCAGAGCCAAGGTAATAATCACGGTAATAAATAGATAATTAACTTCATTAATGATATCCACCATTATTTCCAAGGTACCTTACCTTACCTCAGGCTCAGGTATTATTGCCGGCCGTGTTTCAGCCAGCACAGACCGCACTGCGAGGAAAATATACGTCCGTAATGATGGCCTCTTACTGTGCCTGTCTCTCCCATCGCCTGGAACTTCACGATAAGAGGTCCCTTATCACTCGAACTTTTTCTTTCCTTGCAATCCAATCCACTCCTTTCTTTTTCCTCCCTCCCCCCCAGTAAACCATGACTTACCTTACTTATCTGACCCAGACAAACCTCCCAGACGTCCAGAAACTCAAGATTTCTGGGAAAAAGCAAAAAGACCATGGACACAGAGAGTCAGGCATCCCCCAAGAAAACCCCCAATCCCGAGCTCCTCATCATGACAGGCCGTTTGACAAATCGCCGCGCAAGGGGCTCAGCGCGCTTCGTCGCCCTTTCGTCTCCCTTGGCTGCGCGCCTCTATTGGCCCCAGCCCGCCGACCACACGAGTCGTACGCCGTGCAGCCCCGGCCGAGCATTGCCGGGATCAAAAACCACATGTGCCGTACATCTACATGCATTGCCTGTATATAGATATACAACATACCTTACCTTACCTACACAGATATGTATTCCTGCAAGTGACAAGGGATGCGATGGGATATATCAGATCTCATCATGATCGTGATGCCCGGGGGGGAAGCCTCGTTTGCGTGCCGTGCTAGGATCGGGGACGCGGGCTGCGCAAGAGAGCGAGCGAACCGATGCTTCTTCGGACAGAAGGGGATTCGGGACGGAGAGAGTTCGGGTTTGGTGAATTTGCAGGAAATACTTCCTGTAAAGACTGTAATACTTACCTAGGTACCTTACTGCAATTACCTTACCTTACTGACGTACCCGTTCAAGCTTCTGGCAGAATTCTAGGTATATCGGCGCTTGCACCCGCAACTAATAGCTGCCCGGAAGCCAAGCCGACGACAGCGCTGCCTGCTGATGAATAGATAGATAGATATCCTAACGCAGGTAGGTAGTAATCCAACCAGTAGCGGTAAGTAATCAAGAAAGAATTGGAATATCGCAAAAGTAGGCCCCCCTAGAGTCCCAACTCTGCAACTCCCAGGGTGAAACCTCCATGTAACGAGGACCCGGCACCGCGGAGCCGCGATCCGGACCCTTGTCTTGACTCTCTGGGAGAGCGGTTGCCAATCGTTCGTTCGTTCGTTCGTTCGTTCTCTCGTCTTGTTTTCCTTCCCTCAACTCACACACTTCGCCCTACTGCCACTCATGCATGTGTTCCAATCCTGCACCTTGTATATCCATCCATGTCCATCCCCATACATACATCCATCCATACACATACATACATATTGACAACCCCATCTAACTGACTACTATATATACGGGGACGACGGGTCTAGGTCCTGCAATGCCGCTGCCGGCAGGCCTTAGCGGCCCCGGCATCTCCTTCCTGCGCGCAGATCGTGCGTGACAGCGGTTAGCAGCATGATTCGGGGAATTGGGGGCCCAGCCTCCCACGCGCGCAGCGAAGGCCGGCTAGTGGCGGCGAGAGCAGGGAGGGAGAGTAGTGAGTAGTGAGTAGTGAGTAGTGAGTGAGGCGTGCATTGCAGAAGATGCAAGATGCATGCGATGGAGATTGAGATTTGAGGCTGGAGCTGCGATAAGGAGAAGGGGTATCTACCTAGGTCTTGGGTGCTGGGGGGGGCCGATCAATCATCAATCAGCTTGCATAGGATGAACCTCTGCTGAGAATCAGGGCTCAAGTCCACAGCACCGCAGGAACCCAACTAATAATAAGGGATTCCAGAGTAGAACAGATCAGAGAACACACATGATACAATGCAACCGCATGAATCCCCCAATACCTACCTACCTTATTGTTTCCAGAAACTCACCCACGAGTCAGCTCTCTGATCACTGCCTCGCACCCCCCAATTCCAATACATCTCGGCCTGCGCAGCAATTACTCGTTGGGCCACTCATCGAATTTTGACTTTTGATTGATATTCCTTCTTCCACCCTCCCATCCATTCTCTTTTTTTTTCTCCTTGTTTCTTTTCTCTTGGTGACTTTGCTTTTTTCCCCCTTGGCTTTTAAGTTCGCCCAACGCCCGCCTGAAACGCCGCGCGCTGTGGTGGTTCTGGCGATAACCTTGATCTCGCGATCGGGAGTCGGGTATGCCTTCCAGAGGCTATTAATTGATAGATCGTGCGTCTATTAAACCTTGACTTCGTGAGCCAAGCCCATCGCCGCCACCACCTGTTCTTCCCTTCCACTTCTTGAGACACAGGGCAGGGCCATCTACCTATGCCATGTATGTCTGTACCGATGTAGAATGATGCTTGTCTGAGCCCCCTCCTCTCTTCTACAAATAGAGAGCCCCGAGGTATGTAGTTCCCGCGCGGCGGTATGGTCGGAGCACGCACGCACGTATGTATGGATGTATATGTATGTATGTATGTATGTATGTATGTGTCTATGGTCAGCCGGCACCGAGTCGTCCTGACTCTCTCCCTCCTCACCCCTTCCTCTCCCTTGGCTATAGCCAGAGCCAGAGCCAGAGCCCGATGGCCGGGTTTTCGTTCCCACCCATCTGCCGTTCCAGAACGCTGGGCCTGGTCTCGCGTGGAAGTGGAGTGGATATAGGTCGCGCGTCCAAGGAGAGCCAAATAATGCGGGTCTCGATCGTTTGACTCTTGGGACGACCGATCATCGATGACATCCAGGCTTACGACAACACGACTCACGAGGTACGTACGACAACGGCTGGGAACTGAACTCTACTTGGAAAAAAGAGTACAAGAACACCAGAGCCCCCCTTCCCCCCGTCTCATGGGTAACGGGTAACGGGTAACGTAACGTAACCGTCAAGACCTGCCCGCGCAGGGGGATCGAAGACACGGGGCAGAGAGCCTGCCTGCCTGGTAAGCCTCATCTCATGCTCATCCCATGCTGCCATGCCATGCCATGCTTCCTCCCTCGCTCTCTCGCGGGCCGGGACACGGCGCGGCGCCTTGCATCTGCAATCGTCCTTGTCCTCCCCTACATCGCACATGCGATCTATTTCAGCTGCCAGCATCCGGGGAAGCCAGAAAGAAAGGGTGTTCGCAGGATAATGCTACTAAAATAAACCCCCCCCCCAGGTAGATAGATAGATGCCTTTTGGTCCCGTTGTTGTTTTTGTTGTTGTTCTTCTTTCGCTGCAAGATTCCATTATTTCCATTTCATGCCATGCCCCCCCCCCCCCCCCCTCGAACTCCCCCTGAGTCCCCTACCCGAGCCCTCGGCCCCTTCTAGAAGACCCGCCCGCCCGTCGTTCGTGACACGTACCTACCGAGCATCCACCCGAAACGGTCGTCTCATCGCCTGATCGCCCATTGGCCTCGCTCGCACTTCTTTTGTTGGACTTCGTATTATTACGGTGTGGTTATATGATATGATATATATCCTATGTATATAATCAGAGGTAATCATAATCATCACCATAATCATAATCATAAAATTACAGTAGTACA